CTCTTGAACAACGCCAACGCCCTATTGACACCAGACTTTGTTAAGGACACCCAGTCTCTGATCACACAAGTGGCGCCTGTTCTGAATGAGCTGAAGCCACTCCTCAGCACCCAGACGATCAATGAGCTTGAAGGACTTTTGAACAACGCCAACTCCCTGTTGACGCCTGATTTCGTGAACAAGACGAAGGGCTTGATCGATGAAGCTGCACCAATCCTCTCGGTTGTCCAGCCGCTGTTGACAGCCCAGAGCATTGGTGAAATTGGCAGCCTGCTGTCCAATGCCAACCAGCTGTTGACTCCAGACTTCGTCAAGGACACCAAGGGCTTGATCACTGCTGTCGGTCCAGTCCTTGATGAAATCAAACCGCTTTTGACCCCGCAGACTTTCAGCGAGCTGCAAAGCCTGCTTAACAATGCCAATGACCTGTTGACGGCTCAATTCGTCAATGAGACGAAGAGCCTGATCAACGACGCTGGACCAATCCTGGGTGAGGTCAAGCCATTGTTGACGACCCAGAACATCCAGGATATTGAAGATCTCTTGACCAATGCCCACAACCTCCTGACGCCAGAATTCGTCAAGGACACCCAGGGATTGATCACTGCCGTGGGCCCTGTCCTTGGTGAAGTCGGACCGTTGTTAACGCCAAAGACCCTCGCGGACATTCAATACCTCCTGGGCAATGCAACGAACCTGCTCACGCCCGCTTTCGTCAACGAGACAACAGATCTTATCGGCGAAGTATCCCCAGTGGTCACACCGTCTCTTCTCGCTCAAGTCGGCGACCTTCTGAACAACGCCAATGGATTGTTGACGCCGCAATTCGTTAACGAGACGCAGACAATTATTGGTGACGCCGCTGATGTAAGAGCCCTTAAAGACATTGTTTTCTGAAAGGAATATGCTAACATTTGTCTAGCTGTTGCCATTGTTGGTGAAAGTTTTGGGCTCCCTCTAAAGGGGTAATAATTTCCTTTTTCTTTCATGAAGTACTTGACGATCTCGTGTGGTATTCATGAGTGATGAAGAACCCGAGATATATGCGAAAACGACGATGATGTCGAGTATTCCGAAGTCATGAATGCTCATGTCATTTTGGTAGCTATTAATATGCATAATGATTAATGTGAACTTATCTATACAATGATGCGTTCCGTAGTATGTAGCTAAACCTGTGTTGCCCCCGTGACGAGAGATCAACTAAGTAGATCTTATGTCGATAATGGATCGTATCAAGCTGTGAAGGCACCGTAAACCAATCTCTGGGATAAAACCACCCTGTCATAAACAGGAAGCAGCTAATCTCGTATGTAGCTGCATCGATCTTCGATAGTATCGTTTCCAGGTGACTTGATCATAACGAATATGGCGAGAGTAGCGAGAGGGAACAGGGAAACTATCCCACTCGTTTCGGTGTGTATGACATCTGTCCAATTCGCAAATACACCTCTCGACGCATCCTCCTGTTAGAGACCAGAAGCATCAGGCGTCACTTCGGTCACCAGATAAGTTCATCAGGAAGATAAATTAAGAGGTATCGGACAGATGACACGAGCAGGTAAGACCAGTGCCTGGCTGACCTCTGCTGTCCGATCTTTGCCGGACAGGTCTCTCCAAACAAGGGACATTAGACGAGCCCCCAGTGTATTGTTAAGGCCGGTCATCAAAGCCCTGCCGTAGCTACTTCGCTTTGTAGAATGAGGAATCGTTGAACCCGTCCAACTAAGCACATAATCCTTCTTTCGGCATATCATGAAGGAACCGAGGCCTTCACTTCTTGGTACTTCGACAGCACCTTGAGTTCCGTATCTCGTTCCTTGATCTTCTTGTCCAAGGCCTTCTGCACTTCGCCGCGTTTGCGTTCCGCGTCCTCGATTCTTTGTTTCACCTCCTTCACGGCTTCCTCCTGCGCTTTGAGTGCCGCAGCGGGTGACGAGTATTCCTTGCGAAGTTGTTCGAGTTGGGGCCGAATCTCAGCGGGGTCGAAAGGTGTGCATGTGACCGGATTGTATCGATGCGAGGGCAACGGTTCGCCAGGGACTTTGATTTCCGGAAGAAGGGGATGGATCGGAGTTGTGCGAATTGACGATGTGAGGGGCACCGGTTCAGTTGTGTGAGGAGAGCCGGGTTCCGAGGGAGGTGAGAGAGGTAGCTGGCTCATTTTGATGGTGCAGAAGAATAAGGAGCGCCGTTTAATACGATCGTGTACAAGTGTCTATCCTCTTGGGACAGTAATTTCCTTGATAAGTTACGGAGGTTGAACCTGCTGGTGGCCAACACCTCGGGATCCGGAGATTTCCTGGAGGCGGTGAGTTTCTGCCGGACAATCAGGTGTCACCGCCCAGGAACTCTATGACCGCGTGATGCTACTGTTGCGAGCATGAGACCTAGTTGGAATGCTGTGCTCTTTGCCTAAACCGGTACATTCAAGGAAAATAGAGGAGAAACTAACTGCCATTGATTTGATGTGATCCTGTCATCATGCAGGCTTTCGGTACGTCTCCCGAAGTCTTCTTTTAAGGATGCCCCCCTGCGCCCGACGGAATGTCAATAGGAATATACCCAATTCACTAACAGAAGACTTTCACAGTTCCGAAAAATAGAAGAGTAAGTGCTGATTTTTTTCATATCTGGTATGATATGCTGACGCAGAGGAAACCAGCCGAGATTCGAACTCAAATTAAGGGTGAGTTCTAAGTCACAGCGATCGACTCGATGATTTGCAGCACACGAGCTAACATCCACCTGTCTCCTTCAGATTATCGATCTCAACAACATTCCTCTGGTCGTCGGAACCTCGTATGTCAAATGGCATCTACCTTCGTCTACCTCTGCGGAACATCGCGGGCACACGGACAGAGCCCTCATCCAGGATCACCGGGCGTCTTGGGAGTATGAGAAGGTCCTAACAGTCCGGCTTACTATCGACCGAAACCACATGCTGCAAGAATGCGATATATTCTTCGAAGTATTTCAGGAATTTTCGTCCGGAAGTCGTGGCGACCGTATCACCCTGGGGAACGTCAAATTGAATCTGGCTGAATATGTGGACAAGAGCGATAACGAGGAGGGTATCACGAGGCGATACTTAATGCAAGACAGCAAAATCAATAGCACCCTCAAAATAGGGATATTGATGCACCAGGTTGACGGAGATAAGAACTTTGTCACGTCTGTTGACCCGCGGTTCGTGATACATACATAGCCTGTGGCTAACTTCGCAGCAGGCCGCCCCTTAAGACACCAATGGTGTTTGGTGGAATCGCAGGCATTATGACATCAGAACACGGGGACCCTGATGACCTCGGTCGGATTCCCTCGGTCAATACCAGTCGCGAAACCGGTGACCTACAAGACATGTATCGCCGTACGCTAGCTGCTTCCTGGACCTGTCGAGACGGAGAGCTGCCACCAGATCAATTGATTGAAGAACTGTTTGCAGGCGGGTCAGGATGGCCAGCTACGGCGCCAAATGCCCGTTCCGGCGGAGATGGAGATGAATCCATATCCATCGCCAGTGACCCTGACTCGAGGACGACGGTTCAAGGGAATAGACTGTCCCCTAACCCCGACAAAAGACCGAAGAGCTCATCCAGCGATCACTCGCGGACAGACAGTAAAGGTGGTGAGGACAGACTTGGCGGAAGAGGAAGCCTGGAACATCAAATGTATGACGGCAACAAGGAGAGAAGATGGCGAAATCGCAGGACCAACCGTGAGGTGTCCGAGTTTGATGTGCGCGGAGACCTCCGAACATGGGAGATATCAGTCAGGGACTGAACTTCTTGTTTTCCTTCATACAAAATAAAAATGGACAATGAGAAAGAAGGCCTTGAAGCCCCATCGACTTCCTTTCCATCTTTCGGGGTTATCCGGGCTCTTTCCAATGCAGAGGTCTCTTATATAACATACGCTGAATCGCAAATACCCCGGCACCGAGCTAGTTCTGCATGAGAAGAACATCAGGGCCTCTTGTCCCATCAAATGATGGCTATTTTCTGGTGAGTTCTGCTTGTTTTGAACAAACAGACCCAGTTTCGTTTTATCGACCACCGACAGAAGGACTAACAAGGCACAGAATCAGCAGGATGGTCTCCTCGACCGACAATCGACAAGACAAAGCCGGGGGAGATGTTCGAACTACCTGAGTAGACCTGCAGGCACGCCACAGCTGTGCGTGTTCGATGGTGCCTAATGAGGGAGATTGCGTCAACTTACGGACCTCTCTCTCCAAGTTTTGCTTGGCTTGAGAGAGGCCGACTAGACCACGCGCCTCAGCTTCTGTTGACAAGTACCTACCTAAGTAGGGATGAGACACAATGAATTATACCTGGGTAATATTGACAGGCCTGTCCTCGAGGTGAAGTTCTTCTTTTAGCATTAATTAAATATTATGTATAATACCACTATATACAGCTGTCATACATGTATTTTGACAACACATTCCCAATAAATGAAGAAAACAAGATGAAGACGTCTGTTTTTGCCTCTTACTCATTTTTATCACCCCCTCGCGTTCAGGTCCGAAGTGTATATATACACTCTTCTAATCGAGTCCCATTCAGGGTCCCGACACAGACAATTTCCTTTTGTTTAATCTCGGGTACGTGCCGGTAGATCTGCTGTGAGCAGATCAGATCAATAGATGCCAGGAATGATGCGACTCCGCACCATCGACGTATATCTGTCCCAGTCGGCGCCATACTTCTTCTTGCACTTCTCTTCATCCCGCCTCTCCCGATGGATGAGCAGAATGCCAAAGTACACGAGGAAGAAGTAGGTGAAGATCATACCCCAGCCACGGACTTCGGGAGTCTGCACAGCACGCCGCACAGTATCCCCCGTTGTGGGATTGATCGTCTCCTGAATGACGTAGCCCGCCACTCCAGTCGGAAGACAATAGGCCCACGACATGATCCAATCGCCGAGGTAATTGATATGGCGAGCGGTACCCCACCAGCCCGATGTGATCAGCTTGGAGCCACTGGCCGTGGTGATGAACTTGAGGTGCTTCACGCGAGGGTCATCTGGATTCGTCCGGAAGCGATTCTTCTGGTTGTTGGCGCTGCGGAAAATATAGTAGCCAATGCCCGAGACTGCCAGCACGATAGCGACGCCACTGGCGCCCAGTTCGAGCGGGAAAACCGCCAGATACCGCGTTTGCGTGGAGTAGATAAATGGCACCCACACCAAATCGCCAAACGCGAGCATGTATCCAAATCCGTCCATGATGATGTCCATGGTGGTCAAAATGGCCGGCTCCATGTAAAGTGCGTCCAGAACATAGAAGGCCTGAAATAGGGTGATGAGGACGATCGAGTCGGTGATGTAGCCATAGGTTCGGTACTGGTGCGCGATGTTCGAGAGATCGAGAAGCACCCAACCGAGCAGACCGGGCCTCATTTCACAGAAGACGCCGATATCGATCGTGCGCGAAACCTCGCTGACAAAAGGGATGGGCAATTTGATGCGAGAATTGAGCTCCCGGCCAATGAAAAAGTCGTACAGAACATTGCCGCTGTGGCCGCCAGGAGCCAATTCACGAAGCTCCGGATTGGGCTGTCCAGGCTCTGGAATCGAGAAGCTTCTCACGTAGACCCAGATGGAGATGACCACAGTGATCAGCAGGTTCGCCGTCAGCACCTGCAGGTAGTTGTCCCAGAGGAAGGTCCAGACCACGAAATCTGCACCGTAGAGATAGGTCCCCGCCGCACAGCCGGCCAGAATCAAGACTGCTGAGAGAAACGCTGCACATCATCCGATATCAGCTGGGCCGAAAGTCACTGGGATCGAACGTCCAACACACCATTGAACTTGTATTTGTGCCGTCCACCGCATGCCAGAACCACGCCCTCCACCTCTTGACCTGGCAGGAATATCTGCATCACGAGACTGAGAAAGTAGTACGCGAGCACCCAGAGGGTAACCTGGGTGTCGTAGAGAGCGCTGATACCCCCCTCGGGCCAACCAATCTCTTGTTTCAGCTTCTCAAGGGACAGGGTCGAAGGATGGAGGAGAGACGGCGCCGGGCATCCTGAGACGTCATTGCAGAAGAAGGCGAAGCAATACACAAGGACGGGGAGACCAAAGACAATGCCAAATGCTCCTATTCTGCAGGCCAGTTAGTTGGACGTCAGCTTAGCGCAATTGCACAACACGTACGGTCCTCCAAACTCATAGCCGCGTTTCTCGGGGACTGGCTGGATAGGCACAGTCGGTTTGTCTTCCTTGGGAGCCATCTTGATGGCTCACAGTCTGTCAAGTTGACAAGTACACCGTATCCTGAAGGCAATCTCAGGCTGGAATGGAGCAGTCGTCACCGTCTCATGCAGGGAAGAAAGAAAGAAAGAATAATGTGGGGCGAGATAAAGAGGACAGCAATAGATGATGTACCCCGTACTATGTTCTAGGCAGAGTTCGGATGTTGGCTTCCCGCATGAGCCCATGCATCGACGAGCTGATCGGGTTTATTTTGCTGGGACGGATCGCGGCGATCTGACACGCGTAGCAGCCGAATCGGGCCCATTCCCGATGGAGCTAGGCCTGCTCCACCCCCGGAAGCCGCCGCGAGGGGCGCGAGGCGCTGATAACCAGCATCTGGCCAGATATACAGATTGCTTTGTGTCCCATTCTGATCGGAGCGCGGGTCACTGCTTGTCGATCTGGGCTGACCGGTGGAATTGTTCCTGATCTTTGGCAGCGTCATTAATACCGCGCACAGCAGCCTGCTTGGAGCTTCTTGGGCCGCGCGGGATCGTTGCAGCCATGCAGCTGCTTACGCGGCCACTCTTTTCCTTTGCTGCCTCCCCTTCCTGTCCTCTGGTGGACTCGTGACGGCTGCAGATTCTTCATCGAAGCCGAAGGATGCGCAGAAGCCGTGTACCGTGCGTTCCCCGACCACTGGCGCCTACTTCGATCTCAATGCGATATCCCTTTCCCCGCCTGAGATGAAAGATGGCCGGAAGGTGCACAAGGACGCTCGGACGGAGAGCTGGCACGCCAGGGGCCATGACTATCCGGCGAATTTCACCATCAACATCTGCGCGCCGGTGATTGAGGATGTGAAGGATGTTGTGGGGGTCGAGAAGTCGAGGTGGCAGAATGTGAGCGCCTTCTACGAGCTCAATGGCAAGATCTATTCAATAGGGTACGCAAGCCGTTCGCAAGCCCAATGGTCGTTGTACTAAACGAGTGCAGAGAGCAGTCTTCGCAGCCAATCTTTCGAGGCCGGAAGCTTGTCTTGAACTACACCAATGGGTCACCCTGTTCCAGCAGGAGCTCTCTGGGGACAAAGTTACTCGACTACGAGGACGACCACCATGACTATAAAACCTCGAAGACTCCCTCTGATTCGAAGGACACACGCACCAAATCGACGATAATGTCGTTTCTTTGCGACCGCGACGCGCCCAGTTCGCAGGCCACCATATCCTTTGTCGGCACGACGGACTCGTGCACATACTTCTTTGAGGTTAGAAGCCCTGCGGCTTGCGGTGGCGTGCCGCCAGCTACAGGAGGTCTGGGGCCAGCTGGTGTTTTTGGCTTGATGTGAGTGTCTTGAGAGATGAGCAGCAGAAATCATATCTGACAAGCTGTTTGCTAGCGTCTTGATCGCCGTTGCGGTCTACATCATTGGAGGCTGTGCGTATCAGCGGACGGTGATGCACCAGCGAGGATGGAGACAATGTCCCAACTACAGCCTGTGGGCGGGAATTTTCAGCTTCATTAGCGTAAGTACCTGACTGTTCGCTGATTTCTGCGATCGCACAACTTCTTCACTTGTATATAGTTTTGGATGACTTCTACACTGAACTTACCGTTTTCTGCAAATATATAGGACTTTGTCATTATCATCTTTTCCTCGCTGACCCGCTGCTTCACTTGGAAACGCGCCTCGATCGGCGGCTACGCTGGTGTCAGTAGCCAACGAGGCGGGGGCCTGATCGGCGCCATCGGAGGCCGGGGCAGAGCAGACCTTCGAGGCAGCCGGCCCGATGTGGACGCAGAAAACCGGCTGATAGATCAACTAGACGAGGAGTGGGAGGATTGATATACATATACGATAGGGGCAGTTTCTGTTTTTTGTGTTTGTTTTTTATCGCGTCTGATCTCATCTGCCTTTTTTTTTTTGATGATATTTACGTCTAGATAGCTAGCCATCTATGTAGACAGACGAATGTATCATGATCTGATTGATTTTCCCTCCGTGTTTGATATATCAACAGTGTAGTACGTATGTATGTATATATATATGCATGCTACCTAGATGAAATAAATCCACTCCCTATTCCACTCCCTATTGACATCAAGTCAGAACTATTCTCGAAACATCATCGATAATATTTAAACAATACCCTAAACATCACAATCGAATCAATCAATCAGTCAAAGTTCTCAAAGCTCTCACTCAGAAGAACGTTACACCAACACCAAAAAAAAAGCCTAAAGACGAAAAAAAAGTTAAAGAAAAAAAAGAAAACAACAACTGCTACCGCAGCTGTTACTTTGTGTACAACATGCATCATCCGCGAATCGAACGCGGGCCTCATCGATGGCAACGATGAATTCTACCACTAGACCAATGATGCCTGTTTGTTGAAGGAGCCGGTGAGGATAGTGTTTTTGTTGGTGTGTGCGGTGTGCAGTTGGTGGGGATCTACTCCTAGGTAGGGTCTAGGGTTGGTCCCACTTTGCTGGTTTAGGACTCCGTACTCCGTATTGGAATTGGAACTATTTTATTTTTTTCTTTTTGGCCAGTTATTCCAAGAAATGAGAGGGTTTGATACAGTAGATGATAGATGGATAGATGCATGGATAGATAGTAGTTAGTATTATTAGTGTGTTGTATACGGAGTACTGCTTTGCCCCCTGGCTACCTGTGTTGCTTCCGTCCAGGGGAAATATATATTTGATTGGCTGGTGACTTATACGATCATACGATCATACGATACGACATGCAATCATACCTGTCACCTGTCACCTGTCACCTGCATGCAAATCACACAAAGATGTACTATTTAATAGCGAAATACCCAATAGAAACAAGCATTATTTATTTATTTATTTGTTTGTCAGACAATGCGTACTGTACTGTACATATATAATCCCATAAATTCCCTCGTCATTTATTTATTTGCTACGTATATGACAATAATACATTTCATTAGTAGATACATACTGTCGTGAGACAAGAAATATAAAAAAAAATACTACAGACGCATGCGCTGACTCCTTGCTCAGCAGCTTCTTTCCCCAGGTAAGCAGGCGGAACACAGAAGTATGGCGCTGGGTATGCGAGCTTAAAAATAAAAAGTGACTATTATATATATAGATCATTCGTCATGGAAGGATTCTGTATGGTGGATCATTGTCCTCGGACATCAGGATGAAATCATGATGGACCTTGTTGGGGCCCTCCCATCCCTGTCAGCCCCATGTCAAACGAATTGATCATGTTTCCCGAGTTGCTAAAACCAGGTCCCTGCATCGGACCCGACTGTGCAGTCGCATCCGTCGCGCCCATCCCCGGATCCAGATTGAACGGCAGAAACCACGCGCTGGGCTGGAAAAACTCGCCCGTGCCGGCCGGCGTGAACGGGTCCGTCCAGAACGAACCGGCAGCGCCGTTCGCAACCTGCCCGTCTACGCCTCCGTTGGGGCCCATCGACATGCCGCTAGGCATCACCGCTGCCGGATCCGCCCCGACGTACGAGCCGTACACAAAGTGTCGGTCCATCTGGGGAATGTGGTCGGGGAAATAAAAGTCCAAGTTGGGTTGACCGAACGATTGAGCGCGGTGGAACAAGTTCGGATCGTTGAACCCTGAAAAATCGGCCGGCGCGTTGGCCATCAGCATATCCATCAAAGGCGGCTCCTGCTGCGGAGGTGCTGGCATCGGCTGTCCAAAATCGGCAGACTGTCGAGGCATTGACGCCGCGTCAGACGGAGAGTCTTTCGATTCCCTCTTGTCGTCCCTTTTCTGCTGCTTGTGTGGCTGCAACGACTTCTGCGAGGGAGACAAGCTGGCGAAGAAATCTTCCACGCTCTGGAGGTCAGGTCGTTGGCCCATCACGGCATCGTCGCCCGTTTCCTTTTTCTTGCTCGGGTCCGGGTCTTCCCAATGCGACCTCGAGACCCCATGAGGATACTTGTCGAACCAATCACCGTACTGGAACATGGGTGGCCCTTGGCCGTTTGGATTGCTCGCCCGAGGACCTTTGATGGCGGCATCGGCAAATTGCCGGTAACGGTCCTTGGCACTTTCGACCATGTAGTGGAACATCCCCCAGTATCGCTTCATCTTGTTGAGATAGCGGTACGTGTGCCGCAGGTCTTCCTTGGATCGCGCCTCCAACTGCGCATTCTTGGAGAAAATCCCCCAGATGTGGACGGTGCTGGCTGAATACGCACAATATCCCGCGAACGGAACCGTCAGAGAATAACCAGACGCACGGTCGATCAGCATGGAGATGTGATGCGCCGCCTCCACCGCCGCCCGTCCCGCATCGCTCAGAAAGGACTTGGGCATGTCCTTCGGGGGCCGCCCTCCCGGAGACAGGGGCACCGCGAACTGATTGAGGAAGAGGATGTTCTGATGGATGATGATGTGCAAGAAGAGGAACTGATTGGCAATCTTCTCCGCGGCATGGTTTTGGAGATTCTCGGGCGTGAATTTGAGGAAGTCTGGCAGGGAGGCGGCAAAATCCTCGATTTCCTTCTTCAGTCGCATGTAGCCCGATTCAGGAGCCCACAGAGGGTACGGGTCCTTCTTCTTGCCACCGAGATTGAGGTAATCCACAATATGGCCCCAGACGACGATGGCTCGGATGATGTAGGCCGACACTCCCATGTTGTCCTTGGGGTTGGAGAGTTGACCTTGGCCCTCAGGAACCGGATTGGGGACGTTCCCGTCCAGGTCTTCCGTCGGCCCGGGAATTTCCATCAAAAAGTGAGACTCTTTCACCGGAAGCTGGATGTGGAGGAACTTCTCATTCCCAATCGGCGGACGCTGGCTGCCCGACGAGTTGTACCGATCCATCAAGAAACAGGCCCACATTGTGCGTCGTCGAATCTCCCGGTCGACGAAGCTCAACTCGGAGGCTTTGCCGTTGGGATCGCGGTCCACCTCTCGATGCAATTGCAGTGCATAGGCCATCCTCAACGCCTGCCCGCCAAACGACCAACTCCGTCCACCGTGACAGGTGCCGAATTCGTGCAGCCCCAGGAGGAGGAAAACGGTGAGGATGGTAATGTTGGGCTCGTCATGGCGGCTCAACGCTATCGCCGCCGCCGGGTTGGCCCAATTCTCGCCTCGCAGAAAGGCCGGCTCGGAGTTCAGCTGCGGATGAGTCGAGAAGCGAGCGGACACTGCACAGACGGCGAGGATCAGGACCGGAGGCACCGTTCCAGCTTTCAACCTCCGCATGAAACTGGGCTTGTGGAGAAGGAGATACGACTGCCCATAAACACATTCGAAAAACACTTCACACAGATGTTCTTGGATTTCCATCGGGGGGAGATACTCGGCTCCCTCCGTCAACAGGCCCGTGGCTTCGAGTGATTTAGCTTCCCGACGCAATGAAAAGGTGTCTTGCGACGGCGGCGGGTTTCGATTGCCACGCGTCCATTCTTCCAATTCCGCCGCAAAAGCCTCGTCTGCCGACCGTTTCTTCTGGTTGGTTTTGGGAGGCTTGGGGGCCTGTCCGGGAGGCGTGGGTTTCACCACGGCCCTCCCGATGGCGGCCATATCTCTCGTCTCGCCGGTGGGGATGAACTTGATCACCCGTTCTTCCATCCGTTTCAAGCGTTTATCCAGCATGGCCATGTAGTCGGTCCGGGGAGCGGCCTTTCGCGTGGTCACCTTGTAGACACATGGGATCCGCGATCGGAAGCAGTGCTTGCAAGCCGGCTTCTCTCCGGAACAACGAATCTTTTTCCTGCGGCAGGCGATGCAGGCCAGCGGCAGTCGCTTCCTCTCCTTGCCCGCCTTGGTCTTCAACTCACTCCATGGCGGCTTTTCCTTCTCGACCGTCTGGTTTGCGGCTTTGTTCCCGCCATCTGGATCGTTCTCCTTGGGTTCCGGCACGGCGTCCACACCAGTCGGATACGAAGGCTGGTCGCCGACCGGGGGGGCATTGGCTTGTTCCCGCGCGCCTGTCTGGCTCAGGGCGTTGAGGTCGTCCCAGATCCTGGCGGACTGGTCCTGGGTGGACGGCGCGGCAGAGGACTCGGATTCAGGCGGCATCAGGACGGGCCCGGAGAGTCGAGTCGCATCAGACGAAGAAGCGTCAATCGCATAGGGCGACGCATCGCTCGCGCCAGTCGGGCTCGGGAAGGAATCGAGGATGGGATTGCAGCGAAAGGCGCGCGGCTGCGCGGCCGGATCGGGGAGCAGAGGACGGTCGTAACTGGAAAAAGGTGAGGGCGTCGGCGAGTATGGGGAACCGAGGTGTGGCGGCTTGGCGTGCAGTTGCCCTGGGCCGGAGTCGGCCATCCTAGCAGAGACAAGTCGTCACGCCGTGCTGGCCGACATGGGGCTGTACGATCGTGTTAGTATTATTAGCAGCACTCGCATTCGAGAGCAGGAGTGAAATAGGAGCGAAGAATCGACGACGGACGCAGCCCAGCTGGCTTTGGCACAGTCACGAGGAGCTGGTCAATGCCCGAGTGCCTGCAGCCGTCAGACCCGAATCCAGCCCATGCAGCTCTGACTATGAGGGCAGCTCGTAACTCTAACTGCGTAGCCCCTAACTCGACTTCTTTTTGCGGACTAAGACTGCAGAGTGCTCTGCGAATCCTCCTGCAAGCTCAAAGATGGGCCCAGCGAGACGAGGCTCGGAGCCTCACCGACTTGCTGGACCCTTCACTAAGGCATCGTGATCGACCCGCTAAGCCCAAAGCATGCGATGACGAGCAGCGAGCCCAGCCAGAGGGCTCTAATAGTAATCCTCAAGCGCTGCGATGGGACCTCTGGGACTGTGGGGGTGGCTCGCTGGCTCTCGGCCGACTGTCCAGATTCGTCGAACCGCAACTTTCTCCCAAGGAACCAAACGCGCATCCCAAAAAATCCTGCAGCCAAGGTTCTGGCCCCTCACTGCAGAGCGAATCACTGCCACAGTGCTACCTCCCGTCGTATAGAAGACAAGCGGGGACCGTTCTCCAAATGCGGAGACGTGAAGTTGGCTGCCAGTGGCGTCGCCAGCCAATCGTTAATAATCCTAGGATTGGTGAAGAATTAGGCAACCAAGAACGTTGACCAGAGGAAGCACATCAGACCAAGCTCTGCAGAAGATGAGAGAATAATAATGTTAGGGAGGTCCCTCGTACGGAGTGCGGAGTAGGATTTTGAAACAGCGAATCAGCAGCTCTGTCTCACCTGGGGTCTCCGTACAGGGATTAAAACAATCCACTGTATCAACCGCAATAAGGTAGATAGATTGAAAGTGCGGAGTATGAGACTAGAATAACTCGAGACAGCCTTGTCTCAAGTCCCTGACGATCTGAGGTCGACCTCTCCTGGATGGCGGTGATCTTCCTATCGACTAATATAATAGCTACGTGGAACAAATCAATTAACCTGATCTTAGCCTCGATCTTCAAGACAGTAAATAACTTACTTCAGCTGGGTTATCTCCATTATCTCCGCATTAGACCCATCCGGTATATCGTCTTCGACCATTTTCAACGCCTCGTTTAACCAAAAAGAATAAACGAGATCCTCTGCGCATCGCCCCCATGAGCAGCAACCGTCATATAGATGATCTGGGCGCCTTAATTCCTCCTATCTCCGAAATTGATTCATTGTGTCCGCGATGTGGGAATACTATATAGCTTGCTGCTGCTTGCGATGTCTGGACGTCAATCCTGGTTGACAAACAGCAGAATCAATTCGATATCTGTGACGTATAGTTGAACAACTTACTGGGATTCCTGTTATACAGCAATGGCTTCGAAACAGATCATCACCCTCATTACCGGTAATATGTCCGAAATAGCAAGATTCATCGTCGATTCGCTGACGCCTCTCAGGCGCCAACCAAGGAGTCGGCTTCGAGGCGGCCAAAAACCTCGTGCTCAGCTCCGCCTCGTACCACGTGCTCCTCGGCAGTCGAGATCCCGAACGAGGCGCCAAAGTCGTCTCGGACCTGCAGTCGCTCCCCGCCATCAAGGGCACCGTCGCCGCGATCCAGATCGACGTGACCCGACGACCAGTCTGTCGACGCAGCGGCCCAGCACGTCGCCGCGACCTACGGCCGGCTCGACGTCCTGGTGAACAACGCCGGCATCTTCAGCCGCAACCCCAGCATGCGCGACGACCTCCGCGAGACGCTGGCCGTGAACACGGTCGGCCCCGTTAGCGTCACAGAGGCCTTCCTCCCGCTGCTGCGGGCCTCGGACGCCCCGCGTCTGCTCCGCTCGAGCGTGAGCTCCATCACGTACGCGGCGGACCCGAAGTCCCCTTACTATCGCCCCGAGGGCACGACGTACCGGGCCAGCAAGGTGGCGCTGAACATGATCATGGCGCAGTACTGGCATCGCCTGCAGAAGGAGGAAGAGGAGGGCGGCAACAAGAAGTTCAAGGTCTTCGGGGTCGATCCTGGCTTGAATGCGACGAATCTGTCGGGCGATCCGCAGGCGCTCCGGAACGGAGGAGCCCAGGAGCCCCATGTGGGCGGGGGGATTATTGCCTTTGTCGTCAAGGGCGAGAGAGATGCAGATGTGGGCAAGGTTTGCCGTGCGCATGATGTGTTGGTCTGGTAGACAGATACGCTGGTGTCGATGTAGTATTATGTCGACTACGTGGTTCAGGATCGCAATTGCGGTATGAATTTGAAACACTCACAGGCAATCGAAAGATATAGGTATTCAGTTGAACAGCTATCCGGAATACAACTGCGGGTCTCTTTCTTTCATTCCTCCCAGCCAGACATAACTGTATTTCAAGTTCTTCCCAGACATTATTTACAACAAACAATCCATCCGAACAACGTTTCGCAAATCAACAGCATCAATCATTTCTTTTCCCTCCTTTTCTTTCATCACTCTATACTCGTTTTGCATCAACAACTGTTCATCCTATACTGGGATATTTTCAGAAGCAGGTCATGACAACCATACGGCTGACCTGGCATATATATTATGCGTGATGTCCCCGCGCAGTTCATTTTGGGCATGAATAGGGGGTTTCTGCCCGTTTATGCGGACTTTGGTCGACCAGGCCTCACGCGCGGCGCAGCGGATTCCAAAGCGAAGACAATCTCCTCGCCAAGGACGTACATCATATAAGCGGGAAACACGAGCCAGGCACCGCTGTTCAAACGTCAGTTGACCTATCGAACGGCATATAAGAGTGCAAAGAAGCACCACCTACTTCGGTATGATCCAATACAATATCAAAGTGCCAATGGGGTTGTGCCCGATGTTGTCAAAGCCTGAAAAAGCCTCATTCAACCCTGTTGCAGTCAGTCAGCACTTTCGCGCTGGGAGACGAAATCGACAACTCCAGCGATCGCAATTGACACGCTGCGCGGAGCGTACTTACAGTAGAGAACCGTCTTGCTAAACGTAGCGACGCTCCCGCTGAAAGCGACCAGCAGGGCGACGGCGCCAATCCGACCCACGACGACCTTCTCATCCAGCAAAAACCACGACAAGCCCTTGCGGACTTTCTTCTGGGACGCGCGACCTCCGGTCGTCACCGTCGCGCCGTACCGATAGATGACCGCCAGGTAGAAGACGTAGCACGCCGTCTCCAGCAGGTTGAGCACCGTCTGGGCGGCGGTGAAGCCGTTGCGCGCGTTGAAGGCCGGCCAGCCGTAGATGTAGTCGATGGTGCCGTACAGCGCGTACGGCGTCCAGATGGGCGAGTGCCACTTGCCGCCGGGCATGCTGTGCGGGCGCAGCAGCACGTAGCCCGCGTCCCAGAGGACCAGCGGCACGGACACGAGGAGCCAGATGGTCACCGCGGCGGACGGCGTGTGCACCCATTTTCGACTCGTGCCGCTGGTCGTCGGACTCGTCGCAGCGGTTGTCGGCGAGGGTTTCACAGCCGCCGCGGCAGCGTTGTTGTCGGGCGTCGACGCGGATGACGGCGTCGGCGGAGGAGGGAAATCACGGGGATGGTGTCGCGTGGAGACCATCGTGTCGTAGGACAGAAAACAAAACAAGGAATTTCGGGGGAGGGGAATATTTATTATCGCACAACTGCAAGATGGAGATAGAAAGGAAAATTATTTCTAAGTATGCATATTACAGAGTAATTATTTTAGTTCCTCCTACATTCTCGTCGAGTCGCGCCTGATGATGAATGACGGCGGGGGGCGACCGCGGTGGCTGCATTGGCCGCGTCGGGCTTGGTGACGTCGCTCCCATTCCTTTGTATGGGGGATCGCCTCCGGCCTTAACTAAGGTACTACTCCATATTACTACTAAGCTGAGTTAAGCTCGAATCCTGCTGAGACTAATCTCACCCCTCGAATTACCTATTTTGGTAGATACCTACAGTTCCTATTGCCAAACAGTCATGTAGCAGCGGTTGGGACGCGTCGGAGTCGTGGCCGGGTGGGTGGTTCGAGATTGAGTTTGTACTCCGTATATTTCTATATATTCTTGCCAATTACTGACAAGATGAAGTACGTGAAGCGAGAAATTTGAATATGAGATGAGCTCTGATAAAAATACTACTGTCGAATACTACAGTTATTCCAGTCCTGTGTTGCTCACTTGCAGGCTTGTAGCCTTAGGCGGTGCTTCCACTTCGATTTTGTCTGCAGCACGTGCGCAAAGTTCCAGTCACGTGACGAGGAGAATCATTCGAGAACGCGATGTTAACCTCAACGACAGTTCAATGCTGCTGGATTGAAGTGATTGGGTGCAGATATCGATCTCCTTATGCATTGTCCTGAAAGCTTGCAGGAACACAAGGTATCACACCGAGAAGTAGCCGATGTGTGTCAATGCAATAGAATTTCATAACTAAATATCGCAACTGGCACTATGTGTGACTATGAGCCCCGAGACTAATGAAGAGGTCATACCACCTTTTCCCAGTCAATTCAAACTGGACAGCATTTCTAACGATCCTCTAGCGACTATCTCGCCTCGCGCGAGTGCGAGAAAACCAGCGGAAAAGCCGCGCCAGGAAGCAGCAATACATCCAGGAGCTGGAGCAGAAAGTGGCGGCGTGCAAGGCCCAGGCGCGGCAGAAGGACATCGAGCAGAGGCTATCGCTGCAGAAGCTGGAACGGGAGAATGCGAAATTGCGCAGCCTGCTGATCAGGATGGGTGTCGATGCGGGGTATATCGACGAGTATCTACGTGGCGATTGTGATGATCATGATGAGGAGGCTCGTGCCGTATCGGAGAAGATTGCGATTCCGGCCCTCAGAAGAAGGGTTGAGCTGTCGCAAGCCGTTTCCAGACCAAGCAGGTCTTCTTGTGACACTATTACTGGCTCTAAAGATGCGGGATATGCATCGAGGTCAAATAACACCGAGCAGACTGCGAACACAACAGACCTGAAACAGCCTGATCCATCATCAAATCCAACGGCAGAAACGGGTCGCATTCCGGATGCACCGCGCGAAACAGCCGCCGATACAAAGACGTTGTCTAGAGCGGCCACCATCTGCGACTGCGACGATTCCTGGCCGGCAGACGAGAGTGCTCTCAACACGACTCTGTGCGCCATCGCCGAGGAGCTGATTCACCGGTACAACACGCGCGGCGTGGACATGGCCGTCATCAAGGAGAAGCTCTGCGCGGGCTTCCGAAGGGGTATGTCTGTGGGAGAGGGCTGTCGGGTCCAGAATCACGTTCTTTTTGAAGTGTTGGATGAAATCAGCGGGAATTTGTCGTGATCAGCCATCTCAAGACACGAGTCGTCAAGCACCTGGTATTACATTGCCCGCTTTTTTATATCCTCACAGGTTCGATGATCGACGGCGGTGCAAGCAACCAGAAGCTATGACTAGTCGATTGTCACCGGACTGGACTTGACATGGGGAAACTAGGACTTTGTGGAGCATACTCCTGGGCGTCCATCATTTAAGTGGTCGAGGCTTCAAAACATGGCAACGAGAGAAGACAGTGACATAGCACTGAAGATGTCAGATGATGGGGCCCTGGCTGTCGACGACAGATAATTACCCCTGCCGTGAATCTGGCTTGGCGCAGGCCTAGAGAAACTTATAACTTCGGCCATATCTTCTCCTCCAAATTCACTTCTTGTCCATGAAGGTACTGCTGCTTCTCACACAGAGAAGAAAAGAATAGCATCGATATGGTGAGGTATGCGACCTGGCATCGACACTACGGTACGATTTGCCGCCTACAACTGAGATACGGGGTATCTAGCAGCAGACGACAATTGAAGGCGTTAAACGAGACGTACTCAATCTGAAGAAGGGTGTGGAGGAATTGGAGATGATCATGACATGCAAGGCCTATAAGGCGCCAATAGTGATGACAGTAGATATATATATATCTCTCTCTTGCCAATAGCGGTGTAGAATAAATCTCATACGGAGTAGATATCAAAGATCCCTGTACATATGCACAACACCCGTCGCCGTTTCCGGAAGATGAAAGAGCTTTGAGATAAAGAGACGGGATATGAAATATTTTGGAACTTCTTTGTATGATCATAGGCATAAATATGGGGCTAAAATCTCCCTCCCCTAAGGAGAATTTTTCTTCCTTCCTTGATTATTCCTGTTTGCTAGAATCAATCCAGAACTTGCATTTGCGAATGGTTTGTTGACTGCCTGTTTCGCTGATAACGCATTCGGTTCAGTTCGGGTTATCTGGAGCTAGCTTTGTCAATTCTTAGGTGGGTAACTGTCCTCAAAAAAATTCTTTGTAATGTAATGAGTAGATAGAAGGAGAATTATATATGATTTCATAACTTGACTATATTTATAGCACCTATGTGCATATTCTCAATAGTACATGAATTGAAAATATACCTAAACTGGCCAGTCAGTAGCAGCAGACTGCAGTAGTGCTAACAAAATAACAACGTATGTGTATATGTACACAGTACTCTATGTATTTACTCCGTATATCCGTCCAATACTCACAACTACACTAATTATAATGAAAATTAAACTAACGGACAAATATCGGGGGTTAATAGCGTAAGTTGTAAACGGAGGCTCCGAACCGCTAGATGGGGCTGAAATAAATAAAGAAAGGAAGAAGAGAAAAAAAAATTTTTGATCTTGTACTCCGTACTCCGTCCATACTCCCCTCTGTACCCCACGGGCCGAACTGAACTGAAGTTACTGAACTGAACTGGAGTCTGGTCTGGCCCGGGGAGCTAAGGCATCGCCCCCGCGTGCTTGCTTGGTCTTTACGGATTCGGGTTAATTAACACTTGGCCATGACCACATGGTGACTGGTGAGGTATCATCGCGTGAAATTAGATTATAGTTAAGTTTTAGCCTAACTCTTCTGGTTATTAGTTAGATCGTTGGATTTTAAATTACGGGATGTACTCCGTACGACGGTGTTATTATTTGTTGAAGCTCAGACGGCGGCGCTCGGACTCGGAATCGTGACCGTAACCCTGATTTTAATCTTACATCTTAATTAAATCTTTTTCTAGTTTAGTAGAATCTAGATAGGTAGGTAGCTGCAGTTGACAGTTGTAGTATTTGCTGTCTTAAGTGGTACAGTGAATAATATATACTCTGTACAAAGTATACTCTGTAGTCGTAGGGTCTATAAGATGGTTACATATTGAGTTAAGAATGGACAGTGCCATGATAATCAACAGTTAGATTAAATGAAAGAGATATGGTATGATTGGTCTATCGAGATCTCAGGACTCGAATTTACACTATAACACTGTTGTACTGTACAACAATGTGCTCTGATCCATTGGTAAATTAACTCGATCTCGATCTTCTCTCCACGTGCAAACCAAGCTCATGTCTGCGTTAAACGTCTTTCCAGAAGGTTACCTTTTGAATCCGAAACGAAGGTAGCGACGTGCGGTGGCGACCAATCCATCTCCCAATATGGTTATGATCGTACGAGATCGTCAGGGGAATTGTCAACTGAATGCCAATGATAGAAAACAGGTTTTCTGGTGTTCTCTTAGAAGACACCCTCTCACCTTCACAGCAATTCCCATCCACATTCAAGCGGACATCCAGCGAATGCTGGCGATAACGTTGCTAATCGAATTGTGTAATTGTGGCAATCCGCATGCGGCGAAGGCATTAATTACTCCGTCGCCACGAGGAGGGGGAAATACGCTAAGGACAGTCAGGTATAGCTGCCTCCGTACTGCCTGCCTAAAACGGCATCCCCGTTGCCGATCCCCCGGGGTACGGCCAGACCCTGCATAGGAATGACGCTGCCGGCAGTTGGGCCAGAGCAGCCTTGCCTCTGCGTCTGGAGTATGGAGTAACAGAGTACGGCATATTACAGAGTACTTGGTACCAGTGCTAAGAATAGGCATCAGTAATAAATATTTGACTTTGTCTTGCTACAAGTTGCAGTGGTAAACACGGGAACTGGTGTGCTGGAAAACCGGGACGCCATAGGAATCAGGTCACGGGGCAGACGGTGACGGAAGGCTCGGGCTCGGGCTGTCTCTCGGGTTGACTTGCCAGCATCCCGGCTGCCTGCAGCCTGGATCAAGGGAAAACAATCAGGCGCATTCTCCGTGAGATCTAGACACCCCGAGGACGTTATTTGCCAGCAGGCTTCCGAAACAACAATGCCCACAACAAACACTCGGGCAATCGATCGGGGTTGTTATTGATAGAAGCTCGTGGCAAAGCCTGGAAGGGCGACCTGACTGCCGACTAAGCCGTCTCTGGAATCTACGGTAGCATTTCAGCGCAATGCGGGGGGGTTGGCCGACCCATGGAAGAGAGAGAACTTGGAAGAAAAGTAAGTGGCTTTGAGCTGCTGGCAAGTCCTTTGCTACCGTTACACCTGTCAGTACTGCGCGGTGAGGCTTGCCCCGCTGCCATTGACTCGGGAGTGATGCATGAATTAATTATTAGACAGCGAGGGACTGTCATTATTAATTAATATTTTGCCGATGGAGGATTGCCACGAATTTAGCCTGCAATAATTACTCCGTGCTGGGCGTTGTTCCGTACCTTCTGCTTTTGTCAGCCCTAGCGCCGGCGCCTTCCCCAGGCAACGCAAGCCCCTGCTAGTCGCGGGGAAGCCGGAGCCCGGCACAGCCAACCCAGGAGGAAGGTACGGCCCAGAGGTACCGTGCTGCCTGCCCAGGTTTCTGCAGCTGCATGGCGTGTGCTGGATAGCAATTTCCTCTGCTCGCCAGAAGACAGCCAACCACACGATGCGTCGTCTGCAGCTCCCAGGAAACCCAGTGGTTAGGTGTTATCCTTGACTCTTTGACAGACTCGCCTGCTCCATCGACAACAGGAACTTGCCCAGTAGCCGCCTTCCGAGTCTCTGCGTCTCCACCGCGTGTCCACGGCCGATCCGCCCGTATGATCTCAGACCCGTCCACCGTGTGTTGTAATCCCTTGTCGATCGTACGCCGACCATGGGGCTCCCGTTCTCGATCTTTTTCGGGCAGACGCCATTCCGGTCCAAGACTCCTGCTACCGGCCTTACTAGTGGCCCAGGGCCACTGGGGACCGACCCTCATTTCCCGTGTCGGTGCTTGGTGCCATTGTTGTCCTGCCCGTTTCTTTTTATAAAAGAGCCCGTCGTCCTCCCTCCTCCCAAGGCCTGAAAGAGCATGTCAGCTTTCCTCTGTGCCTGACTTCTTGTGTTACCTGGTTCCCCTCGCCGCCTGAAGTGCACGATGAGGAACGGGTTGCTCAAGGTCGCCGCCCTTGCGGCCGCTTCGGTCGTCAATGGCGAGGTACGTGCTGTCTGCACCCATGCATTTGAGCATTGATCGATCTTCTTGCTAACTGTCCATGCGTCAATAATAGAACCTGGCTTATTCACCTCCCTTCTACCCTTCGCCGTGGGCCAATGGACAGGGCGACTGGGCAGAGGCCTACGAGAAGGCCGTCAAGTTTGTCTCCCAACTCACGCTGGCCGAAAAGGTCAACCTGACCACCGGAACTGGGTGCGTAGACTGATTAAACCGTTGGTTCCACGCCATGTTCGGCGTGCTGACATTGTCTGAAGTTGGGAGCAGGACCGATGCGTCGGCCAAGTGGGTAGCATCCCAAGGTATGCCGATTCGAGTCCCCGATCTGGTGCGCTGCGGATGCTGACTTTCAATTAGATTGGGCTTCCCAGGACTTTGCATGCAGGACTCTCCGCTGGGTGTTCGAGACAGTATGCTTGTTTCTCCCCGCGGTGTATCGCTGACCGATCATGTGCTAATGACGCGTCTTCGCAACAGCTGACTACAACTCGGCCTTCCCGGCGGGTGTCAATGTCGCTGCTACCTGGAACAGGGACCTCGCCTACCGTCGCGGCCAAGCGATGGGCGAGGAGCATCGCGGAAAAGGTGTCGACGTTCAGCTGGGCCCTGTGGCCGGCCCGCTGGGCAGGTCTCCCGATGCTGGCAGAAACTGGGAAGGTTTCGCCCCGGATCCCGTGCTGACCGGAAACATGATGGCGTCCACCATCCAGGGTATTCAAGATGCTGGTGTCATTGCTTGCGCCAAGCATTTCATCCTCTACGAGCAGGAGCATTTCCGTCAGGGCGCTCAAGATGGCTACGATATCTCCGACAGTATCAGTGCCAACGCCGATGACAAGACTATGCACGAGTTGTACTTGTGGCCTTTTGCCGATGCTGTTCGCGCTGGCGTTGGTTCAATCATGTGCTCCTACAACCAGGTGAACAACAGCTACGCCTGCTCCAACAGCTACACCATGAACAAGCTGCTCAAGAGCGAATTGGGCTTCCAAGGCTTCGTCATGACCGACTGGGGTGGCCACCACAGTGGTGTGGGTTCCGCTCTCGCTGGTTTGGACATGTCGATGCCCGGAGACATTGCCTTCGACAGTGGCACCTCCTTCTGGGGCACTAACCTCACGGTTGCCGTGCTCAATGGAAGTGTTCCTGAGTGGCGTGTTGATGACATGGCTGTCCGTATCATGTCCGCTTATTACAAGGTCGGCCGCGACCGCTACAGCGTCCCCATCAACTTTGACTCGTGGACCCTGGATACCTATGGTCCCGAGCACTATGCGGTGGGCCAGGGCAACACCAAGATCAACGAGCACGTTGATGTTCGCGGCAACCATGCAGAAATCATCCATGAAATCGGTGCTGCCAGCGCCGTCCTTCTCAAGAACAAGGGTGGGCTTCCTTTGACTGGCACCGAACGGTTTGTCGGTGTTTTCGGAGAGGATGCCGGATCCAACCCTTGGGGTGTGAACGGCTGCAGTGACCGAGGCTGCGACAATGGTACATTGGCCATGGGCTGGGGCAGTGGTACTGCTAACTTCCCCTACTTGGTGACGCCGGAGCAGGCGATCGAGAGAGAAGTCGTGTCCCGAAATGGAACCTTCACCGCCATCACGGACAATGGCGCTCTTGAGCAGATGGCGGCTGTCGCCTCTCAGGCTGAGTAAGTATTTCCGCTGTCCCAGACTTCCAAAAAAAAAAAGCATGACTGACAGTTCGTAGTGTTTGCCTGGTCTTCGCCAACGCCGACTCCGGAGAAGGCTACATCAACGTCGACGGCAATGAGGGTGACCGGAAGAATCTGACCCTGTGGCAAGGGGCGGATCAAGTCATCCACAACGTCACTGCCAACTGCAACAACACCGTCGTGGTGTTGCACACTGTCGGCCCCGTTTTGATCGATGATTGGTATGACCACCCCAACGTCACTGCCATTCTCTGGGCTGGTCTTCCGGGCCAGGAGAGCGGTAACTCGCTCGTCGATGTCCTCTACGGCCGTGTCAACCCTGGCGGAAAGACTCCGTTCACCTGGGGACGGACCCGGGAGGATTACGGTGCTCCTCTGGTCCTGAAGCCGAACAATGGCAAGGGCGCCCCGCAGCAGGACTTCACTGAGGGTATCTTCATCGACTACCGTCGGTTTGACAAGTACAACATCACCCCCATCTACGAATTCGGATTCGGTCTGAGCTACACTACCTTTGAGTTTTCTGAGCTCAATGTGCAGCCTATCAATACGCCGCCGTACACTCCCGCTTCTGGCTTCACCAAGGCGGCGCAGTCATTCGGCCCGTCGTCCAATGCTTCTGACAACCTGTACCCCAGCGACATTGAGCGGGTCCCGTTGTACATCTACCCATGGCTCAACTCCACCGATTTGAAGGCGTCCGCCAATGACCCTGACTATGGGTTGCCTAACGACAAATACGTTCCTCCCAACGCCACGAACGGTAACCCGCAGCCCATTAACCCGGCTGGCGGTGCTCCTGGTGGCAACCCTAGTCTCTATGAGCCTGTTGCTCGGGTCTCAGCCATCATCACCAACACCGGTAAGGTTACGGGTGACGAGGTTCCTCAACTGGTAAGTGTCTCCCATTGGTTGTGGAGGCTCCTCTGCTGACTTCAACTCAGTATGTCTCTCTTGGCGGTCCCGATGATGCCCCCAAGGTTCTTCGTGGCTTCGACCGTATCACACTTGCGCCTGGTCAGCAGACCTTGTGGACGACCACCCTGACGAGGCGAGACATCTCGAACTGGGACCCTGTCACCCAGAACTGGGTTGTGACCAACTACACCAAGACGGTGTATGTTGGCAACTCCTCCCGCAACCTGCCTTTGCAGGCACCCCTTAAGCCATATCCTGGAATCTAAGGTATCTATATACCGCGACTAGAAGTTTTGTTGAACGACTCGCCATTTCATCTCTTGAGATCTGTGAAAGTATACGACAAATTTTGGAATCTCCTACTTATAAGGTAGGAGGAGTGTACATCTTGCACTTTCTTTTCCCCTGTCTGAATTAGCTCTTATATAGCGTTTAATAATACGGCTTTAAGGGGTATACAGTGTACTACTTCGTATAGAGTAGGTCATAGCGTATAGTAGGTCATAGATGGGATCGAAGTAGTAATTCGTACCTGTTGACTAGGTATATCCAGGAATCCATAATGGTTGATTTCTTTAAGATAGAAGCAAAATTTAGGCAGGAGCTTACTTTTGATCCAGACGTAGTAATTAATAGCTAATACCTCGTGGTTGAACGTACTTGTCTTGCCACCAGGGCACCTCGGCTCGGGTCGAGCACATGACCGTGCAGTCCGAACGAACACGCCGACGTCATCAGCCGGGACGGAACTTGCTCAGAGATGGATGCTCCATCGGCACAGGTTGAAACACATTGCCATTGGAAATGCCTGAAAGATAACTGAAGTTTATTTTCTCCTTTCACATTCTTTGATCCTTCTGATTTCCAATCTGGCCACTTCTTTCTTCCCCAATTCTCAGACCCTGGGTTGGTAACCGGGGAAAAAAAAATATGTCCCCATCGTCGACAGCTCAACGACGAAACGGGTCGCCAGCCAAACCCAAGGGGACACAATGGCCATCGCAACCACCGGCAATCTCCCTTCTTGTCTATCCGCTCACTCTGGTCGTGGGCTCCCTCTACTCGATCATCTCGCCCACTGCGCGCCCGTCCAAGACCTCCGACCAGACGACCCCCTTGACGGCATCTGACACCTCGACGCCGAGTCACCCCCCCGTAAACTACTTTGCTCGCAAGGACAACATGTTCAATGTGTACTTCGTGAAGGTGGGCTGGGCATGGACGACGCTCGCTTTTGTCTCCTTGCTCCTCACCCAGCCGCTCCACACCAACTCCAGCAGTCTCCATCTTCGCGGGAGGCGGACCCTGCAAGCGCTTCTTCGCTACGCAATCGTTACGGTGTCGTGGATCGTGACGACTCAGTGGTTCTTTGGGCCGGCGATCATCGATCGCACGTTCACTCTGACTGGGGGGAAGTGCGAGAATCTGAATCCGGCAGGTGCATCGGCGGGCGCATTGGAGGAGCTGAAGTTGGTGGTTACGGCTACAGCGTGCAAGGCCGCGGGCGGGACGTGGCGAGGCGGTCACGATGTCAGCGGCCATGTCTTTATGCTCGTCCTTGCTAGCGCTTTCCTTGCCTTCGAGGCTCTTGGGGCGTCGTCTCCCGGGAGTAGTGCCACGGCGGATGTCAAGGAGAAACAGGACAATGGGGAGACTTCGACGGAGCGTGCTGAGACTAAGGACTGTCCGGTTAGAATATGGGCGCTACGGTTCGTCTGGGCCGTTACGCTGCTGAGCTGGTGGATGCTGTTCATGACCGCAATCTGGTTCCATACGTGGTGGGAGAAGGTAAAGACTCAAAAAACACACCCTTGTCCATTTGGCTATATTACTTTTCCTTGGCTGACTGGCGCTTCTTCTGTTTAGGTTTCAGGTTTGCTTATCGCTTTAGCTACGATATATGTCACCTATTTCCTTCCCCAGACACTTCCTCCTTGGAGAGACATTATCGGGGTCCCAGGCGCATAGATGTGGAGTAGATACGCTTTGAAACACACGGTGTGTAACGAAATACATAAATGTCTTGTTAGTATTCCTTTGTCTGAAATAATATATCCTTCCTCCAGAGAATTCTCTTCGTTGTATATACAATTGTTCTTCTGTTGTCTGCTGAATGCCTAGTCTGAGCTGGCAATTTTTGCCTTCAAGGACTTGTTTTAGGTTCCGATCCGAGATAACCCATGCAGAATGCTAGAAAATAGTCGTGAGCTTGCATTTCAGGCCTGGATCAGGCGGTCTTGGGGGAGTGCTTACCTCCGGGAATCAAGGCCGAGGCATACATGACCCTGGTGATCGGGCGAAGGTCATCGGCAGTCAACTTGGTCTCGTCTTTGGAGATGGACTTTGTTATGTACGGTTCCCAGGATGCAATGATGGCGTCTGCATATGTCTTGAGATCAATGGAGCGTTCCTTCTCCGACCTCTGCTCCGAGTGGCAGCCGATGCCTAGGCACGTCCCGAATTCACGGAACGCCAGACGGTACTTGATGCTTCGGTCCAGGTAACGGTCGATCTCGAACAATTCGTCTAGAAGATGGGAAGTGCTCTGTCAGTGTCATCGGTTCATATAAGAGAGCAAGCCACGCAGATCATACAGATTTGTTCAAAGCATCTTCCTGCAAGCCGGGTAGCCCAGCCCTCCTTCTCCGAGAACCAGTGCGCTGTCCACAGGGTCATGCCCAGATCGAGCGGGTCGCTGGACACGAAGTGCTCGCCCTTTCGCTCCATCACCCTCTTGTAGTCGCCGATCTCCTCGTCCAGGACCTTGCCATCGCCCGTCTCCTGGGCCGACGCCTGGAGGAGCCGGAAGATGACATAGCCGTCGATGGGGTCGAGGTTGCCCTCGGACGGCACCAGCGGCGTCGACAGATCCATCGACATCTTCCAGACCATCCGCGGCCGCGTCGACTGCCGGTTGACGAAGAACCGGGGGTGGATGGCTTTGGCCAGGGCGACGGCCTGCCGGTTGTACGTCGGGTCGCCCGTGGCCAGCGACAGCCGGTTGAGCGCGAACATCCAGATGGTCAAGTAGTGATGGTACTGGCCGTCGCCGTCCGGGCCCGACTCGTCCATCTTGCCAATGCGCAGCCCGCCTCCGAGCGGATTCTCATCCGTCGCCCCGGGCAGCCGGCTGCGGCCATCGCGGGTGCGGCCGAGGACGTCGTGCACCGTTTCGACCAGCCGCCGGGCGAGAACCAGGTACTTGTCCGAGACGTCGTTGCTGCTGCCGGCCGGGGTGGCTTTGGAGCGTTCCTGATGCAGCGTCACGAAGTTGATCACGCCAAAGGCGTCCGTCCACAGGTAGCGGCCGCGATGACCGCCGGACTTGGGCGGAGGCGTCCACTGCGCCGGGTCGGTGATGCTCTCGAAGCTGCCATAGACAGACTCCATCGCCTGCTCGAAACGCGCCAGGCGCGTCGACAGCGTGTCGCCGTCGGACATCGTCGTGGTGGTGGCCATGTTCCTGATGCCGACACCCTTCTTCTTCCAGAGCAGTGTGATGCTTTGAGGTTTGATCGGTCTGCGGAAAAGGTACATATACAACATATACAATATACGTATGTACAGTACACTACATGCCACTGAGACAGCGCCCAGCGACTTCAGAAGACACGCGCACACACTCTCTAACTGGTGGTTTCAACGGGATCGACTTTGCTTGTTGCTTGCTTGGCGTGTGAAGTAATGATGACTCGGGCGGTGATTTAGCGGAGATTTACGGACCTATGATTTCATGCCTCGCTCTCTTTGGTCGAATATGGCAAGAGGCAAACAAAGGGTATTCTATGAGATCTATTCAGGTTATATATATAGAGAAAGACGCCTTCTGTCTTTACTACCAGTTAAAATGGCCTTTTCGCTGTCCAACATACGCGAGAGATTCTCTTAATCGGGATCGAACTTCTCTGTGACCAAGAAGAATGGCAGGACAACTGACTCAGCTCATCCAGGCGGCCGCTCGCCCGTTGCCGGATTTCTCTGACCCGCTGTTCGGGTCCATGTTTGACAGTTTCCGCAACTACAAGGTGGTTCTTCTGGGGGATGGCAGCCACGGCACGTCCGAATTCTATCGAGCCCGCGCGGAGATCACGAAGCACCTGGTCAACAACCATGGCTTTAACATAGTCGCCCTGGAGGCCGACTGGCCCGACGCGGAGGCCATCGATCGCTATGTCCGGCTGCGTCCTGGTCCCAAGGGCCGAATCGGGGGTGCTGCCTACAAGGTGGAGCCCTTCAAGCGGTTTCCCACGTGGATGTGGAGGAATCGCGAGATGCAGGAGCTGGTCGAATGGATGCGGGACCGCAACGCCAAGGTGCCCTTCGAGGAGAGGGCGGGCTTCTACGGCCTCGACCTCTACAGCATGGGCACTTCCATCCGCGCGGTCATCGACTATCTCGACCGCATCGATCCCGATGCGGCCAAGGAAGCCCGCCGGAGGTATGGCTGTCTCCAACCTTGGGTGGACGACCCTTCGTCCTACGGTCTGGCCGCCCTCCGCGGTTTCGAGAATTGCGAGACTCAAGTCCTGTCGATGCTCCGAGAGCTGCTCGAACACCGCCTGGATTATTCGTCCTCGGAGCATGACGGGGAAGAGTTCCACAGCAGCGAGCAGAATGCCTATGTGGTCCGAGACGCAGAGAAGTACTACAAGGCCATGTATTACAGCTCTGCCAGCTCGTGGACCCTGCGGGACACGCACATGTTCGAGACGTTAAGGCGTCTCTTCCACAGCAAGCCCGCCAACAGCAAGGCTATTATCTGGGCACATAACTCGCACTGCGGCGACGCACGATACACTAGTATGGGGATGCGTCGGAACGAGGTCAACATCGGACAACTCTGCCGCGAGAATTTCGGCCGCGATGCCGTTGGCATCATCTGCTGCGGCACTCACACGGGCACAGTGGCAGCAGCTCACGAATGGGACGACGACATGGAGGTGATGAACGTGAACCCGTCCCGGACAGACAGCTGGGAGTACGTCTGTCACAGCACCGGAATCCCCAGCTTCGTCCTCGACCTCCGACCAGGCTATGCCGATCCGGATCTGCGCAAGGCCTTCGCGGAGGAGCCCGCGCGGCTGGAGCGATTCATCGGCGTCATCTACCGGCCGGACACGGAGCGAGTCTCACACTATTCGCAGGCCTATATGCACAACCAGATGGACGCGTATGTCTGGTTTGATCGGACTTCGGCGGTCGGAGAGTTGGAGAGGGTCCAGCCGGTGACGCCGCTTGGAAAGGAGGAAACCTATCCATTTGGTCTGTAGAATGTAGAGGAATTAGCAAAATAAAAAATGAGGGATGGAACCCTGGTATTCTTAACGAATTCATGACTTCATTTCGTAACCTCTGTAGCGGTGAGTATGACAATCGCGCTTAATCTTATCTTGCGATATGCCTTGGGTCTTCGACAGAAGCAAGTGTGAAAGAAAAGAAAAACGAGGACCAATGGTCGTCGTTGTTCTTATGCAAAGGCATGTTTCAGACTGCAGATGCTGGCCAGCATGACCGCAGAGACTCGCCATCTGACACGGACGCGTGACCTGTACATTCCACACAATAATGAAAAAGAAGAAACAGCCTCGCAATCGATAACGGCGACGTGGCGGGGTTGAGGGTGCGTGCAGGCCGGCGGTGGATAAATGAGGCTATTCCGATTGACGTCAGCCGCTGACACTCCGCCGGGGCGCCGCGCTTGGCTTTGTTTACATTTGTGTTTACGTCTCCGGACGACACCGCAACTCCTCGATTTTTTCGCACGCGGCCCCCTCTTCGACCCTGTGTCCAGGCAAGAATAGCGATAATTTGCATCTGCCAGTTGAGAATCCTCTGTCTTCGATTTTCTCAGGGCAAAGATGCCGCCGCGTAGGTCTGCCCGCCTGAGAGGCGAGACCCCTGCCATCGAGGTGAGTGCTGCCAGCTCCGCGCCCGCACGCTGTCGTTGTCAATTCACGCCCTACTGTCGGATTGACCCTGACGCGTACACAAACAGGAGCCCTCGCTCCCCCCTACTAGGTCTAGGTCCACTAGATCCAAATCTCCCAGAAAGCTTTCCTCCCTCGCGGAGCGTGACGAGACAACAACAACAGACGTGGGCTCCCAGCCAAACAACGACCCCGTGCCGTCAACTCCTATGCACCACTCCCCCAAGGACAAGTCCAATCCTCCCTCCCATTCCAAGTCCGCCATGAAGACGCCTTCGTCTGCCGGAGAAGTTCGCCCCGCTCACGAGGAAATGCACCCGAGCAAGGTGAGGCAGAGCACGACCAAGCAGCCCGACTCGGGCCTCATCCTTGGCTTCAATCCCGTCAAGCGAGATTCCAACGGAAACATCATCAAGGACACCGTTGTCAGCAATACGCCGTCGAAGACGAAAGAGTCACCCCCGAGCACTCTGAGCACTCCCAAGTTCGATCTCAAGTTTGCGAGCGATGAGACGCAGTTGAGCGAGGAAGCCAGGAAGCTCATGGAGAACGTCCGCGAGGATGTTGCCCGGATCAAGGCCCAGATGATCCTGGAAAAGGGGGAGCAAGAACGCAAGGAGCGCGAGGCGCAGCAGCAGCAGGACGGGCGAAAGATTGCTAAACCCAAGGGCAAGACGGGCCGCTTCAGCGCCGCCCACATGGCCGAGTTCAGGAAGATGGACTCGATTGAAAACCATCCTTCTGCTTTCAGGGCTGCGCCAGGACGTTTCAAGCCTGTCGACAAGTCTCTCAAGCGGAAGATCTCCAAGGCCGCTCTGGACGAGCCGGAGAAGCAGTCGTCGTCGCCCTCTAAGCCCGCCGTCGCAGATGCCAAACGCGTGAAACGGGCAGAGGGTGAGGATGCTTCTGTTGCTCGTCCAAGGCCCGAGGATGAGAGTCCCAAGAAATCTGCCATTCCCCAGCCGAAATCCACCATCCGCAGCAGCTCTCTCATGACGCCGACCAAGGCCTCCTCTGCACGGTTTGCAACCGCCAAGCCGCAGAAGACGTCGATGATACCGACGCTGGCACGGTCGCCAACATCCCGCATCACCGCCCCTCCACGCACCCCTCAGACTGAATTTAATCCGAAACTCAAGAAGAATCTCCCCAGCCTTGGGAATCTGAAGTCCATCCTGAGACGTCATCAGCCTCTTTTCTCCAACGATCCGGTCAAAATTGCTGCTGGAACGCATATTCCCAAGCCGGGATTCAATCCTGACATCAAATTGGATAACCTTCCCAGCATGTCTTTTGACGAGGAGCCTTGTCCAACTCCTTCGCCTAAGAAGCATGTGGAATTCTCGCCGAGCACGAAGGCGTCCCCGTCCCCGTCTAAGGTTCCTGCGCCTGACGTGTCGACTTCGGATGTTGTCTACCCTACGCTGCCGCAGATAACGCCGCCAAAGGAGAAGATCGACACGCCTACCATCCGTCGCGTTCGGGAGTCGGGTGTGTCTGCTCAAGCTAGCCCGTTCCCGAATCTGCCAGCTGTTCCGCATGGGATTGCCAACAAGAAGCGACACCGCGATGACGACGACGAGGACTCGGAGAACATTCCTCCAGCGGATTCTACTTCTGATGAGCAGCGGAGTACTAAGAGACTGAAGACTAGCAGCACCCCTGCTGTCTCTCAGAAGACTATTTCTAGTCCTCTCAAGTCGCGCACCACGACGCCAGCCCAGCCTACCCAGCCTACTCCAGGAAAAGCAACGCCAGGCAAGGCTACACCGGCTCAGACTGGAACACCGGGTACCGCTAGTCGGAAGAGCCGCGGTGTCTTGAGTATGAGCCGTTTGAACATGCTTGCCAAGCCGAAGACACGGCGTTGATTCATCGACAATTTCCATTACTGTCAAACTTCCACATCATCTAACAGACCAAACCCCCGCAAGGCAGAAGTTTAGTCCTTGCAGTTTCTTATCTTTATCGTACAGTACAGTACAGGCTTCTTCCATGTCTCGAGATGAGATTCATGCATGCATCCGCATCCACATCCACGTCCGCATCTGCATCTACATTCCAATTCCAATTACTCTTCAACAAGCGAGTTTTTATTTGATCAAAAGCAAAAATCAAAATCGAATTGAATTGGCATCTGGCGTCACAGGTTTGGTCGGTTGAACTTGGTCCGGAAAGTTATGTATGTACATGGGTTGGGCAATGAATTGCTTTGCTTGTTTTTGTTTTGCTGCTTCTTTTTGCTGATGTTTGTGTTTGTGTGTTTTTGCTGTTTCAGGGCGTTTTGTGTTTTGTTTCAATTGTAAGAGTGAGAGTGAAAAAGAAAATGCTGCTTTGTTATTGATATTGACTCTTTTCATGTTGATCTTTTTTGTTTTTGTTTCCCCCTTTGGGTTTTTTGTTGTTTCTGTTTTTATTCGGTTCCATGTACAATCTTAATCTTCTTTCTTCGTGTAGAGTCAGTCGAGTTGAGATGTTGCAAGATTTGCAAGATTGCAATGCAATAACGCAAATGTGTGTACTGTAACAATGAAAAACATGTTCATAGATACCATACATACCTACATACATAGTAGGAATCATTATTGTATTGCGATGATGGAGTTAGTTGGTTAGTTGGTCCTCTCTTCTTGAAATTGCAAGATGTTGATCTTCTTGGTTGATTGATACAAGATAGACAGACAGACAGATAGATAAATAGAATAGAAAGAATGGACAGGGTACCTATGGAATCTTTGTAACCATCCATTACTAAAGATAGCAGTGATAGTGATTACTCCAGATTGTTCTGTCGTTAAATGAACATGACAATCATCTCATCATAGCAATACCACCACTACTACTACTCATACACTAAACTGGTCCTCCCCTTCGAATCGAAATCGATCGATGCTCGATGATGCTCGATTGGAAATTTCCAAAGGAACATACATAACCTATGTATGTATGTATACAGTACAAACAAAGTGAGGCGCTCGAGTCGAGAATATGATACACAGAAGAACAAAGTAAAGCAAAGTAGCAAGCAAGTGCGCCCCGTCCAACCGTCGCCCCTAACCCTGAAAAATCCCGATCCAAACCTGACTCCTGAGAAGAAAAAAAACACAGAAAAAAAATCATCCCTTCATGCTGGCCAAGAATGAGTCCAGATTATACTCCTCTTGGTACTGGCGATCATCCCAGAGCTCGCCGAGATCATCCAGCCAGCCTTTCTTGCCTTTCTCCTTGACTTCGCCATCAATGTCGACCATGTCAACTTCGTTGCCTGCAGCAGCGTCCTGACCAGGCTTCTCGGCCCCTTCTGCCGTCTCGCCCAAGTTGAAGAGATCCAAGAGTTGATCCGTGTCCATAGTGCCCAGCCCGGCGTTTTGTTGATTGACCACGGTAGAGGCAACGTCGATCTTGAAACGTTGAAGACTGGAAAAGAAAAGAAAACGTTAGCTCAGGCATTAAACAAGTCTTATGGCGCAATACTTACTTCAGAATCTTCTCCTCCAAGGTTCCTCTCGTGATCAATCGGTAAACATTGACAACCTTCTTCTGGCCGATGCGGTGGGCACGGTCCATAGCCTGGATGTCCTTTTGAGGATTCCAGTCATGCTCCACGAAAATAACAGTGTCCGCTCCGGTCAGATTAAGGCCCAGTCCACCAACACTTGTCGTCAGAAGCAAGACGTCGTAACTTGGGTCCGTGTTGAATTGGTTGACAATGTTTTGTCGCCTGGAAGCTTCAACGCTGCCGTCCAGGCGCAGGTACTGAACAGACGGGAGGAGCTTCTTCAACACCTCTTCTTGCACAATGTCGAGCATTTCCTTCATTTGGCAGAAAATGAGAGCCCGGTGAGGGCTGACGTAGTTGGCTCCCGTCTGCAGCTCGCCTTCGGTGCTGGGGTCGACACCAATGCCGCAGTCGATGAGAAGATCGCGCAGAGCAGTGAGCTTGGGCGCGTGTGCAACGTCCCGGATGTGGGAATTTCTTGCGGCCAGCCACCTCTGAACTTCCTCGTATTGCTTGTGGCCCTCCTTAATGACCAAGGCAGGAGAATTGCAGAGGCGGCGCATGTACTGCAGGGCCTGGAAGATGTGCTCTTTCGCAGCCTTATCAGTACTTCCCATCTTCTCCACAAGGTTCTTCTTTTCCTTCTTCGTGAAGTCCTCGAACAGTTTTTATCTGCAATTCACTCGGGTCACAGTAGTAGTTCTGTAAAATCTTCGGGGGCAGGTCGTTCAGGACTTCTTCCTTCAGACGACGCAGCAAGAATGGAAGAACCTGCTTGTGCAGGGCTTCTATTGCCAATGCGCCGGCTTCCTGCTCTTTCGATGACGATTTGCTGAAACGGCTCGCGGCGATCGGTTTCGCGAATCGATCCAAGAACACCTTTTCAGTTCCCAAAAAGCCAGGCATCAGGAAGTCGAAGAGGGACCAGAGCTCCAGAACATTGTTCTGAATGGGAGTTCCGGACAGGATCAGACGGTGATTGCTAACGAGGCGTTTCACCGCCAAGGTAATCTTTGCCCTTGGGTTCTTGATCAGATGACCCTCGTCCAGAACGCAATAGTTCCAACTGATAGGAACGAAGACGTCGTTGTCATTCCTGCAGATATCGTAGGACGTAATGACAATGTCTGCTTTTTCCAGCTCGCCCCGCAGCTTCCCACGCTCCGCCGGAGGACCGACATAAGCCACGCAGGAAAGGAATGGCGCGAACTGCTTGATTTCTTGCTGCCAGTGACCCGAGAGGGTTGGCGGGCATATGATCAGCGATGGAAGTTTCCGGTACTCAGGAGCCTGCGTTTTAGCATATTCTTGCGCTCTCATGTGATGGTCGCTGGCTACAATGCAGATTGTTTGCAGCGTCTTGCCAAGACCCATGTCGTCACACAGGATACCGTGTAGATGATAACGGTTAAGGAAGGCAAGCCAGTTGACTCCCTCTTGCTGATACGATCGGAGTTCTGCTTTGATCTCAACGGGGATTTTGAAGGGCTCCACTTTGCGAATATCCAGCATTTGAGCTATAAACTTCCTCTCACGGTCACGCCCCTTGAGCAACTCCTCTGAGAGACCCGGTGGGTCTGGAATCCCTGCCTCAAGAGGAACAAGCTTGACGAGAGTAGCAAACGAAGTTGTCGCCAGTAATCGCACGTCGTTATCGGAATCGCTCATCCTTCCGAGGACAGGGACAATGAGGAATATGACGTACGGGAGAATGCCGTCCTCCATAACGTGTATGAGGTGATATATACATTCGACGGCACCCTGGCGATGATGGACATCCAAAGCATTGGTTATCGTAGGAAGCACCTTCTCGACCAACATGGTCATGCCTTCGACCGTTATAACGCTGCACACGGTTGCAAAGCACTTGGCAGCCGCGTAACGGATGACAGAAAGCTCGCACTGCAACGATTTGGCGATGATAGGCATGAGATTGACGACCCAAGGGTAGAGACCGGAATCAAACTTGGGTACAAGAGCACGAAGTGTAGATAATCCATCGATAACTTCTTGGCCCAGTTCATTCTCCGGGTCGCGGATGTTGGCCGGCAGCTCTCCCGTGAGCGCCTCCCTCAGCGGCCGCTCAATCAAAGACGTAAGATTAGGGACCTTCTCCAAGAGCTGAGGCCCAAATTTGACGGCCAACTGCTCCAGAGCCTCTTTAGCTCCTCTCCGCATGATCCTTGCCTCCTTGGCCTCCTTCTCGTACTTCGCTGGATCGGCATGATCTCTGCGGTCTTCCTCTTTGCGGAGCGATAATATAGACTTCTCGAGGTGCGCATTAGGATGGAACTCGGGCGTCTCCGACGTGTCCACACAGCAATACTTGACCAGGTTGCCAATCACCTTGTCCACAGGTCCTCGCTTCGTGGATGCCGTATAATAGTCGATTAAATTCACAATCGCTGACGCAGACCGTTGTTGAAGTTCGCTGTTCTCCTCTTTCTTTATGCTGTCCATCATCCCCTTGATGATATGGCTGGGTTTCTTAGGGATGTCTTGCAAGGCTACCAAGGCGCCCGCTGTTGCAGCCCGAATGCGCATGTCCCTCTGTTCTTTGATGGCCTTTGCGTCTTCGATGGCCGACTCGGCACTCGCCCGCGTATCATTCAAGACCTGAAGAGCAGTAACACGTTGAGCGGGTGTCAGACTCTTCTTCAGACGCTCAAATTCAGGTCCAATAACCCTTTCGGCGTCGCTGATGGAAAAGGCATTAGGACCTGCGTCGTTGTCTCCCTGGACGAGGACCGCTAAAGTCGGTAGTCGTCCTGCTGGAACGTGCGCATGGTCTCGGAAGGCGTTCAGGAGCGAATGGCATTGCGCTCGTGCAATATGAAGGTAGCAAGCAATGTCACTATACCAGGGAGGTCGCTCAGCCTCAACGATGGGCCGCAACGATTCGCATAACAATGCTGTGTACTTCCCGCTGGGGCCAGCACGTTTGGCATACTCTTCGACGACCATGGCTGCTGCAAGCTGCGAGGTTGAACCTGGCCAGCTGAGCCCAGGCAAGACGGATTGCCAAAGACTAGGGAGATTGTTCGAGTCCCAAATAAAGAGGAAGTGACCCAGAGCCTGTGCCGCATAGATCTTGGATCTCACCAAGGTGTCCGCACCGACTAAGTCAACATCTCCTTGCAGCATATGGCCGTCAACATTGTGGGCTGAGGGGGGAGGTGCTTCCTTCTTCTCGGCCTTTCGCCGACGACCCTTTGTGGAAGATTCAGCACCTGCAGAAGCCCTGCTGGGAGACGGTTTCCTAGTGGTGGCCGCAGCATTCGAGTACGGTAACCCTGATGGCTTGATGAACAAAGACGCGTTCATGGGTATCGGGTATCGAGGGACACCGAAAGGACCCATAGTTAGGGTAATGAGTGGCTGGATGTGCGAACCCAAGGGTGCCTCTGATTTGAAAAAATCGCGCGCCTCTAGAGCTTTAAGCAGCTCGAACCAGACCTGGAGAGATTGCTTCAAGACACCTTCATTCCGCTCAACCAGCAGGTTCTGGAATATCAGGCGCATCGCTTTGCCATCGACCCACGCATTGGTACCCTCACCTTCGAGCTGTAGGAAAGTTATGAGGGCTCGCAGAACGGCTAGCCGCACACTGGTAATGGTGTGTCTCAGGAAAGGATAGAGGCGCGGGACCAGATTGCCGAATGAGGCCTCTGGATCATCTGCAGCGTTGGCCTTCATTGCATCAAGAACCTCTGGGAACGTACAGAGTTTGGCCAACAGATCCATTACAGATCCCGTACTGGCGCTGAGATCGTCCTGCAAATTCGAAAGACATTCCCAGACAATATTGATCAAAGTATTCAGAGTTCCGGGGCGTGAAGCAACGAGCTCTTCGGCGATGGGCACGAGAGTGGCCGCGCTGACAGCACGTACATCATCGTCATAATCGCCTAGTCCCTTCATGACGGCCTCCAGCACTCCATCCATCAATTTCGAATCCTTCACTAAGAGGTCTTTCCGGACCGCTACGAGGTATCTTAAGCCGATCATACCGCCATGGCAAACCTCCCAGATGGGCCGGTCAAGACCCAGGTCCGTCTGCATGATTATCCGGTGGAGGATCCGATAGACCAGGACGACTGATCGAGAGGGCAAGTGAGCTAAGACGGCACCCAGGGTCTGACCGACATTTTCTCTAATGGGAGCAACAACGTTATCCGAAATATAATCGCCGAAGCGATCCAACATGAATACGCAAAGTAAGCGGCAGGCTAAATCCTCGAGCCATTTGCGATTAAGAATGTTGTTTTCCGCTCTCGATTTGCCATGGACGCGCCCGGCACCGGCACCCTGAACACGGACCACTTCACGGAGTGCCATTGCGGCGCCGTGGCGAACTTCCCAGTTTGGATCAAAGAGGTCGACCATTAGAAATTCGCACATGCGCTCATATGGCCATTCCAAACCTTGTTCTTCGGCCTCAGTCTGGATTGCCGGTTTCTCCGGAACAACTGGACCTTTGAACTCCGAGACGATTTTGGTTTCGTCATCACCACCTTCTCGCTCGAGAGAGAAGTAGTCCGGCTTGCGATCACCGTCATCTCCCATTTCTGTCTTGACGGCATGGGGGGTGGCAACTGGTGGGGAGGGGACGGCATCCGATGCTCTTCGAGACGAAAGATCCACGACACGGACCTTGTTAGCACCCATCTTTGCGTTCTGCTTGTTTTTCCGCTTGAGCTGGTTCAGCTGACGCTTGCTGAGGCCGCTGGTCTCTTCGCCATTCGGATGCTCACTAGGTGACTGCAAGGCTTGAGGGGAACCATTGTTCATACTATCCTGTCGCGACACGGAGGTAATCGACTTGTCTCCTTTGGATCCCGACATGGTGCGCGAATGAGAGACGACGTCATTCTCGTCGATCAGGTCGTTATCAATGTACTCACCCGCCAATCCAAGACGGGAAATCAAGGTTTTCTTCTGATGTTGCAACCTCGCAGCAGGGTCCATGCCGGCAAGGGAGTATTCATATTCTTTACCAGCGCTGCCAAGCAGCTTCTTGCCATATTTCAGGATAGATGCTATGTCCAGATTATCAAGCTGAAGCAAATCATCCGGTGACGACGGAGTTTCCTCTGTCTTGATTTCGACATCATCGTCATCTTCAGGCTTCTTGATCTCCAGTCCATCATCCTTGTTTGGGTCATAGGGCTCAGCGTTGGCAGCAATAAGGCCAATGGCCTTAGCTGCGGCTGTCCGGGTGTCCCATGTCTTGGATTTCAGATAGGGCAGAATGCGCCCCAGGAGATTAAACAGCTCGTCAGGATGTTGCTTCTGGACATCTGCCAGCTGCTGGGCGGCAGTATTCCGGATGACGGGCGTACTGCCTGTCTCAAGTAAACTAAAAACATGATTGGTCAGTTGCGGGTGTGGCATGTCACAATGCGGTTGGGTGAACTCACGTGACTAGACGGTCGAGCCTAGAGAGAAAAAGGTTAGCGGATCTGCTGCGACAGCAAGTAGATTGGCTAAGGCGGCTCACCTGGAGGTCATCGCGCTTGTCTAGTACGCTTGCGCAACGCGTGTGTTTGTTGAAGTGACAGATGAAGCAAGTAAGAAAAAGAAAAAAAGAAGAAAAAGAAGTAAGAGAAAGAAGAGAAGAGAATATGAGTCAAAAAGGAAGGGGAGGCGAATTCAAAAGTGAAGGAATACAGCAAGTCGTGAATATTAAGATAGAATAAAGTGGACAGCTGTTAAGGTGGGCAGTCTGGGATGCCCATGTGGATTATATTACAACCACGCGATAGCCATCAGATCACTTCACCTTCATAGGCACGCCCCGTGAAGAAGCAGCGACGACGGGCGCGGCAAGAGAAGAGCTCCGGCAGCACCGGGTAGTTGGTGGGAGGCCGAAGACAGCTGGGGCAATATTCAAGGACAGGGTCTCCGGAGGCGTGCGGCGCGATGCGTGGCCGTAAGCAAAGGCGATGGCCGTCCGTGTGTTGGGTACTGCTGGAGCGAGAGAGTCGAGGTTGCGCAGGCTGTTTATATCATTGGGACATCGTTGGCCCGGCGCGTCGGCCCAGGATGGCGCGGCAAACACCAGTCCCGATCGGGCCTAGCGTCTCCGCGCTGATCAAAAGCTTTTTTCTCGTGCATGTCACGTGATGGCGTCCCTTACGATCAGCATGATGCGGTATGCTCTGTCGCCTCTTGTGCTTGTGGCAATCACTTGAATCCTTTGATTGGCGAACTGTCTCCTACGTGAGGGATACAGAGAAAGAGATCTTCTACTAGCCAGATAACAAGCATCAAGAGTAATGTCCGAAATCGACATGGCCTCACGGCACTTTGCAGACATCAAGCCGGCCAAGTCCGGTTAGATCCGCAGATCTCCATTTCCTTATTTTGCCTCTTCACCTGCTTTCTTTTGGGAAGGAAAAACATATATCCAAAAAGGGCAGCAGGCGTTAGCTTGTAGATAGATCCGGCTCTTAGTATGTTCTTAGTATTTTCTGGCAGCCCTCTTAACTGAATATCAGGTACTATTACTAGCAGATGTAATGCTTTGACTATAAAGGGAAGTGACTTGTATTAGGTAGGATGAACTAACTAAGTGATGCACAACAGTAAGGTTACACTTTTGGTGGTTGGAAGTCATGATGGATGGAAAGTGTGTCAGTGGAACTTTTGATCCAGCCACAAAATATCCTCTTGAGCCTTGTGTGGTGGCCCTCCTGAAAAAACACGATGGACTTGATATCTAGCATAGGAGGCTGCCAGAAGATCCAATGCTATTTGGGCACCATAGGTGCAGCATGTTTCATCGGCATAAAGGGACGAAAATTGCTACCGGTAATTGCAGGCACGAAATCAGAACTGGGAACAACATTGAGACACGAGTGAAAAGGACTGATCACTTCGAATGACGGAGCACGGACAGATGCTGTAATAGTCGTCTTGGGAGTCCGTCGCGATCTCAGACGTGCAGTCCAGAAGACTGGTTAACAGGTCCAGGATTCTTTTTTTCGGCCTGCGGGACGCCACTTGCAGAATCATTGAACTGCAGCCCGGGGAAGACATCGGAATTCATCCCAATTGAAACCAGAATGACTCTCGAAGGTTTGGAAGTCCAGTTGTACTTGGATCCACTTTTCGAGCCCGACACATCCGTCTCCATCTGCTTTTCGGTCTGCCTGGTCTTCATTTCAGGGAGAAGAGGGGGATATATTGTTTCGATCGTCTCTTTGCCCTGCTTTCCGCGGAGAGACATCAACATGCCCACAAATGGCCCGGAGATCCCCAGATTGCTGGCGGCTGTATCCAGTGCTGAGAGTGCCTCGTTCTTCAGGCCATCGGTGATGCTGCTGTTCGCCCTGTTCTTCACCTGAACCATGATAAACGACATGGTATTGCGTCTGGGTATCGCGATAGGAATGACAAGTCACCACCTTTCCATCCAGTGGGGGCTATGATGCCCGCACCACAACGCCACACCAAGGTCAGAGTCTCTGGAGTAATCTCCTCTGTAGCTCTGATAAAATGATTGAAGAAAATGTGACCATCGTCTAGAATAGTCTTCATATTTGAATCGTCCTCCATTCGGATCTTGAAGTCGGCAAAGACATCATGGGAGACCAGGGACTCAAAGAATGTCGAAAACTTGATCGGTCCTGGTAAATCCGTGGTGGCCGCCTTGTCGAAGGTGAACAAGAAAACTAAACAGGCCACCATTTCACCAATGTCCCCGAGGTGAATCGTTCCTTGCATGATGTTGCTGTAGAGGGCTTCTATGAGCCTCTGCCGCTTGAGTGGGGATTTGGTTTCACAGGACGATATGTGGGCGAGGATCGGTTCCGAAGGTTGTACGGTCCGTAGCAACTTCCAATCGTCGCTGATGCCATGGATATATCTCAGATATCCAGATGAGAGCTTTTCTGCCAGCCAGGGTGAGACTACGTAGAAAAACAGCCGGTAAGAAAGCAGTGCCAGCCCAACAACATCATCAATGGTATCACCACCCGGTATGCCTCCATAGGCTTTGGACAGAGCAAAATCGACCAAGTCGTTGATTTCCATCCTTTCAGCCATAGCGCCCCAAAGCGGTCTTCCGAGACTGAAAAGGGACTTCAAGTCTCCGTCTTTGAGAATCGGCTTAAGTGCAACCTTAGGCACCCCATCAACAGTATCCCGCGCAAAGACATCCATGCTGTCGATCTTGTAGATTGGAGTAAAGAGCCTATCAGACTCTGTCCACTTGGCACTCGGATCGAGTTCTTTTTGGGGTGAAAAAGCATTGACTTTCGACGATGTGTCGAGCAGAACGGCGAAAAATTCCTTCTCGTCTTGGTTTTTTGCAGACTTTGTCTGTTGCCTTAATGCTCGGCGGAGTGCAAGAAACATCATATCCGATTCCTCTATTTCTGTTGGATTGTTCAGAAGTTCTCTTGCCTCGTCAAAACAGAAGATTGCGGAAGGTCCATTGAATTTTGGTGAGAGTGAGTCCTTTTCCCTAGACAAGAGTCCCTCACTTCCTCCCTTTTTCTTGAGCTTCTTTGCCCTTTGCTTGAAGAGTGGTTGAACATCTTTCATGTACCAGTATAGGTGCTTTCGTGCCCAGTTTCGGTATGAAAAGCTGTCACGGTCGACGTCCTCACTTCGAACCCTCGATTCCTCACCACCGATGGTGCTGCCCATGGCTCTTTCGAAAAGAGCCTCGATCTTCTCTACGATTGCCTTCTGGAATTCGTTGTATGTAGGAAGGACCTGAAATTCGTAAAAGGCTCGTGGAGTGATCCCGTGTTCATTGCATAACTCAATGTGAGCTATGCCCGCAACGATGTAGCATTCGAAATATTTGGTCGGTGAGTCATATAAGCGAGGCTGGTAGCTGGCTCACCACTAGGCAGCCACTGCAGGCCTACCTAAAACAAAGAAATCTGCTCGTCGTCCAGCTTGCATTCATCGTTTGCTCGTTGACACTCTGATATGGATTACTACATTAGGTAGGTGTCTGCCCGAGGTACCCGTGCCCAATAGTCTAAACCAGAAAGGGTTTAGACCCTTGGGCATGGGTACCTGAAACAGGCAAAGTATGCACAATGCCGGGGCAGGCGTGTACCGGCCCATCGGGTACATACTCCGTACAGCACATTTCATTTCAATTTCCTCTAGGTAGTTAACTGTGCCAAGGTCACAGGGCTCACAGGTGTTAGCTCTGTTATTACTACGGCCAGAATTTGAGGGTCGTGAACTCTGCTGAGATGTCATTGAATCCTGTCATTTAGACTAGCTAGGTGAGCTGTGAGTTCGTCTGATAGATAGGTGGCAAAGAGAAAGGTTTTCCATGGCGCCTTGTGATGCAGTGTTCTATTGTGACTTTTGTTTTCAGCTTGCCGTCCTCGTACGCAGTAGCTATAGAGGCGGTTTTCAGATCGAAGTATTCGCCGGCAGTGTAGCCTGTCGAGCGACCAGCTTTGTAAACGTCTTTGATCTTCGTATTGGGATTGTCCCAGTTTCTCAGTCTGGCAGCGGTGTGGAAGCGCCATTCTATCTCACGATATCTCCTGGTCCAATACTAACACCAACGGAGGCAAGCTGGAAACTATTGAGTATGTCGATGATCTGCTCACGAACAGGTCTCCAGTCTTTAGTTGACCCCCTTGCAACTGTCAGGATAACAGTCGGAGGGTTCTCCTTCGGATCTTCATTCTTCCCCAAACGGAAGCACTCGACGCCCTTTATTTCAGTTAGATCAACCTCCGATAGAATGCGGTCAAGGACATTATTCCAGATAGGATAGATGAGATCCGTTGGGAGGACCGGAGAGTATCGGAGAGGTTCGAAAGCTCGCGAATCTGCAATCTCGACAGAGACTCCTGCCAAATTCTCACTCATGAGAAAGGAACGAATCTTTCTGCAAGCTTGGAGCCATTTCTTATCAAGCTCATGCTTTACCGCCAGGACAAGCACGGTTGGAATGAGGTCTGGCTCTGGATCAAACTGGGACCTCGTCCACATAGGTCGATAGAGTGAAAGTCAACCTGGTACGACTCCAAGATGGAAATCATAGACTGCTGCAGATGTCCATTACGGTCATCTAGCCGTTCCTGGAGGGGATGATATTTGGGGAGGCTTTCACTTCGGGTAGGTATTGCGCACAGGTACGGACCTCCTGTCCGGAGATCTTCTCATCCAAAAGCTGCTCGCCAGAATCGTCACTGGAGCTTCTGGTCTTTCTTTTTCTCCCATCACGAGTCCATGCCGCAGACGGTGCAGGGGACGGTGGAGGAGGCAAAATGGCACCGGTGGTGGTGACTGGCGAGGCATAGCACAGTTCGATTTCAGAACCACGATTACGACGCGTCGAGACCATGGCGGCCATACTGAATAGTTGTAGGCAGAGTAGGCTGCTGGGTTTTAGATGGAAAGACGTCAGGTAAAGTGTTTAGATGGGAAGATTTCAGGCAGAGTGAAAGGGAGCAGGTAGGAAACGGGTGCGAGACTGGAAGACAGCGAGGAGGTGAGTGGAGGAAGAAAACAAGTGAAAAGACAGTCTCGAATAAATAACTGGCTACTAGGGAGCGCCGTTATTGCGAATCACTTATGGATCTGCCTAGTCGAATGCTTCACTGCATCATATACTGAACCATGGTTCTTTCCATGTTGGGACAAAGCAGGACTGGAATAGGCGTAGTCTACTCTGCCGAAGCAGTGATCTGCTCCTGGAACCTGGAAGCCACCGCAGATTCACAAGTTGATTCGAGAAGTTTGCACTGGGTGAGGCAAAAGCGAGCTGCTTGCAGATTTTTGAACAATATTTGACCTACCTAGATAAACTCGTTTAATCTGAGCTGAGCATGTGAAACACCGGCTACTTCATTGTAGTTCACTTTCAGGCAGCACCCATGGAGTGCCATTGTACAACCACGCGATTTGCCAGATGTCAATCTGACTTCCCATTTGCCTACAATACAGCTGAAAAGGTCGCACGAGGAGCAAAGCGGTTTCCAGAGTATGGATAGAGGTCATGGGCCTCGAGACGTAGATGAAGGACATCCACAGAAGCGTGAATAGTACTTGAACCGATTGGATCCGATGATGGTTGCAAATACGAAAAGAAAAAGTGTATTGCGATATCATTTCTGTACAGGGCTGCGCTCCAGCTTCCGAAAAATTCAAGGCGCGGCCGATCCACAAGTCATGCCATATACCGCCGGACTGGACCTCCCTCAAGAACCCAAAACGCTAGCTGTGTCCTCCTCCTTCCCTAGCAATCCCAGATTTCGGATCTGCTCTGCCTTTGGTGCGTTTTCTCGTGGGTGCGAGGCCTCAGCCTTGCGGTACGCGGCTTGAATTCTCTTCGCGCGTTGGGCCTGATTATTCCCTTATGTCAGATACTGGTGTTGACAAACGTCACGCTTGCTTTCTGATATCGAGAGATGGGTATGCGCGCATCACCGGGAAACAAGGACGTACCTCCTTGGTGTGGTGCAGGCATTCATAGTAGTCCTCGAGGGCGGGAATGCATTTCTTCTTTCCGGCATCTCCTTCACTGCCGTTCACCACGTAGCATCCCAGGAGTTCTTGCCAGAAGGGAAAGCAGCGGGAGGGGCCTGCAAAGCAGACGGTCGTTAGCCACGTTATTCCGAGCGATTGCGCAAGGTCTGTTGGCCAGCAAGGCCAATTGCAGCAACACGCAAAGCAAATCATCACGAGAGACAACATACCGCCATTGAGACCGTATCCGGACGCCATGTTGTTGAGGGAGGTGGGGGAGCAGGTGATTGAGGGCGTGTAGAGAGGATATTGCTATCGGAGATGGAGGTTGCGCTTGACGTTCCGCCGGGAAAGGCATCGGGCGGGTCCATGCTCGATTGGTTGCGTTGGTTCCCGTACGGGGAAACCAGCCACTCCAAGCAGCGACGAGCGCAAGTCTCCTTTCTTCCATGCGAGGAACGCGCCATGGCAGATCTCTCGCATTTGTCAGATGCTCATGCGATTCTCCTTGCTGCTGAGCTCTGTTCTGCCGGCAATGTTGCCCCCTTGCCACGGCTGCAGCGGCAGTTTCCCACGTCGCTCACTCCAGAGCGGCTCTTCCGCATCATCTTGACCTTTCTCCCAGAGAGCACGCCGCCCCAGCGCTATACTCCAGTGTTGCACAGTCTCATCGATGGATCCCTATCCGACTCCGAACCGCAGGAGATTGATCTATCTTCTGTCAAAGATCTCCAAGAGGCTGTCGCACGAAAGCGCCTGCGAAGACTCCGCTTGCTCCCTCTCCGATACCCGCACGCCGCAGAACCGACAGATTCCGCAGATCTGTTGACACAGTTCCTTATCCATCGCGCATATAGGATAGATGCGGAAACGGGCTTGCAGACCTTGATCCTTGACCTCCTGCTGCCGTTTTACGAGCGCTCCGAAACCCTTCGAACATGGCTGATCTCAAGGCTACTGCCGCTCTTGCGGCTAAACTACGAGTATTATCCCGGCAGAGAAGAGCTTTTGTCCTTGGATGCACTGGACTCTATGGATAAAGCAACAGCTATTAACATTTTGCTTTCGATGGCAAGCTCTAACGACACGAACACCGACCTGGCGAGGAATCTGAGGGGACTTGTCGGCCCTTGGATGTATGGGGAGGCCCGTTTCAAGAGACGGAAGCTTAGCCACGCAGGCGGACGAAGTTCGGTGGTACAAGATGGCTTGATGCCGAATGAAACTGAACAGTCTGGTTGGCAAGAGGTCAACGAATGGCTCCTATCGCAAAGTCTGGCGGATTTCGATCGAGTTGTAGGGGCGTTTGTGTCGTGGCGAGGGCCGGAAGATGTCGATCTTGGTGGCTACAACAACGAAGAGGAATCCAGTGACGAGGAGAAGCTGCGTCTGAGGGAACTTTACGGGCAAACAGGTCTTGCCGTTGTTTACGCCAATGCAGACCCTGGCAGGCGTTCTCTGGAAGGCTCGTTTCGGATCACTTCCAGCGTTGCGGAGCTGCTCCAACTGGAGAACGACGTCCCTCTTTCTATCGATGACCCATCCCTTCCCTCCTTACATCTGGATCTGGGGGCAATTTCATCAGCATCAAAAGCCTCACTACTACAAAATGCCCTGCTGACGCGTTCTAACCCCTTAACGTCACCTACAACGCAGTCGGTTGCATTTCTCGACGCCTTGCTACTTTCTCTACGCACCTTGGGTGAACTGGGATATCCGACTTCCTGCAGAACGGTGGCAACTATATGCCTTCAGAGTAGTGACGAGGCACAACTGCTGGAGCTTCGGAGCCTAGTGGAGACCATTGTAAAGCAGGCGAAGCCTGGACGAGACTGGGGAAGAATACGTGCGCAGATACTTTGGCTTCGAGATTGGCAGGGATCGTCTGAAGGAAAGGAGGGTGACTCAAGGCGAGAGTACCATGGTCTTTTCTGGAGGGTAGCGCGGGACGTGGTCGAGACGGAAATACTGAAGGCGATGTTGACTGTTGGAGGTAAGATACTCATCGCCCGAAGATGGACAGAGATTCTAATTCCTGGCAGAATATCAGTCGGCCGCAAAAATCTACACATCGCCCGACTCTCCGTTGAGCCCTGAGCAGGTGGAAGCCGCTGCCAGAGAGACGATTATCACATTCTACGACAACGCAAGCAACGGCAACAAGACTCGAGGGAAGATGAAAAAGGCTCTGGATATGTATGTTCATGCCCATTTGTGTTTCTGTCTGTGACTCTCGCTAACCGCAATTTTTGATGTGCAGCCTCCGAGCTTTTCAGCCGCATTTTCCCAACTCAAAGTCACTTAAGGAAATTGAGGCGCTCATCGCGGCGACTCATGCGCTGTCATTCTACTCGCTGACGCTGCAGCATGGGGTTCCGTTCCAGCCCGTTAGCATCCGCGTCCACCCTGACCCTCTGTCCTTGATAGAAAAAGTGCTGGAGCAGAATCCCAAGAGCTACACGAAGTTGGATGATCTGCTGTCAATCGGGCGGAATCTCGTTGCGGCTGGTCTTCCAACATCTCCAAAAGAAGATAGCCACTTAGATGGGATTACTCCACCTCCTTCCCCAGAAGCGGCGTCCGCCACAGCTGAGCGGCGAGTCATCTCCATGGCCGTCTCGTCAGCCCTGTCGTCGAATGACTTTGGGACCGCATACTCGTACATATTTACACGCCTGACACCTCCGTCTCTCCTCCCAAGCTCGAAGTCTCCGAAGCCGCCCATCGAGGACGATATTTCCTGGCGTGCCGCCTATAATGCAGGTCGCTATCGTCCCGCTGAAACAGCCAGTCCAAATCTCCAGTCTCAGATCACGAATCTCTCTCAGCGGATGGAGCTCCTGTCCCTTGCCTTGATCCTTGCTCCTTCGCCGGAACCACTTCCGGAGATACTCGGTGCGTGGCGCCGTTGCGACGAGGAAATGACGGTGCTCCGGAACCGCGAGACGCAGGAAGCGGAGGAATGGGATCGGAGAGGCGACAAACTGGCATCCATGCCCACCGTGCCCGGGGGCTTTGGCCCGACGGACAAGGAGCTGGACGCGTTCGAAAACGAGCAGCAACGGGCCCGACGCGCGCGCGCGCGCAGTCAACACGCGGCGTCAGGCTACGAGGAAGCGCCGATGGGGCTGTTCGACGTCGCTCGAGGGGCGGCACGAGCCTTCAGCAAGAGCGCTTTTCCACTGCACGCCAGCAGGCTGTCGCTTGGGGGATCTTCATCGCAAGAGGGCGGCAGCACTCGAACCAGCGAAGAAGGCAGCAGGCCGGACGTGTCGGAGCACGGCGAAGCGTCTACAACGCCGGGCCGGGTGCGCAAGCGGGACATGGTCAGCAACATGGTGACGGGCGGGCTAGCCAGTGGAATCGGCTGGGTTTTGGGTGCTCAGCCAGTGAATATGAATAACCGGTAGCATCAGTCAGCTAGATATAATCAACTTGTAATTAATGACGACTTACGATGATCAGTCATATATGTAATATGGAAACAGAGATGATTGCATCTTTTACTTCTAGTCTTTGTCTTAGTTGAACAATCATATTTTTTTTTCCTGGTATTTGTCCCTTTACGGAGTATTTAAATATTCAGCATTCACCATTTATTTACTTTAGTTTTTTTTATTTATTTCTTTGTTTATGTATGTATTTAACTCTGTTGACAGTAAATAAATAAATGCATAAATAAATAGGTAAATAATATCATCTCTCTCCCCCTCTCTCTCTTTGTTTTTTGTCGCCCCAAGGGAGACTACCCTACCCTACCCTACCCTACCTACTACCCTACCAAGCTAGGTAAAGAAAAGTTAAATGCTTGTTTTCTTGCTCGTTTGCAACTAGATAGGTAGGTAGTTGCTGTAAGTAAGTAATCACAAAGCACGCTGTACTGTACAGTACATACAGTACGTACATATTTGCGATTGATTATGTTGATTCCAATGCCATACAATGCAATGCAACGCAATGCCATGCAGTTAGCTAGTTATTTAGTTAGCTAGCTAGATAGCTCCTGTAGACCTAGTATTTGCAATTTGCAACTTGTCGTCATCATTGTCGTTTTTTTTTTGCTCAAATTTTTCTTTTTTCTTTTTTTTCTGTCTGTCTGTCTGCTTGTCTGTCTGTCTGCTTGTCTGCTTGTCTGTCAAGGAAATACAGCTTGTGGTGATGAACAGAAAACAGAGCCCATTTCATCAAAACATGCAAAAAAAGTAACAACACTATATCCAAGGAAAGGAGAGACAGGCATCAATCAAAAAAAAAACATCAAAAATGACAAGTCAAAAACAAGAGCAAAAAACAAAAAACAAAAACTCCCGGGTCCATATCAATCAAGGAAAGGCATTTCATGTACTGTACGTACAGCTCGTCGTAGAAAAAATGGAGAAGATCAGATCCAATCGAATTGAGTTCAATGACAATGACATCCAGGTCCGAAACAAAAAAAAAAGTTAAGCAGGCGCAGCCGGTGAGAAAGAAAGAGACAAAAATAGATCGTTTTTTTATTGAAACGAAAAAAGAAAAAAGGTCGTTTGGAAAGAAGTGACCCCTCGAGGTACTTTTTTAGTCCTTCCAGTCCCACACCTGCTTGACAAAGTTGGCCATGTTGACTTTCTTGTTCTTGATGTCCAGCATCCACGGATGTTCCAGCATCCGCCAGGGAGTCGCTCTTCGCGGGGGATCTTTTTCGAGACTGTGAAGTCGTCAGAGAGTGAACGACAAGAGGATAGGGGGACTCTACTCACCAGCACTCGATGAAATACTTAAAGTTGTCGGACCAGTGAATACCATTCTCCGGCTCATCCTTCAACTTCGGGATCGGTTGGCGGACTATGTACGTGAGCAGATCGATGAGGCCGGCGCGCGGCTGCATCTCCGTCCCGTCGGCAGGGAATGGGAATCGATGCTGAGCCACTTCTAGCAACGTGACGCCCAGAGACCACACGTCCGATGTGATGGTGTACGATTGACCCGTGATCCGTTCCGGAGCCATGTAGTATGACGTGCCGATAAACGTGTTGGCGTCGCCTTTCGTGCCGAATTCGCCGCTGACCCCGAAATCGCAGAGCTTGACCTGGCCGTCTCGACAGAGCAGGATGTTCGATGGCTTGATGTCTGCAGAGGCGGTCAGTAAGCACCAGTACCAAAAATAAAAGAAAATAAAAAAAAATAAAAAAAAGCCGTACCTCGATGGATGATCTTCCGGCTGTGGAGATAGGTCAAGCCATTCAAGACTCCTTCCGCAATCTTCCCCAGAACCTTCTCGCCCGTTCGGCCACCAAGCTTCTTCACCTCCTTGTAGATGCTATCCAGGCTTCCTCCTTCACAGAACTCCATGGCAATGGAGATGGTCCCCGTGGATTTGTCCATGAACGCACCGTAGTAGCGGCAGATATGCTCCGAGGCGCAGTCTTTGTTGAAATTCAGTTCCCGAATGATCTGCTTCTTGACATCCGGGTTTGGATCGGTGGTGATGACCTGTAGATATGACTGTCAGATCGCGATTTAACAGCTAGTCTTTGTCGAAGCCTACCTTCAATGCAAAGACCGTCTTCCCACCCTTCAACATACATCGCGTCACTGCCCCTCCTGCCCCTTCGCCCAGACTGCCCAGCTCGATGATCTTCTTCTGCTCACTGGCGGCCAGCCATCCCTCGTCGTCCAGGTCTTCGACATCAAGCGGCCTCCCCTTCTCTAGAGCGAGCTTGTCGAGATCGGGGAGAAGCCCGTTCATGCTGTTGTCCCTCTCCATCGCCACCCCACCATCGACCGAGCTGATTGCGGAGGAGGGGTCAGGAGTGCCGCCGGCAGGCTGTCGCAGACCCATTGCGAAAGATAACGCGGAATAGGTCGACGACGAGGCGGAGCCCGGGCCGCTGGCCTTGCCGTCATGATGGGTGAAGCTCCCCGATCTCGAATGGCCGCTGGCGTCGCTCGTCCCGCTGGCCGATGTCCCGCCCGGCAGAGGGATTCCATCGTGCAATGATCCGCCGTCGGCGAGGGACTGTTGGTTCCCCATGGGGGTCGCTAACCGGAGCTGCGGCGGGGCGGGACGACCAGCAGGTCGCAGCAGCGGAGGCAGATCCGGGACGTTGGACTGTCCATTCGGCGGATTGACAGGTTTCGCGTTGGGCGAGGGAGGGATTCCCAGGGTGAGGCGCGGCGCTCGTGGACTGCTGTTATTCCGCGACCCCGGCACGGGGGGTTTGAGGAGCGGAGCTGGGGACGACATTGTCAGGTTGTTTTGCCCCTGTCGAGGCAAACTCGAGCCGTTCTGGTCAGCCACCGCGGCAGACTGCTGTCCCTTTCACGATCTCGAGAACCAGCACGATGATATCGTCGGAAGCGCGCCGCCGCACAGCAGAGGGGTTGCTTCTCCTCGAGCGAGGGCCGCACCAGAAACACGCAGGCCAGATTTCAGAACGAACGGGACGTGACGTGAGCTTTAACGACGAGCAGCGACGAACGAACGAGAGCAGAACGCGATGGGCTGGCACGAACGAGTGGTGGTGTTGAGGCGACAGTCGCTGTCGGGATGGGAGCGAGAAGCGGCCGAGGGGGAAGCCGTTAGCTGACTGACTGCTTGTGACCCGCCCGTCACACCGGCGCCCGCAGATCTCCACCGGCCTGATGACGCTGCTGGAGCTGGATCCACGACTGAGAGGGGTCGACGCAGAGCAGCAGAATCAGAAGACGAAGAAGAGGAAGAAGAACAAAACGCAGGCCTCGCAGCTGGATGTCGACAAGACGAAGTGGTCAGGGTGCGGATGTGGATGGCAAGCCGAGACGCCTTGACAGCAGCGCAAGGCCGGCCTGGCAGGGCAGCGATTTCTGGGCGAAGGTCTGGCCAAACAAACGACGATGCCGCCGGGCTGAGACAGCCTGATGTCATCCACAGTGGATCAAGCGCCCTCTCGTTCGTTCCTCAGGCGCTGAACCCGCCGACGCTAGCATGCTGTGGGCAGATGACGTTGGAGGGCAGGTTATTAGCTGCTGCTCGTTGCAGGCGCCCAGCTAGCTGGCCGATCGGTCAATCATTGCGTGTTCGCAGGCCAGGGCGCGCAGGGCTCGCAGGAGTCGCAGCTCGAGGGCGAAGGAGGGGCACGACAGGCCGACAAAGAGACAATTAGCCGCCCCGCAAGCGCTGGCTTCTTGGCTATCTGCATCTGTACAGATTACAGCTGATGATAATCTCAGCAGTCTCACTCGCTAGGAGGGCAGATAACAATGAGAAGACAGAAAATAGGTTTCCCTGCTCGAACGATGGATATCGAACGCAACGCATTGCTTCAGCTGCTGTATCAACGAGGATCATCGCATGCGGCCAATAGCACGCCCACGCTACGACGACCATTGGCATACAAAGTCAGCCTGGAGACCGATCTTGCCTCGAAGGAGCCGTATAAATCATATCATGCCAAGTCACAGTTCGCTGGCATTACTCGTTCGCACTATTATTGGCGAACACTTGGAACAACCAACATCCAGCGTCCTCCCGATTGGCAGGTTTCCATGCAAGAACGCGCCGCAGTCATGTTTGGATAGTCAAGGAACTGCAGACTAGTACTTCTAACCAGTAGAAGCAAGCCATTTGCGAGTAAGGCTGCGGTTCCTGAACTGCTACGCTGTATGGACTCGTGACTTGCTACTCTACTATTTACACGAGATAAATATAGCTTCATTGACATGGCTGGGATATGCCATCATTCTTGGATTTCATTCAATATTGGCTTTTTCTTCTTGTATCGTATTGCTGTTCGGTTATCAGCTAGCTTATATACTTCCAAAAAAAGGAAACAATATCAACATCACCAGCCAAAACAAAAAAAAAGAAAGTAAATAAATAAATAAAAAAAAAGAGAAAACTTCTGATAAGGGATGCCGTCCCTCCCGCAGCACCCCCACAGATCTTTTTGTGTCAGGATAAAATGGGTCTCTCTTATTTTTTTTATTTTCGAAACCAGAGGGATCGAATGCTGGGCCGAAATTGTTTCTGACCAGACAGACTTCGACGTATGCACTGGCAGGTGCAGTCCTGACCGCTGCACTATTTCAGTCCTGTTCGTTAGGAGGGGATTGATACCTATATCAATATGGGGTCTTGGGATGGGGAATGGGGGTGATTGGTTGGCAGGACGTGATAGGTAGTGGGTGGTGACTGCAAAGAGGTAGTTGTTGATGCGAAAGGGACAAACAAGTAGCTATTGCCAAATAACACGAGCAAGGAGTCAGTTGTTCAGCTTTCGAGTGGTATGATACTGAAGGCATCTGGATCTGTTGATGGATAGACATGGAATATTCTCATTACTTTAACTCCGTTTACTGTCTAGCAAAGCAAAGCAATTAATTGCCATAGATACAGTCATGCTCCATCAATGCGAAATCTAAACTGAGATGATGCCAAGCTCATATATTATTACTACTGCAGGGCATCTGACAAATACGGAGTAATTCCCATGTAACCCCTCTCTACCCGAACTGATGATTGTGTTGGTTGGTGGATATTTCTGTATCTATCGGGATATGGATACGCTGTTTCCCATGCTGAGCCGGCTGTGTAGTCTCCATCTGGAGATAGTGCGCAATGATTTATTTTTTTCCCCCTCGACCTTCACGAACATTTCGGGAATGCGACGTTTTCAATTTCGTTCAAAGGCCCAACTAAGCTACCCAAGGTATGTACTGTACTGTACTGTACATACCTACATTCTTAGATATCTGCATTTCTTTCCAACGTCTCGAGTCGCTTTATTTAGTGCCAAATATAACCAACCACCGTATGGTTGGGCTTAAGAAATTGATTTGCATATGCAGGGTACTCCTGAAAAAAAAGATGGGAAATCTGAGCTTTCGCACCAAATATTCGACTGTTTCCTTTTATCAAGAATATTGTTCAGTTGCTTTCTTTGTATGTACAGTACAGTACATACTTGGAGTTTCATCAGGACGCTTCTCTGTGCAGTTCATAGCGTCGACGACTCATGATAGCGATATGTCATGGGTGATGGATCCCAGTACCTAGGTGACTGGCATACTAACATATACCATTGTCGACGTGCAACAGAAAAAAAAACAAAGAGAAGGCCATGAGGCAATGGCGTATCCATTATTATAGTGATGACTAAGTCTAGGGTTTGGCAAGGTGAGAATATTCGGAAAATCATCCAGCACTGCTTGACTGTACTAGAGTGAACTAGAAATGGAAAATACTCAACTGAGCACTTCAGCCAGAGAAAAAGGGAAATAAAAATAAAACTAGAAAGCCAAACTAATATTGAACTGACTCACTTCCTGTTGATATGGAGTAGAGATAGATAATTAATCATGATCTTTTGCCACTATGCACTCCGTAGTCGAGTCCGTACGAATAATAAATCTGTGGAGTAATTAAGTAGTGGAGAAAGAAAGATTACCCTCTGGGGAAAGTAGCGATAGCAATATCGCTGAAGCCCTGCATTCTGTACGAAGTACTCCGTACAGACTACAGAATAATAATAAACTCTGCAGAGTCTACGTATGAATGCTTCAACTGCTGCGCTGAGAATTGAAATTGCGTTTTCACGTTTTGCAGTCTGGACAGTGTTGGAGTATTACTCCGTACTCCGTAATTAATGCTAGCAGGGGTCGACTGACGGAGTGTCGGCAGTGATGTCGGCTTGGCAACAAATAACACGCGGTACGGAGAGGCCTAAGGCCTTGAAATAATATCTACCGTAGATGGCGCTCTTCACTGGTCCAGTAGATTCAGAGTGAAGACTCGTAATGGTAGATCATAGCTGATAGTGCAGCCTCCCCCTGATGATCGATACCTTGAGTTCACGTGGGTCCTTGACGCGTGATGGTCATCCACCATCCACCGTCCACCGTCCACCGTCCCACCTCGTTCAGTTTGCAATGCATACGAGTACGGAGTAATACTGGCCAGCAGATCATTTGCACGTTGCGACCGATCTCTTTTCTAGCAGATCGAGTGCCAAGTGAGACCATTCGAGTAAGTATCAGCTTGGGCAGTTGTACTTTGCCCTTCCATTTACGGAGGACTCCCGTCGGAGTACGGAGTACTACACTTGAATTTCCTAAAGGAGGTAACCAACGGAGTACTCGGTACAAACTCTACTACACATTATTCTTGCAGTTGCAGCCGAGATCTGGACCCCTCAGCTAGCAGATTCCCAAAAATAGAGGTGTTGGATTCTCCACGAGCTACTCCGTACTAGCAGCATGTTTCCTGCTGAGCGAGAATTATCGATTTCTCGCCTGCTTCTGGAAGGTAGCAGACGCGAAGGTTGCCACACGGGGTTTAGCAGTCCGGGAGGGTGTTGGAGAAACAATAGACTGCGCCATCATCCATGGTGCTTTGATGACAGGGTTAATCATAATTCGAGGGAGTCAGCTGGCTAGGCTTTGGCCCTACGGTACGGAGTAATCTACGGAGTACCCTGTAGAGGACTCCGTACTCTACCTGAGGATACGCCAGTGACTCGCCTCTTCATTTAATTTCAAGAACCAAGGAAAGCGCGTGCAAGGCTCCTGTCAAGCCACAGGAGGCCAGCAGAGGAAGCATCATGCGGGTGTTTGTTGCGCCGTGGCAGGTGCAGTCGGCAATCAATGAGCGCACCGGGCAGGAGCGGGTGGGCCAACCCCTGACTAACCGCTGAAACAGGCGGGCGAGCGCAGGGGAAACGGACCCAGTGACAGTGCTTGGCTCCGACCCACCGCAATTTGCGGTCAGCATACACTCGTTCGGTACCCCGTACGGAGTACATGCTTCTGATTCGACATGATGAGATGAGAGCCACCATGAAAGCCTTACTGCGTCCTGCAGATATCATCGTAGTCATCCTCTGTTGCTCGATCAGGCCTCAGTCCAGCTGCATTGGGGGCTGCCACCTGGCAGTGAGATGGGATTGCGCAATGGCCCATCCAAGGCGGCACGGCGGAGCGTGCTGGCCAGTCGCTGTCCGGCAGCAGCACGACGTGTGCGCTGTCAGCCAATGCGCGGGCAGCATCGGCGTACCTGCAGCGAGCGCCCGCCTATGGGGGTACGGTAGCATCGGGGCAGAGGCCCCAGCACGCCGCGGCGGCCAGTTAGACTCGGCGCCGGCGGGTTAGGCGGGCCTAGGGCGCCCCCCGTTGGGCGCGCTGCGGGGGCCTCTCTTTCGGCCCATCCCTGACCCGATCGCCCGCTTCATCTCCCGGCCCATACAAAGGCACACCCCGACCCCCCCTTCGTTCTGCTTCCTCTCCTCTCCTCCCCAAGTTCCATTCCGACTTCGTCTTGCTGTCCTGCTTCTGACTTCGGTCGCCTTCGCTCTTTACCAGCCCAACTACCTACGCTCTCTTCAGCTACTTACCACCCCTTCTTCTCTTCGACGACCCTTGACGGTTTCATTTTTCCTGTGAACTTTTCTCGACCGCCAAAATGCGTTTCTCCGTTGCTTCTCTTGCCCTCCTGGCCGGCCTTGCCGCTGCCTCTCCTGTGGAGACTGTCTACACCACCGAGGACGTGACCATCACTTCCTGCGCGCCCACTGTCACCAACTGCCCGGCTCGCAGCCACTCTGCTACTGCGGTTCCTTCCTCCCCGGCTGCCGTCACCTCTGCTCCTGCTGCCGTGACCACCAGCCCGGCTGCTCCTGCCGCCGGCAGCTCTGGCAGCTCCAGCGCCCCGGTGGCTCCTGCCCCGGTTGCCAGCTCCTCGGCTGTCTCCCCGGTCAGCAGCAGCGCTGCCGTTGTTCCTCCCTACCCGGTTTCCTCTGCTGCTCCTAGCGTCTCGGTCCTGACCCTGACCACCTGCGTCCCGACCGTGACCTACTCCACCATCACTCTGTCTCCCTCTGCTGCTCCTACTGGTGCTGCTGGCGTTAAGCCCTCGTCCGTTGCTCCTGGCTCTCCTGCCGGCACTGGTGTCAGCCCTGCTGGTACCAGGTAAGTAGCCTGTTCGCCGTCATATCGTGTTCCCTGCTAACTCGTTCCAGCCACGCTGTCCCGCCTGTCTTCACCGGTGCTGCTAGCAACGTCGGTGGCTCCATGGTCCTTGCTGGTGCTGCTGCCGCCGCTGCCGTCCTCTTCGCTTAAATTCGTGCGTAATTGAGATACCCCCTTGTGACGTCCGTCGCAGGATCTGTTACGTGTTGTCAAGTTTTATTTTTGCGAAGGTTCGGGGGCAATTGGAGACAATGGAGTGCGGAGATCTTCGGTGCTGTGACCGGGTTCGTCAACGGGGTACGCATTGTCAAGGATTCGTGTACAGCGGAGTTGATCTCCTGGTGATAGCCTGAAGCATTTTCGTTCGTCTGATACCTTTCTTGTGCCGTTTTTTTTTCTTTCGGAATGTACAGAGTTTAACCAGTGTAAATTTAATTTGACGTACAGAGAACCCTTTGGATGCGTCGTAACTCGGGGGTAGTGTAATTCTGGAGTGTGGGGACCAATCTGGAGTTGTAACCCCACTTGTGCTTGGTAATAATACGGTATCATCCAGTATAGAAGTATTTACCTTAGTAACTAACGGAATACTTTAATCGAATATACATATATTCATTGCAGTAATATTCTGCAGAGGTTTAAAAAAAATAACTGTCAGGACCATTATTATGCGCAGATTGAATTATTCTTTCCTCTTTTTTTTTCCCCATTTCTTATTTTTTTTTCGTTGGCTCTTGGTTGGTTGCGAATATGAATAATACGAGATGAGATTCACTCGTCTATAGTCTATAGTCTATCTGGCATGAGTGGATCTCAACGTGTATTAATTACTGGAAGGAATTGAATTGAATTGAATTATATTAAGTTGATATTATTTTTCTATCCATCTTGTATTGTGTTGTCTTTGTCATCTCCTTTTTTTTCTAAAAACAAAAAAAATACAGTCATATAGTGTTTTGCTTTGCTTTGCTTGTCATATGAGTGGTTGTTCTACTAATATATGCTTCCATGCTTAAATTAAATCAAAAAAGAAGAAGAAGAAAAGGAAGGTGTGAAATAGTTAAACGAATTCCGTGCATGAGGAATGCTTCTAGATTTTTACCTATTTACTCTGTATGACATGAACATACGGAGTATGCCATGCATGCGTGAGGGGGGGATAAACTCTTTTCCTACGCCACAGTCCATATTGCACATTCCTTTCACATTGCATTTGCACACACATCCCACGGCTGTATGCATGCCCCTCTTTTGTTTAATTCAAAGATGAAACCTTCTTCTCAAAAGAAGCATTCAAAAGAAGTATTGTTTTGAAATGGATGGCTTGGAGGTATTTATCTATCTATTTATCTACCTACCTACGTAGGTATCTACATATATAGGTAGGTATATAGGTAAAGAAATAGTTCGATACAGTAAGAATAAGAATATACTCCCCACAATCAGAATTCAGATTGCTGATCATTTACTCTCTATCTTAGGTAGGATTGGCGTTCCACAGATTTACCAGATTGGTAGCTACGCTGCTACCCCAGGTACGCTACGTTGGCATTGTTTGCGGAGTAAAGGGAATAATTGTATTTAGGGCTTCGGAAAAGTTCTCACGCGCGAGGGAACGGTTTGATCGGTTCGTTGTTGTCAATATTACTCCGTATGCGAAATGCGATTCTATTGCTTGGCTAGCCGACTGCTGGCTGCCATAATGAAGGATTTAAGAATCTAGTACAGAGTAGGTACTCTGTACACAGCGCGATTGGTTCGTGGTTAATAAACATACCCCCTACTAGGTACTATGCATGTACAGTACACTGCAGGGCTATTGTTCAGTTGGCTAGTCTAGTTAATCTTCTATGGCTTTCGTTCGACGGTCCGGTGTATACGCAAGCACTTATAAGTTTTCGTCGCAAGGTAATATAAATGTCAGGCTAGGTCAGCTATCCTCGATTCCTCTAGCGTGCTGTAGTTCCTCATTCTTGACCTGCAATAGTTCTTCGCCATGAGGTGTACCAGGCTCTCCCTACTGCTTGCCGGCTCTGTCGCGGCTAGAGCTATGTCCACCTGCAGCATCTCCACAATCAAGAGCTTCCTCCCTGCCAACGCAACAGTCTTCTACGCCAACCACTACGCCGCCAACGCGACCTTTTCGCCTCCTGCGGCTGACAATGCCGGTACTTACCCTGCTTCTTACCCCCTCCCGCGGGCAGGCTGCGTTGCGCAAGGAAATGTCTCCTTCCCTGACGATACGCAGTACAGTTTTGGGATCGTGTTGCCTGATGAGTGGAATGGGAGATTTCTGTATCTATCACTTATCCTGGGGAAATATCAGTGATGATTGCTGACTTTTTCTTTTCAGAGCAGTCGGGAATGGAGGCTTTGCTGGATCGATTAGCTGGAGCTCGCTGGTGAGATGATCTTGATCTTGATATTTTCCTTCCTTCATCTGCTGACTTGCTAACCTCAGATCGACGGCATGTGGTATGGCTTCGCAGCCGTCTCGACCGACACAGGCCACGAGGCCAACGAGCTCAGCGCCAGCCTGGGCATATCACAACCCCGGCGCGCTCGCCAACTGGGGGGTACCGGGCGCTGCACGACACGGTCGTCAAGGGCAAGGCAATCACGCGCGGCTACTACGGCCGCGACATCACGTACAGCTACTACCGCGGCTGCTCGTGCGGCGGCAAGCAGGGCCTGAAGGAAATGCAGCTGTATCCGGACGAGTTTGATGGCGTCGTCGTTGGGGCGCCCGCCTGATGGACGACGCATCTGCAGCTGTGGGCACATGGTCGTCGGCATCTGGAATATGCCGGTAAACTCGTCGCACTACCTGCCGGACTCGGCGTTCGAGCTGCTGGCCGCTGAGGTCCTGAGGCAGTGCGATCCTCAGGATGGGGTCGTCGACAATATCATCCAGGATCCCCTGGGATGCCAGTTCCGGCCTGAGACGCTTCTCTGCGCGAGCAACACTAATAATAATACGTCCGCCTGCCTAACAGCGGAGCAGATCAAGACAGTGAACAAGCTGCACCGCGACTGGGTCGAGGCCAACTCGACGTTCATCTTCCCGCACTTCCTGCTAGGCAGCGAATGGGGCTGGGGAGGCACCGGGGGTCTGGTCTCCTCGCCCAGCCCGCTGGGCACGGAATACGTGAAATACATGCTAGGCCTGGGGCCGGACTGGCAGTGGCAGCAGGACTGGACGCCCGAGCTGATCTTCCTGTCGGACCAGATCAACCCGGGCAACGCCACGGCGGACGATTTTGACCTCGAGCCGTCATATCGTGCTGGCGGGAAGGTCATACACTACCATGGCATGTCCGATGCGTCTATCGCCACGGGGTCGAGTATATACTTTTACGAGCGGGTTGTGGAGGCGCTGCAGCCGAGGGGGATCGATCTCGATGAGTTTTATCGTTTCTTTTTGATTCCGGGGATGGGGTGAGCATACCTTCAATTATCTTTCGACTGTACAGTACATACTTCCTCCAGACAGCCTATCTGACTGCTACCTAGCCACTGCATCGGCACAAGCCCCTCCATGAACGCCCCATGGTACATCGCCGGCGACGGACAATCCTCCAGTCTGGGTGTCAACAACACCATCCACGGCGTCCCAGGCTTTAACGACGCCCAACACGACGTGCTACTGGCGCTGATGGCCTGGGTAGAAAACGGCACTGCGCCGGAAGTCCTCATCGCCACAAAGTACGTCAACGACATGGCGCCTGGCCCTGACAAAGTCCTGCGTCAGCGGCCGCTGTGCGTGTATCCCAAGAGAGCGGTGTATACTGGTGAGGGGGATGTTGATCGGCCGGAGAGCTGGGATTGTCGGGCTTTGTACTAGCTGCTGCAGGAGAAGGAAGGAGTATATACTGCATGTAGTAAGTGTATAAAATCGGATTTTCTACCAGATCGAATCACCCGTCACAGAATATCCCCATTCGGTAAGTTGATACACTTCTTTTTCTTTTCTCTTAATGAGAACCGACTGATACCATTCTTGACATGTTCATTTTCTTCAGGGAATGTCTATACAGTAAATGTAAATTCGAATTTCATTTTTGCTTGAGTACTTACTGTACGGGAATGTAGAAGCTGGTCTTTATAAAGGAGTTCAAAAGGAGGCTATTCATTCTATCAGTTCCTTTGGATCAGGTGACGTTGCTTCCTATCGCTCCCGAGGCTCTGACCACCTTTCCCATCTCTTCTATCGTCAATACATAGGTTCCTGCTCTCATAATCAAATCCACTGAATGGCTACTTAATATTCATCACGCTGTCCTTGGAGTTATTATCATTAGAACTGTCGAACCTGGAACGCTTCCCCACTCTCCATCCTGATAATGGCATCCCTTGAACTGCCGTCACGTGACGAAGAAGTACGAGGACCAAGTGAAGAATTCGAGGACCCTACTCGCATCCGATTGATTGCGAAGCTAGAGGAGCATCTGAAAACGAAGACAAATGGAAGAATTTCGACAACAAGTTGGGCGATCTTGTGGCTGTCCGACGTTGACAAGCTTAATGAGTTTGTACAGGAGTCTACGGATGCCGAGCTGCTCCACGCATATCTTGCTTATAAGCCTGATCAAAATGCGGACATAGTCGGAAAATGTGCGTTTTTTTTGTTATTATTCTTATGGAGGAGAAGTTCTAATGCCGATTTACAGGGACTTCTCGTTTTTGCGAGCGGAAAGGTTCTGTTGGTGGCTCTGCGCCACCTTCTGCACTGTCTTCTTCTCCATTTCATGATGGGTCGGCCGCATCTGTTTTCCCTGTAACATCAACGCATCCTCCAAGTTCCCCTCAGGAGCCTCCGAGTTCATCCTCACTTACGAAGGGAGCGCGGTCGCAGAAGGCAAGAGACTTGGTAGGTTCATCTCAGCTAGACTTCATGTTAAATTTGCTTATAGATTCTAGTGCCTGCAGAGAGATCAAGGTCAATGTGTTGTGACTGGGCTTGGCGGGCCGATAAACGTCGCGCACATTTACCCTTCTCTATGAGAGATGCACCGAGTGACTCTTTCTGGTCCGTTTTAGAGAGATTCTGGACGCACGATCGCGTCTAGAAATGGAAGAGAGCGATTTTTACAGAGAACCGAACAGAAGTGTGTTGCTATAATTATATGACGCTAACTGCAACGGCTCACGATTTCTGGGACGCCACGTTATTCGCATTAAAACCCTTGACACTGTCTGCAGACAGAAAAAGTCTCAAAGTTCAATTTTTCTGGCTCCGGAGACTCAAGAGGATCAAGGCAGGGGGTCTTGCCCTCCACACGACCACATCTCCCGAATGAGCTTAGTCGACCCGAGAACAACATCCTCCTATACAATTGTGTTCAAAGAAAAGAGCTTTGTTCTGGCGATATCCTCACTCTTCGCACTCACGACCCGGAAACGCACCCGTTACCGAGCATTGCGTTGCTGGATATGCAATGGATCTTGCATAGGGTCGCAGCGCTGAGCGGTGCAGTCGATGACTACGACAACCATTACTTAGATGATGATGACGACGGGATCCCGTTTCCTATGGAGGGCCATTGGCTCGAGGATGAGGACGGGTCGTTATCGTTTCAGTACCTGGTAAAAGACTGATCTTAAAAAAAAAGGGTATTCATGCCTGGGCCAATAGCTAACCTGCCTGACTGATAGAAACCCGAGGGGGCCTGTCAAAACGAAGCTCTCTGCCGCGAGTAGTTCTATCTCATCTATGTCTCTATTTGAGGCTTGAGAGATTCGAGTTTATGGTCGTAGCTCGAATTAGACTACGCCAACTGCAACGATAGTTCCAAGGTACGTATGTACTTAGGCCTTGTGTACGGAGTACTCCATGTTAAAATGGTATGGATGCAGAGGTTTCTGTTTCCTTTTCTCCTTTTTCTGTAAAACGAGGACCCGAGAATTCCTCAATCCGATTAGTTTTGCTCCTTTCAGGAATATAGCCATAGTCACACACATGTCGCCGTCTGTGGCCGGGAAAATCACATAAAACCTGTGACCTCTCGCCATTCTAACAACCCTCACCTTCTCATCTCTCTGCCTCCCTCTCTATTCCATACCCATTCCTACCCTGTTCCCTTTGCCATTTGTTATAATAATGCTGCTGTCCATGTCGATCCTATTGCCCCATTATTGTACCCCCTTCTTTTTTTGGTTGCAATCTGCAGCTGAACCTGCTTATATAGCCACTATCCTATTTGTTATTTCCCTCAACTGATTTAAATATTGCTTATTTGGTCCAGTAATATAGTATATTATAGTAGGATGACTAGATCTACGACCTATTTAGGGTTAAATGTCCAGCCCCATGACCCCAATGCAGTATTAGTATTAGGAATACAGATAAATTAAGATAAACTTTTATCTCCAATGGTGCTGGCCGTGTATGAGCCATGATAATTGTTTAGTGTTCAAGTGTGTGAAATATTTGCCATTTTTGTTCCATCGATTGATTATCGAGCTTGTCCAGTATTTATGATGTTAGATTTGGATAACTTGTAAGAAAGGCTCAGGCAGTGTCAGAGTAACAAGCTGAAGAGGAGAGCAACAATTACATCAGACTGCTTAGGCGCATACTGAACAAGCTAAAAGGAGCCAGTGGAAAAAAAAAGGAAAAAAAAACCAATTATCTGAATTACTTATTGGTGTCTATATTTCTACTTGTTTCTGGTCTAGTAGTCCAAGAGGATGGATACAATATAAATCGAGAGTGATATACATTAGTTAATGCAAAGGACAAGGTCTGATCTCAAAACTTTTTCATCAATCACAGATGGTATTTTTCAGACTAAATAAACAAGCTCAGATCTGGCATGATTTCCTAGGAGGTCCTGTTCCTTGGACATTGTTATTACCTATATATATGCCCAAGGGACCTCTGCTGCCGACAAGGATGATGTCCAAAGTCCCATGAGACCTACCACTATTGCATGATTAAAGCGACTGGGAACACGGTCAGAAGCCAGATAAAACGCAATCGAAACCCATTTTCAAAACTAAATTGCAGATCTACTTACCAGTTAATACTCCCGAGTGATTCTCTTACCTATGCCGATCGTTCATCGTGATATCAATGTGATCTAATAGGGTGATCGCCTCTATTTCCCAGTCATCGTGAAAACTAACATCATTGGGCGAGAACTAGACGCAGAAATGGAGTCGCAGCAGCGTGGTGGAAGCTTACATGTCGAGGTTATTTATCGTCATTAATTCCTGCGTTCATAGAACAGAACAGCCTGTCTTACACAATCCCATCCAAGGTTAAATAAAATAGAGAGACAGACAGTTAGGACGGACAGAAGATAGCAAGGATCATCCGCGGGGTAGCTAGAGGCAATTATTAAGTCATCAAGAAGAGAGGTATTTTAGGTATGTACAGTACATACATAGATAGGGCTCTGCAAGTCAATTTCGAGAATGAATGGATCAGGAGAAAAAAAAAAGGTCACCCTACCTTATCTGTAATATTTTTTAAACCAAAAAATAAAATAACCCCCTGCTTCAGCACTACATGCTCCTGTGGGCCTTCCTTCTTTTGTTGATTTTTTTTAAACGGAGCGTTTTTTCCCCTTTAGGAAATGTGCATGATTTGCGTCAAACAAAGCATGCTTATTACGGAGTAGTGTTCTCTCTTTTTTTAAGAAAAAAAAGACTTGATTATCAGCCTTCTTGCCCATATACTAAGTCCTCAGCGGTTAACTTAAAGGCACCGGCTCATTTATTAGTGTAATGCGTTTTTTTTTGCGAAGCGCCTGTCAAATATGGATAACTCAGGTATACCTATTGGTTTCAGCCATATATTATATATATAAACTGTTCAGAGCTCTTCGACCCCATCCTCATTATTGGTTTACTGAGACAGCAAATTGAGCAGGCACTAGCTATTGTATCTCCTGTACATATATACTCATAGCCATCAACCCTAAAAAAAAGATAAGATAACTACCTACAATTTTTGTTCTGAGCGTATCGCCGACCTAAATAAAATAAAGGTTCCAACTCAGTTATACTCTATAATCTTATTTTATTTATGTATAGGGAAAACAGGGAAGGACTAAATAAAATCCGGTGACCGGGACCTGCTGACTGCTGAGTGAGATTCCCTCTATTTATTTAACCTACTTTAGGGGACCTGACCTGACTTCAGTGACGCCATGATTCTGAAATAATAGATTAATATATTAAGTTAGGTAGTTGTTGAAAATCCAATCAGACACATTATTGTTATTATTATTATTAAAGACTAGATAGGAATCATCAGGGGTAGCAGGTAGGTAGGTACCTAACCTAGAAGGTAGGAGTGCAGGTCAGATCAAGTCAGTTTTTTTCTTTTTGTTTCGTTTTGGGTCGGGGTTTTCCATGTCCACCTTAGATACAGAGTAGTTCTTCATTCTGACTCTGTACCGAATTACTACATTTGTATGTCATGCCTCATAAGATAACTAGGTAGCTACTACTGCCACACGGCATCTATTCTTTCTTTTTAGATTCATAGAGAAGAAGACAAAAAATACACATCTTTTTTGACTTCATTCTGACTCTTTTTGCTTTTTCTTGCTTTCTTCTTTGTACCAAGATTAATTACTAATATTACTACATTCGTACGTCACGCCTTCATACATAGAGGCAATGACACGGGATCCTTCCACATGCTGAAAGAAACCGGTACCTGCCCGGAAGCAAACAGGCTTTTTTTTTAACTTTAAGTAGACATACCTACCTATTACCTAGGCGGCAAACATGATTGACCAGTACAGTACCTAGCCTATCAAGACAACGAGTATAGATATAGTTCTTTGGAAATGGATATTTAAACTAGTAGTCTCTTCTACGAATAACCTTGTAAAACGCAGTTTGGAAATCGCATACAGTTTCTTATATATATCAATTTTTTTTTGATTCTCTCTATCTAACCTTCTGACAGGTCATAACTCTCACATATAGAGGAATTTATTTATAGGTAATTATATCTCACTTGATGACATATGTGCCATTACATTGCTAGCGAAGATGTATTATGAATAATAATAATAATAACACAACTTTTCAACTAGAATCGAAAAGAAAAAAAGAAAAAAAATGACCAGTGCAGTCAAAAACTTCACCACAAGACTAATGGGTGACTCGAAGCAGCTGGTCAAGCTCTTCAAGAAAACCTCCCCCGGCAAACGACTCGTTCCTACGCAAACCTCCAAGAACGACGCAGACTGGCAATGTCGGATCGACCTGGGAGAGGAGCTCAAGGACAGGCAGGGCTGGTACAACGTCTATCTTCAGGTGAATAGCCAGGCGACAAGCAAGGGTCTCAAAGATTGGCTGAAGAAGAATCCGCATGGAAACCTGGCGACGGCGCAGATCAACAGGACTGTGTCCGAGGATAAACGGCTGGATGAATGTAAGCGTGTGGTGAACGATTTGGCCGACAAAGCAAACGAAAATCTCTGATTCGTATGTAACTAAATCAAACTCCTGGAGGAAAAGGCCATTTCTTGGTGGCTACCTCCGGCGAGACCCCTTCTTGGCCCAATGACTCAACAAACATGTCGAAGAGTTCCTTGTTCCTTTTGCTTGTTATTTCCCACCGCTCCACTGGAACCCAGCCCGCGTCGTCAGTACAAAGCTGGCTCTTTGCCACGTCCCATAAAATAACCCTATCTTCATACTCTGGCATCTGCTCCTTGTGCTTTTCTAATTCCTCTTTCGTAAACGCAAAGGGACAGTCACCTGCAAGTCCCAGGCCAGCCCAGTCTTCTGAAATACGAATCAAACTACTACGCAGAGGAACCATGCTGCCATTGAAGAATAATTGGCAACAAGTAAAAGGCTCCCACAGTCTCCGGTCAAGTTCCATAGCATGGTAGACATGCCTGTTGTTTCCCAGGGTCAACATTTCGTAATACTTGGATCGGGTTGCCAGCTCCTGGTTTGTTTTAGCCTCTTCCTGTTGCTCAGGACTCAATTCATCGAAATTCTCTGGTAAAGTCGGAACTTGAGTGCCTGGAGTGTAGTCCTTTGGCGGCCTGAGAAAATCAGGGAAGCGAGCCTGTATGAATAGAGGGTAGAGTCGAGATGATTGCCAGTCAATTATTCCTTCGATAATAGTAGGGTCGTCTGAGGAAACAAAAATATTTCCCAGATGTAGATCGGTATGCCATAGGACAGGGCCTGATACCTCTGCCACGCGAGGATGGCGTGATACAGCAGGCAGTATGCTCGACGCTTTTTCCAAGAGAGCACGGTATTCATCGACCGACTGATTTTCGCTGAATAAATTAAGATCACGTTGGATTTCAGCTGGGGAATTTGCAACAAAGTTTAATTCCCGTCGAGGTATCGATAGCGCAAAATCAGTCAAAGACGTCCCTGCTATAGCGTCAGAGAGGTAAGCAAAGTCAATAGAAGTATGAAAACTAACAAGGTCCCATGTCTAAGGACATGTTAGAGCCCTCACGCTCCAAGCCTCGTTTCAACGCTGGGCCGATGCAGAATAACCCATCAGGGTCTAGAGCTGGAGGGAGTGGATAGCAACGGAATCTATCAGATACCGAGTCTCGCAGGTAGAGGCTCCCATATGCTGGGAACTCCAGGCTCCCAAGTTCTTTTTCCATTTCGACAATTCGTTCGATGATTTTGTAGTGCTGCATGGTGTTCATTGTCTCCCATCTTTCGGATAGAGCAACTCCGGGAATTTTTTCCATGATGATGTACTCTGCACCGACGGCATTTTCCGAGTCGGCGCTCCAAGCAAGGACCTTCGGGACACGGATTGTCATACATGATTGCACTAGAGAGTAAGAATATGAGACGCAAAAAAAAAAGAAGGTAACTTCGGAGGCAGGACATACAAAATTTCAATGTGGCCACTTCAGAAGCCGTCGTATACCAAGGTGGTCCCGCATTTGGGCAAGGAATCTTTGCTATGACCTCATTCCCATCGTTCATTGTAAGAAGGAGAGCTTTATTGTAGTTCCCTTCTATCTTGTCTACACGCACGCACTTGGTCTCTTCACTAAAGAGCGATGCAGCTAGGCGACAAAGGTTATCAATATTGAACTTCACATAGCGCTGCGCGAGTTGGCTTTCTTCGTCAATCAGCCATCGACCTGACGTATATCTGAAAAGGTCGTCGGGCTCCCTTGCTCTCACGACTGTTATATTTTTATTAGGAGCAGGGTAACCACAGCAATCGAAGGAAGTAGAGGGACAGACCAGTATTTCCTGCAGTTGCGGGCGCGTTAACCGACATCGTCAGATGCAGAGTTCGCCTTGGGGTCACAGAGATCGAATTCAAAGGGAGACTGCCGGCCCATCTCCAGCGTGGCAGAAGCCTGGGAGATGAATGTCTAGGTTTCGGCCGAAGCAGAGAACGAGAAAATGCTTGCTTCAGCATGATCTGCTCCGTTCCAGCACACGATGCCGGTAGTTGATACTTTGTTGGTGCGGGAGTGCTGGCGGTACCGAGATGACCCCGGGTTGCTGCTGCTTGGTCGTGCGAACAGCTAATCAAGTCCCACAGCAATAATTCCAGTGTCTGGAGTGTAGCTAACAACCCATTGACCCCTGGCACATGCCCAAGGTTCGCCACCTGTCATGCGAGAGTTAAATAAAGCCTACGGCTTGTTGCATGTATTGTCATAATGTCATAGCACTACGGGTTACCGCCTTTCGGCTACTCCCTTCCTGTCTTTAGGTCATCCTGAGCTAGTGTGGTAGTCAGCTTCTCATACAATCATTGTCACCATCATAATTTGATCACTTTCTTGATTACATGGGAGTTCCATGGGTTGTCAAGCCTCATGTACTCTGTATACAGATCATGTGAGGAGGGTTGCCATGCAGCCATAGTATTGTATACACCAAAATAGAGGGGTGCTGATTTGGCCTTTAAGGGTGCATGCTTAGCAGGTAAGAGTAAATATTCAGGCCATCTTCAGTCATGTGACGTATCCTTAGGGCGGCAAGGCCAGAAATCTATGCTATATACAGCATAACTGGCAGTCATTTTGCATATTCTAGTTGTAACAAGAAAAAAAAAATAGACGTTTTGGAAGCTTAAGATAAGATTATAGGACAGGTATGAGATCTGGCCTGTGAAAGCTAATTGATTGAAGAGCTAAAATAAACTCGTTGCTGTTGAGATCGAATGAACTGGCAGAAACAGAATAGGGGCTATATTATGCTCTAGCAATAGGCCTTCGTAGGTATGTACGAATTGAAAACAAGCGGGAATATGCGTCTTTCCTTTTCTGCCTCTCTCTTTTTTTTTTCTTTTTTTAATTTAATTAACCCCGTCTGTGTCAATTCAGCCTCAGAGAGTAAACTGTTGAGAAAAAGAAATATCCTTTCCGCTTGTCCCGGTGGAGACTTGTTAAACTCATTGGTGTTTCTTTTTATAGCGCAGCAGGCTTACGGAGTCTCCGTACACCGGTACGGGGTAACCGTGACACTCAATCGGACTACTGTAACGAGTAATCGTCCTCGAGAGAAACATTTCCTGTTATGTTAACTCACAGAACAGCTGCGAATGTTGTTTGGTGGCGCGAGCTGACAGGGCTGATACATGTGCTTCGCCTTCTGGCCTGACATGATCTCATAAAAAGGCTGGCTGTGCACTTCCCAGAACAAACCAGAAAAAAAATTACTCAGTCTCAGACAAACTGAGAAAGCTGAGAGTAATGCTCCGTCCTGGCGGGCGGTGTAGCATTCTCTGCACTTTTGCTACTAATAATAATAAAATTAATGCCACCGAACTGCACGCCTAGTGGGGCGCAGATGATGATCGTCGTCATCCAACTGGCCGTCAGTGTTTACGGAGTACTACGGAGTATCTAGCATCTCCAGATCTGACTTCAGTCATGCCATTCCATTCTGAGTCTACGACCCGTTCGAATACTGGGGCAGTGGCTGTCACTGTCGTCGGTGATTATATACCTCCCTTCTTACGTCTTTTCCTTGACCGCTCTGGCGAACTCGCCAGTCTGGCGGGTCGCGTGCGCACTTTATCGCCCGGGCCTGCGTTGGGGGCGTTTTAAGACTCCGCTGTACGGAGTACAACTCAACGCTTGCTAGTTTGCAGTTCGCTTCTTTTAATACTCGCATATCTCTACTTCGAAGAGTGCACCATCTGCTCTACTTTTGATGTGACATTGGGGGGAAGTCCCAACTTGTCAGTACTCGGTCCTGCGCCGTCAAAATGGACCTGTCGTCTCTCGAAGGGCCTCCTCTTTGCGACAACAGGTTTTCTGCGCCCGTCGACGTTCCTCGCGTCGAAATCGACGAAAGCCCACGTCGCAGTTCGCATGCCATCCCGTCCAGCCTACACGATCGGGGGACGACGACTACAACGACGACGATAGCTGCTGGATCACGGCGTGACTCGCACATGGAGGAGATGGAGAGCAGTGTTCGCACAGCAAGAGGCCGAGAAAACAGCAGAGGGACAATCGATCAGCCCCGGTCACACAGTGCCTTATCTTCAACCCGATCGTCCGAACAACAGCAGACCACCCTCAGACCATCACGCAGCCATCCGAGCCTCCCTTCTTCACAATCAGATTCTAATAATTCCCCCAGTGGGGGGAACCAAAGCGGATATCTGCGGATAATCGCCAACGACCACCTGGTCTGGCTAGAGGACGAGAAAGTATGGATCAAACTGGGCTCTCCGGCGCCTTCGGGCAACACGCGTTCGCAAAATAGCTGCTCAGCAGGCTCGAGCCATAGCCATACGCATAGCCATACCCATACCCATAGCTACTACCCTGCGAATCAGAATCAGAATCCGACACACCCGGCACTGTTGCAATATTACGACCCATATGCGAATGAATACGAGGACCCGGATGACCTACCGCCCTCTTATGAGAGCCATGGCTTCGTCCAGACCAGGACGGGCCAGCCAGTTGCGGCGCACGAGTCGCGATGGATGGCAGTTGCGGAACGGGTTGGGAGAGCGTTGTATGCATAAGCTGATCATGGTTGGACATGTCATTGCATTTGTGGTTTACTTTTCATGATCGACTCAGTGCTAGAAGTGCTGGAATATTTGATTCATTTAATTATGTGCATGTGCAGTATAAGTCCCAAATGACGGGGAAAAAGGAGTTAAGGAAGATACGGGATTATGAACGTTTGCCATTTTTTTCAGTCGTGAATTTCTTCGACGGTGTGTGAGTGTGTGTATGAATACCCACGGCTTTGTTGGAACATCTCATTCTCATCGTCGTCTGTTTTTGTCTTCTATATAGATATACTACTACTACTACCAGATACTACTACTAATAAAGCTCATTTTATCAACATTCCGTTTCTGGCTGCCTCTGACAAGGTGCGATCGGGTAGGATCTGATCGATACTGCTTGCTTTCTGGATCCAGGTCGACGGGGTATATATCATTCAATTGAAGCTTCCAATCTGGGGAAATAGGTAGACATCTATCAGATCATGCTGATCACATGATCATGCATTCGTCGGAGTCGTCTCCAACAGGTTGTGTACTGCACCTCGTAGTAAGGTCATCGCTTCATCAAACTCGACAAAGAGCTCTTCCTACCTGATAATTCTTATACAATCCAATGGCCATCAACCTTTTCATCCCCATTACTAAACTGGACGAAGAAGAAACTGCCTCCTAGTACCTAAGGTACCTTTGGTAAGTCAGGCGTGTTGCAGCCTCTTTCAGCTGTTCACACCCCGCCAACCCGAAAAGGGAACACGGCGACACGCCCAGCCTTCCCAGACCAGAAATCCTCCTCCTTGAAGCCCAGACCAGACTGCTTATTCGCTGCGTCTGCAGCCATGATCTCTGCAGGAGTTTGAAATAGGGCTTGGTCATTCGGTCTTCCTTCCTGCCTGCCTACCTACCTCCCGTCCTCCTCAAGACCCCAGACGAAGGGGGCTGGTCCTGAACAGTTTTCACACAAGAGGGAAGGCCGCAACAATGCCAATTTTGCTATTATTTGCTCAATGAGGATGGACAGAAGCCCTTTTTGGGCAATGTGGAGGACAAGTTCCGTGTCGAAGGCACCTCGACTCCTCGAGGGGTTGGTTCCTTTCCATTTTCGTCTCAGATATGGGCTTGGCAGTTTGATGTGCGTTTCCAGATGAAACGTCCACCCTGCGACTGCATACCCTCTGGCCTTGTCTCTGCTGACCGCAGCAGACCTTTCCTGTCGCGCTCTCGTTCACCGCTGTCGGCAGTCGGGACTGGATTTTTTGGGATCGATTTGAAGTATCGAAGACGACTGAAGGTTGATACAAAATGAGACAGGGCAGAAGAAGAGGATGTTGGCATCGCCTCGTTGTCTTCGAGATCAGGGTTTCTGACTTGTCGAGAAATTATGAGTTTTCCTTGAATTCAATCGTACAGCCTGGATGAGCCGAAGAGTCTTTGAGTGTCTACTCTTCTGATCATCTTATCTAAGAGATAACCTTGACCATCGCCTCTGTCAACCTCCGCCTGATGTTGGTGGCTAGTGACGATCTGATACACTGGTCGCCCAGAGGCTCAGACGTCAAACCATCCCAGGCCCTGATCTAGCGCCTGGTCCCGGGCAGCCGCCTCGCTAGAAGGCCTCACCAGTTCGCCACAAAGACCGACTGAGGTTCTCAACCACAACCTCAGGAACGAAGTCGTCCTATCACGGCGGTCAATAGGGCTAGGCATTTGAGGTTAGGTTCTCAGACCTCAGTTCGCGCGCGGGGGAACAACTATATACCCACTCTTGCCGCCATTTCCTCTGGTCTTACCTAGAGACGTTCTATCCTTCTTTTACCGTTTGCTTTTGATAGCACATCCCTGTCACTCTTTCAAAGTCAGGTTGTGTATGTATATTGATATATATATATTTTTTGCGGTCGATATATTTCTATCTTTTATCTCCCCTGGAGCTGGCTCCCTTAATCTTACGTTTGTACGAGCAGTCACGACATAGCAACGCGGATTGTGTCCCCGCGCACGTCGACTTGGTCGCATCTCTCCTTCCCCTACTCGATACCGGTCTGTGCTCACACCTTTGACGGCGCATCAAGCTGAAGGAACCACCATCAAGAATTCAGTCTCGATATCTTGAGGATAACTGCGGCTATCTTTGCTCGAGCCAACAGCAAAACAAGACCTGGCGGCTAGGCTGGGAGTCTTCAGACTAGATTACCAGGGTTGATTGAGGGGAGGATGGCTTATCACAATGTTTTCCATCAGTAGGTTCAAATCAACCGTACTGATAAATTTTGATGGGAGACGATCCCCTGACGTCGTTGACATTGCAGGAATGACTGGCAACCGACGGATATATCTTTCGAATCTCAAGGCACGGTTTCCAGGCGGAGATATTACCCTCAAATGGACCCAAACAAGACACCAAGGACGGCGACGGAGAAGAGTGCGTCGACAGCGGCCACAATGGAAGCGTTGGGAATTAGAATACGACCCCCCGGCCTCCATCCCCCCGTCTCTTCGTTCTATCGTCCACCCGGGTTGTTGCAGGAGCAGATCTTCCCCTCGAATTATCCACAGCCGTCATCGTGGGCCAGTTATGGTGCTGACGTTTTGTCGCAATCCTCGCTTCCACCTTACCAAGGAGCTGGGAATGAGTTCATGTTTTTCCCTCCTATCGACGGGTGTAGGTGCTGGCCAGTATTAACAGTTCGACTAAGCGCTGACGGATGCAGCCGGAAATAATCTGAAGATGCCCGACGAGACGATCAATTTTTCGAATCCCGAATCGCAACTGCGGATCCTGCAACGCGATCTCTCACACGCAGGAGAGCATCAAGCCATTCCCAGTTTGAGGAAACCTCCTGAGCCCGACTCGGATCTGCTCTCTATCGACTTTAGTAGCATCTCTGGAAGCCATGCAGGATCGACTCTTTCGTTCCCAGGCTCCGCGAACGCCTCAGCTGATGGGACGCATTTGTCAGGGTATATCGAGCCTGCATCTCTCCCTTCCTCCGAGTATACACCCAGGAGTTCTCTCACCCTCTCTTCTACCGCTCTTTCACCAGTTCCTTCGCCCCGATGTCCTCAGTTGGAGCCGCCCAAGGCGGGCAATCGACTCAAGGCATCTCCATCACCACGACCGAGCAAGCGCGCCGCACCGTATAGCTTGGCCGATGGTGCACGGAAGCGATTGTCCACTGGTTCACACGCATCCTCCTCATCACGACGCACCTCGCCGTTGATGCACCAGGGTTCGGAGAATGTCCAGCAACCTTCGAAGACGTTCCGCTTCTCTGCACCTGTCGTCCCGTCTACCAATCTGCTCCCTTCAAATTTCACCAATACGCCGGTTCTGGGCTCATCGCCCGCGCGATTTTACCAGCAATCCTTTATGCTGCCGTCGAATTCGGATAGCGGCGGCAAGACCCCCAGCTCTGTCAGCACCTTCCGACAAGGGACTTTTCGGACCCTTCAGAGCAATGCCGACTCGGGTGGTTGCTGTTTTGACCCGTATGCGAATCTCTCCGAGCCACCGGATCTCCTGGGCCCTCTGCGGGAGGAGCCGAGTGCGCCGCCGGCCAAGGACATGAACCCCGAGGACGCCAATTTAATCCCCCACGAGCAGGAGCTGCGCTTTGAGAACGACCTGTATACGCCGCGATGGGTCCGGGGCCATGGCAACAAGCGCGAGGGCTGGTGTGGGATTTGCAAGCCGGGCCGGTGGCTGGTGCTCAAGAACTCGGCGTTCTGGTACGACAAGAGCTTCACACACGGGGTCAGCGCGGCGACGGGGCGGGCATTTGAGCCTCCCAAGGAGACGCGGCGCATGGAGGGCAGCGTCAATGCGGACATCTGGGAGGGCTTATGCGGCCGCTGCGGGGAATGGATCCCGCTGGTTAGCAGCAAGAAGAAGGGCACCACGTGGTTCCGGCACGCATACAAGGTTCGTCCCGTCCTGCTGCCCCCTGCCCCCTGCCCCCTGCCTGTCGCTAACCTTGCTGTCATTCTTCTTCTAGTGCCAGAATCCGTCGAAGGGTAAAGATGCCTCCAGGCGACGTCGCGAGATCACCGCCGCTGGACGTGCTTCCACTGTGCGGTCGAGTAAGTCGACATCGACATCGACATCGATCACTTCGACAACTTCAGCTACTTCTGGTACAGGACCGCTGAATCCAGACGGCACTTCCGCCGGGGTGAAAACAATTTCGAACCTACAGACCATCTCTTCGATGATCTAGAATCGATGGCGCAAAGGAAACCTGGGGGAAAACCTGGGGGTCTAATGTGTATCCGTGGAATATCGCCCGGCCAGGAACGAAGGCGCCATGCATTGGCTGCGGATCTGGCGGGTATATGATATATCTCTCTTCACTCTTTGTTTCTCCACCGTTTGCGTTACAATCTTTAATCGACCGAACAGGCATGTCGGGTCCCGCTTTAGAAAGGACGTGCATGGCTCAGCGGGCTAAGCATTGGTCTGATGATGGGTTGAAGGCGCGAAGGGCAGGCGTCTGGTCCGGATACAGAGAGGTTGGCGAAAAGTCGGGGGTTTCGTGAAAAGGATTTTTTTTTCTCTTTTTGGTAGAACGCGTCAGAATTAGCTACAGTAGTTTTAGCAGGGGCGATGGGCAGTCCGTTCCCCGAGACAATATATCGGTGGAGACCGCCAGATAGTCGGTCATGGCTACTGCTTGCCGAACCAGAAGGATGGGAACCTCAACTGCGTAGACTACAGACTGTAACAGACTACGGAGATGACAGTAACCGTCTGCGACTCTGCAGGAGGATCAGACTGCTCACAACGGGGTGGGGACCGCAACACCGTTGGAGACAGCTGGCGCGAAAAACGTCACCACAGTGCGGCAGACGCAGGCGTGCTGAGCGACGATGGATGCGGTGAGCATGGAAGGGCGCGGCAGACAGGTCAATTCGAAAAGGCAGCACGCGGAGCTGCACAGGCGTTGCTATCAGCATCGATGTGATTCCATTCGAGCTGCTCCGGTGCACGCTAGCAGCGGCCAGTTCACACGATCACCAGGCGGCCAGCAGCAGGACTAGCAGGACCCTCAGCAACCAGCACGCGACTCCGACTCGCCCGTCTAAATTAAACGGCCAGAGGTGCGCACACGGTCGCTTCCCACAGCCCGACGGTGGCTGGTTGCCCTTGGCTCTCTGTCTTCTCTCTCGCGCCTCCACTGCACGCAGCCAGAACACCAGCGCGACCCCGCGGGCTTTTCTTCTGCCATCGCACGCTGGACAAGCACGGTGAGCTCTCTGAGGACGAGGACAAGTGCAGAGCGCGACAGACACCAGGGGGAGGGGGGATCTGGACGCAGGGTGAGCGAGGAGAAAAGTGCCTGCGAGCAGCTTAGTTAACGCACCTTTCTACCGCTTTCGTCGTAGTTCGATCCGCTGCCGCCGCTGCAGTCATCAATGGTTCTCAATCACCTCTTCTCCAAGTCGTCGCCTGACAAGAAGGACAAGGACAAGGACAAGGACAAGAGCAAGAAGGACAAGGACCGCAAGGACAAGGAAAAAGACAGGGACAGGGACCGCCCACGGAGCATCGACCAACTGCCCCAGCGCTCGCCCAGCCGCAGCACGACTGTTGCCGCCCCGGAGTTGCCCGCGTCGCCTCTCAGAGCGTCTCGCAAGTCCCCCACAAAGTCTTCTCTCTCGCACCGTGAGCTCCATCACAGCCGCTCCTCGTCGACTGCCTCCAGACACAGCTTTTTCTCATCCAGGCGCCACTCGCACTCGCACAGCCGCGACTCGCACCCGCTCAACCTGCCCCCGGACGAGCTCCGTCGTCGCCTGTCAGCCATGGCCGCTGCAAGGGAAGAGATGCGGAGCTCGATGGACATTGACCGTGACGTGCCTGCGTCGCCTCACACGCCTGCTGCTGCTGCTGCTGCTGCTCAGCAAGACGGCACCATGGCCAACGGTGTCTACAATGCCCAGCCAGAACGAAGTCCTACCCCGCCGCCTCATCGGACGAGTCCATCTCAGTCGCAGCCATCAGACGGTGGAGAGGCCTTCAAACTGGCTGGGAACAAGTTTTACAAGGCTGGAGACTATGATCGCGCGATTCAAGAGTACAACAAGGGTAAGTTGAGGGTGTAAAAAAATTTTTAGAGAAAAAAATTTTTTTTTGATTTTTTTCCCCCGCAGACATGCTGATTGCTTTGTGTGTGCAGCTCTCGAGATCAACCCCAACTCCCCCGCCTTCCTTTCCAACCGTTCGGCCGCCTATCTCTCGTCCAACCGTTTCCTAGAGGCCCTGGAGGATGCGCAGCGTGCCCTCGAACTGGACCCTGGCAACTCCAAGATCATGTACCGGCTGGCGCGGATATACACCAGTCTGGGACGTCCGGCGGAGGCGCTGGAGGTGCTCTCCAAAGTGCAGCCGCCGGCGTCGGCCAAGGACAAGGCGCAGGCCGAGTCGATGCTGCGGTACATTACCCAGGCCGAAGAGACTCTGAAGGAGGGTAAAGGCGGATCCATGGTGTTGTACGCCATCGACCAGGCCACGCAGATGCTGGGCCCCGGCGTGAAACAGCCCCGGAAATGGACCCTGATGGCGGGTGAGGCTCACTTGAACATGGGCAACGACAATGCCTACGGCAAGGCTCACGACATTGCCATCTCGCTGCTGCGGGAGAACAACCAGGACCCGGATGCGCTGCTCCTCCGCGCCCGGGCGTACTACGGCCAGGGTGACAACGACCAGGCGTTGAAGTACCTGCGCATGGCGCTCAACATGGACCCGGATAACAAGCAGGCGTTCCAGCTGCTGCGTCTGGTGCAGAAGCTGGTCCGCACCAAGGAAGAAGGCAACGCCGCCTTCAAGGCACGCGACTACCAGCGGGCGGTTGAGCTGTACACGCAAGGCCTGGAGATCGACCCCAACAACAAGGATATGAACTCGAAGCTGCTGCAGAACCGCGCCCAGGCGCATCTGACCCTGAAGAACTACGACCAGGCGATCGCGGACTGCACTGAGGCGCTGCGCCTGGACCCGTCGTACACCAAGGCCAAGAAGATCCGCGCCAAGGCCTACAGCGCCGCGGGCAATTGGGAGGAAGCCGTCAAGGACTACAAGAGCGTGGCCGAGGCCAACCCGGGCGAGAAGGGCATCCAGGACGACATCCGGCACGCCGAGTTCGAGCTGAAGAAGAGCAAGCGGAAGGACTACTACAAGATTCTGGGCGTGTCCAAGGACGCCAGCGAACAGGAGATCAAGAAGGCGTACCGGAAGCTGGCCATCCAGTACCACCCGGACAAGAACCGTGACAACCCGGGCAATGACGAGAAGTTCAAGGAGATTGGTGAAGCGTACGAGACGTTGATTGATCCTCAGTATGTCCCTCCTCCAGACTCCAAGCATGGTAGGCTTTTACTGACTGGTTTAGGAAACGCGCGGCGTACGACAATGGCGACGACCTCATCGATCCATCGGAGATGTTTGGCCGCGGCGGAGCCACCTTCACGACCAACATGGGCGGCATGGGCGGCGCCAACATCAACATCGACCCCAACATTCTGTTCAACATGATGGGCGGCGCCGGCGGCTTTGCGCATGCGGGCGGCAATCCGTTTGCGGGCGCGCAGTCGCGTGGCGGGTTCAGCGGGTTCCCATTTTGACCAGCATGACGTGTGGTCATGGTCGAACTGGGCTCGTCTAGTCGAAGTTCAATGAAGTGAGAGGAAGAGGAAGAGGAAGGATGTTGTCAGTCGTCCATTCTGGTCCAGCGTGTGAGATAGGAAGGGAATTCCTTTCGGCCAGTACCGTCAGGGACAATTTGCTTTCGACCATTTGTGTGTTAACTGTGTTGTTGGCACCTTTTCTCGGCGTTTTCCGCTTTGAAGCTTCTTCTTCTGCTGTCATAGACATTGATTGATTGACTGTTCGGCGCTCTCCCATCGCATTTTTTGAATCGAATGGAATGAAATGGAATGGAATGGATAGATTGGGCGTTTCTCCGGGCTCGCATTGCATGCATTTTCTCTTTAAACGGAATCCAGAATGCGTGTGCCAAACGAAACGAGACGCGACCGGTGATGGATGGAGGAGAGGTCTAGCAGTTGCTTGCGAAATACCCATCCGTTGCGTTTTCTGGCTGTTCCAATTCAAATTCAAATTCAAATTGTACTTACTGACCGGGATTGTTGCGTTGCGCTGCGTTGCGTTGGGGTATGGTATACAATACAATACATGTCTACATGTCCTAGGTAGGTCGGTCGGTCGAGTATATACTGTGAGAATGTGCATTTGAATTTTTTTTCTTCTTTTCGAGGGTTATGTTTGTCTTTTTTTTTCTTTCTGTTAATTTTTTTTGTGTGTGTGTTTTTTTTCTTCCCACGGCGTTGTTTCCTGTATTAGGTATTATTCATTATTCATTATTGATTATTGCTGATTATTGACGACTCGATGTGATTGATTGAATTTTTTTTAAAAAAAAAGTTCTTGTTCTTGATCTTGTTCATGTTAGAAGTAGGTACATACATACAGTACAGTACAGTGCATACATCTATAGACAGAGGTGCCAAAGAAAAAGACTACATACCACCATACGGGATCCCTGCCTGGGGTTTTGAACTACCGTCAATCAAACAGTCTATCAACTGTATGAAAAGAAAAAAAAATTAGACGTCTAAAAAAATAAAATAAAAGATACTCGCTAGACTGTATAAAAAAAATTTAGATGTCTTAAAAAAAAGTCAGACGTCTTGAAATATATATATATAGTATATGGGGCGGAAATCAAACCATTCTTCCTATCGAGAGTCAATAATTATATTACTCTTAATGTTGAACAAGCCTTTATTATTAACGACTCGCTTCGCTCGTCTTAAATGTTCTGTTTAATTTACCCGGAGAACTCTACCCCGAAGGATGATGACAAGAATGACGATCCTCGGCAGACCTACTCTTTTCGGTAGTTTTTGGACAAACTCAGTTCAACTGTTCACGTCGGCGCTTCTCCGATAAACTCAATAAACTCACTTTATTCCGTCGTTCTTCTTTACTCGGTCTGTCTCGCTCGGCTTGCTTGCCTTGCTTGCCTTGTTGTGTTATCTTTCTATGCCATTTTTAGGCTTGATCTGCGTGCTTCTCGGGTTAATTGACTAAACAAGCTTTCTCTTAGAGTCGTTCTGTTGTTGGTTTTTTTTCTCCGCATTGCGTCGTTCCTGTCTGGACTCGTCATGACGGCCAGGTCTCGCCTCCACTGCGTTCTGGACGTCCGGTCTCCGGTCCGGGACGAGTCGAGACGAGACAACCAGATGGGGCATCTCCAGACGGCACATCGGGACCCCAGACGGGGTAATCCGCAGTTGACAGATGGGTCCGGGGGAATGCGGGGATAAAGAAGAGAGGAGGATTCTGAAACATCCTGAGTGTATATAACGGCCTGCCCTTCCTTAGGAATCTTTCCTGCAATTGAATTGCCTTTGATAGTGTACAGTACAGTACTTCTCGTCTGGACTATTCCTGTAATACGATTTCTGTTGCTTGTACTAATTAACTGACTCACGATTGACTGCCATGGGGAGGAAATACTGGGGCGGATCGGGCGAAGCCCTCACCGTATGGATCTCCATCGCAGCATCGACCGTGCTGGTGTTTTACGGCTACGACCAGGTATGCTTCCCAAACACCACCCATAATCTACTCCCTGATTGATGCTTGTGTAGGGCGTCTTCGGCAACGTCATCATCGGCGACAACTTCCTCCAGACCATGGGCCACCCCTCCGCCAACATGCAGGCCACCATGACCTCCGTCTACAACATTGGCTGCTTCGTCGGTGCCATGTCGACCGTCTGGACGGGTGACTTTTTTGGCCGGCCGCGCCAGATCCTCGTCGGGAGCACCGTCATCGCTGTCGGCGCCGTCATCCAGGCTGCGTCGTACAGCGTCGCGCAGATGATGGTCGGTCGGGTGGTGGCTGGCCTGGGGACGGGCATGAACACGGCGACGGCGGGCGTGTGGCAGGCGGAGACGAGTAAGATGCGGAGTCGGGGGAAGTTGGTGATTATCCAGATGGTACAGTACATTCCTTTCTTTCCTTAGGCTTAGGTGACGTCTACTGACTGACCAGGCAAACTGCATCACCGGCTTCTCCCTCTCCAACTGGCTCACGCTAGGCTTCTCCTTCGCCCCCGGCAGCGTCGCCTGGCGATTCCCGCTCGCTTTTCAGATCTTCTTCACCCTGCTCATCTACGCTCTCTGCCCGTTCCTGCCCGACTCGCCGCGGCTGCTGATCCGCAAGGGCCGCTACGACGAGGCGCGCGAGGTCATCGCCGCGCTGCAGGGGAATGGCGCGACTGTCGACTCGCCCTCGGTCAAGAACCAGTTCAATATCATCAAGGATATCTTGGATCGCGAGCACATGGCGACGTATACGTGGTGGCAGCTGGTGACGGGGAGGGGTGAGAGAGTCCCTTTGAAGATTCCGGTTCTTTCTTCTGACGACTTCTTCTGACGACTGCAGGCCCCGCCGGTGTCCTCCGCCGCATGATCCTCGGCGCCTGGATGCAGGCCATGAACCAAATCTCCGGCATCAACATCACCAGCTACTACATGTCCTACGTGTTCATCCACGCGCTGCACATCAACGAGCTGCTGTCGCGCATCCTGGCCGCGGCAGGGTCCGTCGACTACCTCTTTTTCGCCTGCCTGGCGTACTTCATCATCGAGCGCTACGGCCGCCGCAAGGTGATGATGTCCTCGGCCGCGGCGTGCTGCACCTGCTGGGTGGTCATTGCCATTGCGCTGGCGATTTCGGACACGGGGAGGGGGGATCCGTACAAGATGGGGATCGTGGCGGTTTCATTCTTTTTTGTGTTCTTTGCGAGTTTTGGTATGGGGGTTTTGGGGGTGCCGTGGTAGGTGCAGGCAGGAAAGAAAATGTCGGACGTCACTGATATTTATATCGAAGGCTCTACCCAACTGAGATCAACGCGCTGGAGATGCGAACCAAGGGCGCGTCCTTGGCCATGGCAACGAATTGGATTATGGTGAGTCACCTAAGCTCAATATCCACTATCCACTCTACTTACGTACTTCGCAGAACTACATGGTCGTCCAAGTCACCCCCCCAGGCATCGCCAACCTGGGCTGGCGCTTCTGGATCATCTGGGCCGTCATCTGCTTCAGCTTCATCCCCATCACGTACCTCTTCTACCCGGAGACAGCCAACCGGACGCTAGAGGACATTGATCGGTTTTTTGAAAACAAGCCTGGGATTGTCGTTGCGTGGGATAAGAGTGCGTATGCCCCACATCCCTAGTGAAGTGACCATGCTAATAGTTACTTTTTTTTTTCCAGCGGCAACACAACTCTCCCGCCCGGAGGAATACATTCGCATGGACGAGGAGATTGGTCGGAGGGGCGACGAGGAGGAGAAGCTGCAGGTGCATTCTGCGGGGAGCAATTCTGAGAAGGATGCTGGGTCTCCTGTTCATGAGGAGGGGGTTTAACTATCAAACAAAATATAATACGTTATGAGATGAGATGATATATATGAGGACGAATGACGAATTATGTAAATGATCAAATATATAGTATATATTTAGATATTTAGGTATTCCGATTTGCAGTTGTGCTATATTAACTAAGCTGGGTATTTAATCCCAGTGCGCAAGGGGGAAAAGGAAGTGAAGGCATTTCTGCTGGAGAGAAGCTTTTTCTTAATGAATCATCTTTCTATTTCCTACGTGCAGAAAAGACGATATGACATGTGTTCGTTACGGTACTGCATACTGCATACTACATACTGCATACTACATACTGCATTGGGAGTCTTTTCAACATCATCCTCATGTTATCCTCATGTTAATACTAGATTATAAGATCGTAAATTATATATAACAGTCAAATTCAATAACATCACTCATGTTAATATTAATGATTATAAAATTATAAATTATGTATAACAGTAAATGAAGAAGTGAACTTCCATCATCGATATTTCTCTCCTCAGAAAGGAATCAAAAGGATATTTACCCAGGCTACGCCTGATTCACAGTGTCCTTCGCATCCTCCACCTTCCACCCCCCAGGCATCAACCTCGTAAAGACCATATCAGGATCATACTTCGCCCAGATCTGCTTCAACCGCTGAATATTTCCCCGCGGAAACCCCGCCCAGACGGCGTCCGTCGGCGCCTTGTTTGCGTCGTTGAGGTAGTGGAAGGCTTCGATTTCGAGGCCGTTTTCGTGCAGCCTAGCCGTGATGTTGGCGTTTGTCTGCAAGTAGAATGGGTCGATTTCAGAGTCTGTTAGTGTCCCCGTGTAGCTGAAGCTTTCTTCGATCCAGATGTAGGGCTCTTGTGAGGGGTTGACGCCTTGGGGTCACCACCTCCAGGAGCTTTCTGGCTGGCCGTGAAGAAGGTCCGAGGCACGGGCATCACTGCCAGTGCGGTGAGGTAGATCCCGCTGCTGCTGAACTGCCTCACAGAGTCGATATACGTGTCGTGGATGATCTGCAGCGCTGTCCGGTTGAGTCCGACCGGCAGCACCCAGAAGCGCTGGCGGAACCCCGTCAGCAGCAACAGCTCGGTGTCTGTCTCCAGCGACCAGTCGTACATGGTGCGGTAGCTGAAGGTTCTGCTCGTCTGCGGCAGGGAGAGGAACGGCTCCAGCGGTTCTGGCGCGGCATTCTCGCCGTTGTAGAACAGATACGCGCTGTAAGACGGCGTAGTACTGCCTGACGAGAACTCCACGAGAGGGATGACAGCTGCCTTGGGGTCGTCGGCCGCTCGCAGACCGTACTCGTATACCTTGTCCAGGAACTGCGTGCCAGAGACGCTGGCGTCGAAAGTGGTCGTTCCCACGTAGACTTTTCCTGAGGGCACCGTCCTGAGCCCAAAGTCGGTGACCAGCGCGAAGGAATTACCGCCGCCTCGCAGCGCCCAGAAGAGATCTGAATATTCGTTTGTCGGGGTGGCTGTGACAATGGACCCATTTGCCAGGACGGCCTGTCTCGTCAGTCTAGCCGCTTAGACAAGTAGGTAGACAGACAGGGGATGATACAGTAAAACTGGCGACATTCGCCGACGCCCAGCCATACTCATTCCCAAAAAACGACACTCCCCCGCCGAGCAGGTATCCCGGCACGCCGACATGCCCAACACGCCCACCGACAGCGGAGCGGTTATACGGCGCGAGATAGCGGTAAACGTCGACCCAGCGATTGCCAGGGCCGACGTGGACGGTGCCAAGGTCAGGCGAGATACGCAACTGGTTCAGCCGCTTGCAGGCGATCAGCACGCCGGAGCCATTGATGTTGTTGGCTCCGGGAATGGGCATGTGCCCGCCTCCGACGACGGCGAAGAGCGTATCGAGCCGGACGAGCGTGCTGACGGCGAAGGACAGCTGCGAGGGCGTCGCGGGCTCAAAGACGCAGGCGGGATTGAGTGCTGCGCTTGAGGTGTAGAAGTCTATATATAAATCAGAATCAAAATCAGAATTAATCCAGCTAGCTAGTGTGATATGTGAGGTGATTGATGCTGCTCACCCGTATTCGCTTCAATGTACCCCGGCTCCGGAGGAAAGAAAGTCGCATTGGGATAGGCGTTGAAGAAGGTGTTGCATGCTCGCTTGGGGAGGAGAATCCTGTTGCAAGGGAGGAAAAAGAAAGGCCAGCAGGACGACGGCCAGCGAGAGCTGGGCGAGGAGTGTCATGGTGATAGGCAGGGACATGAGAAAGATAAGATACGGATACTTCGATCAAGGCATGCTGGGCAGTTTTATGGTTTATATTTATGGAGAGTGCAGATCACATCTTTTCGCCCGGTGTCCTCCACCCAAAAGGGAAAAAGAAGAAAACACTAAAAACTAGGATAGGATAAGATAGTTAGTTCCTAGCTAAGAACCCGGCTGGAGAAGAAAGATGATCGACATGCAGAAATAATCCATCATTCAAGACTCTGACATGGTTATCCAGGTTATTCATTTGATCATTCGTCCATATTTCCTCTGTATACATGTACATGGAGGTAAATTCACGTGAATCTCGCAATCTAATCCCGACCGAGGCAGTACCTAGTGCGCCTGTCTAGATATTGATTAATATGCATGCATGCAGATCGCGCGATTCGGATGCTTCTTTTCCGGCCTTTGTGCCCTTGGACCCTGGATCCTGGTCAGTTAGGAAGCTAGTATTAATTGCTTTTGTGGGGTAAATTAAAAGAAAAGGAAGCTTGAATGCTTGCTTGACAGTACTCCTCCGTACAGAGTAATAATCATCCCCAGTTCCCTACTGATGATAATCTAATCATTTTCAGTCTGGACTCTGGTCTGCTTGCAAATACGAATACGATTGGAATGGAATAGTCTACTATGTATCTACTGGATACAGATAGAGCAGGGCGATTATATGTGTGGTGTATGCAGGTCAGCTGATTAGGGCTCAGGGCTAGGGCTGCTCCTGTACAGTACTGTACATACAAATCAACTTCTGCATTCGATGCACTGATATAGTTGATATATTATGAATGACTTGGCTGTTAACAAGATTAACAGTATGGCGACTGCTAAATGGATGGATCCTAGCTAATGTGAGGTAATTCCGACCTGCCTGACTGCTATCCTATAGAGTCAGAGCAGAACGATTTTTACGTACAGTATGGAACCACGACTGATGCGGGGTTGCATTTCCTGTGAGTTGTTCTTCAGCAGGCTGATATTGACGGATTCGATCATTTATTACTGTGCTCGTCTAGTCAGATTGGTTTGCAGTGCAGTTACCGGGTGATTGATCATGATTGATCATGGCTAGCTGATAATTGTACAGGAGAGGAGACTAACTCGCAGTGAAATTATGTCGCAGCTGAGTTAACACATATAATGATATGATGATGAATTCGAGTTTTGTTTACACAGACTGACTTCAATGCATTGCTCGTCCTCGCTTCAGACTGCCAGTTAACTCCTTTGCTGTTTTTTTTTTGACTGTCCATGACTATCAAAGTAGTTCTTCTCTTTCTTTCCTTGTTTCCTTGCTTAGCGTGAGTGCTGTGCAAGCAGATTAATCTTTTTTTTTTAACATTTTTTTTTAACAAAAAAATGACAAATTCTTGTTATCCTTAACTAGCACATTAAAGGCAAACTACTACAACTGCTGCTCCAGACGACACAAACGGGAAAAGAGTCTGTGGATAGCATGCAATTCAAATATCTCTGCTATCTCACCGTCGACGAGAACTACAACCAAAATGGTGATCACGTAGGATGAATAGGTCAAGGTATCCTTCTATATAGATAGATAGGTTTAGTTGGAATTACTAGTGGTAGCAATATAATTATAGACCAGGGATTATCTGCTTGATACTCTATTTATCAGAATGAAGTATGTATATACAAATTAATTGGCAGGAATCAGTCTATCTATTCTCACTCTTCATTTCTCTGCTTATAAAAATCAGGTTTCCCATCTGAGGCTTTTTGCTGCTGTTACAACCTCGCACGAGCATCCCTTGCAGCCCTCTTCGCAGCCGCAATGCCTGCCCTACGACCAAACACCGCACCAGCCGTCAATCCACTTCCCCCAGGGTAATTCCCATAAAACAATCCTCCCAGCATCTCGCCCGCACAGAACAATCCCGGGATCTCGCGGTCCGTCGCCGACGAAATCACCGCCGCCGTCTCCGGGTTGACCGCCAGCCCGCCAAAGGTGAAGGTCACGCCGCCGGTGACTTTGACGGCCAGGAACGGCGGCTCGTCGATGGGGAGCGCCCAGTTGGATTTCGGCAAAGGGAGACCACTCGTCGATAGGCCGTCTTTTACGGCTGGGTCCCATTTCAGGTCCGGGTGAGCCTTGCGGTGGGCGTACACCGCCGCGTTGTACTGCTCCAGCGTCTGGATGAACTGCGTGCGGTTCTGCAGACCTTCACTGCAGCATTTGTCGGCCAGCTCGGCGATGGTCGATGCCTGGATCTTCTTCACCCGGCCGTCGCGGTATTCCTCGCTGCGCAGCCAGGGGGTCGTCTTCGCGTCCCACACCTGGAAGGCGATCCCGTTCGGCTGCGCGAGGATCGCCCGTCCGAAGGCCGCGTACGTGTAGTTCCGGTAGTCGAGGCCCTCGTCGACGAAGCGCTCGCCGTTGGCGTTGATCATGACGCCGAGCGGATATCCGGACTTGGTGAATTCGTTCGAGACCTCCCGGTCTCCTGCGTTGGCCGGGGCGTTCGCATCCCAGCATGTAGCGTGGCAGCCGGACCAGTTGCCTGCTGGCTTTGCGGAGACGTCGCGAATGGCCATGTTGAGACAGTCGCCTGTGTTGTAGGGCGTGCCGCGGACGTATGCCAGATCCCATCCGGGGCCCAGGTATTGCGCCCTCATCTGCGGGCTGGCCTCGAAGCCGCCGGCAGTCAGGATCACGGCTTTGGCGTTGATGGTCATCGTCCGGCCGTGATGGCTCACAGTGACGCCGGTGACGGCGCCTGTCTGCGGGTCTTGATGCAGACGCTGCGCTGCAGTAGAGTAGTAGACCGACACGCCGTGTCTCTTCGCGGCCCTCTTGTGGTCTTCCATCAGGCCTTTGCCGCCGTCTTCGGTCTTCAGGGCCAGTCCACCCCAGAACTTGTGGCGGCCGTTGACGAGAAAGGCCTGCCGGTTCATCGAGAGCTGGAAGCGGACGCCGTTGGCCTTCAGCCACTGGATGACACTGCGCGAGTCGTCGACCAGGATGCGGGTCAGCCGGGGGTCAGACCGGCCCTGGCAGAGGCGACGCATGTCATTCTCAAAGTCGGCCTTGGTGTACGGCGGCAGATCGATGATCTTGGCCAGTTCGGCGTCGACGTTGTTCACCAGCGGCAGCAGATCAGGCAGGCCGTCGTGGACGGTGCGCATGGCGCCCGCCGTGAAGAAGGAATTGCCGCCGGCCCATTCCTGGGGGCATTTATCGATCAGAATGACCTGGCCAGCGCCGGCCTGGGCGGCGGCCACGGCGGCGGAGAAGCCGGCGTTTCCGCCCCCGATCACCAGGACGTCGCAGGAGGATGGCAAGGACGGCATTGTGAGGAGAAGTGAGGAGAAGTCAGCTGGTTAGTTCGTTCATGCAGAGGATTCTCACTGGCCATTATTAATATGCATGTCTGGAGCTGTGCCGAATGCCGCGACGGAGCGAAATCCTCCGTCGACGGAGTGTAATCCTCCGCGATCATCATCGCCTAATCGGGAAACTGGCAGCAACGACAGTAACATGCAGTCATGCACTCCGCAATGTCAAATCAGCTGATTAGGACATGGATAAGACGGAATGAAGTTGCGGATGTCTATGCATTATCTTGTGCGGCACATTATATTGCGTGGCATGTCCTGGAATTTTTCAGCGAATGTCCTGTACTGTACACTATTACGACGATATGGCGTTTAGCACCATCGCAGTCATCTCCATCGGCGAGATGGGCCTGGGGATTGCCCAGCTGCTGATGGCCCATCGATACCGCGTGCTCACGTATGCAGCGGACCGAAGGTAGGCACTGGAGTCTTTCATGTCATGATTATTGCTGACTCCTCCAGCGAAGCAACCCAAACCCGCGCCTGGACAGCCGGCATCGAGCTGATGCGGTCCCTCGGCGAGCTGGTCGACCAGAGCGACTGCGTCCTGTCGATTGTGCCCCCGCGAGACGCGCTGCACACGGCGGAGCGAGTCGTCAAGGCCGTTTCTGCGAGCAGACGCCGGCAGACGCCGCTGTACTATCTCGATCTGAACGCGACGTCGCCTGGCACCGCTATCGAGACGGCGCGTTTGTTCGAGGGAGTTTCGTCCCAGGCTGTTCTGATCGGTGGGGGGATTATCGGGGGCGTGCCGTATCCGCTGCAGCATGACAAGAATTCGCAAGAGAATGGCAATGCCAGCTCGACAGATCCACCCTGGCACTGTCCGTCGTTAATTGTCTCTGGACCACATCGCCTCCCAGACCAACGGGTCTCACAGATCCTCAACATCCGCCATGTCAGTGAGAATATCGGCGCCGCGACGGGCATCAAGATGTGCTATGCCGCCCTGACGAAGGGCTTTGTCGCGCTGTCCATCCAGTCGTTCACGACCGCGCATCGACTGGGCGTGCTATACGAGCTGCGGGGTCTGCTGGAGCAGTACAATCCGTCGACGCTGCGGCTGGCAGAGAAGGGGCTGGTGACGATGCCGCCCAAGGCGTACCGCTGGGTGCGAGAGATGGAGGAGATAGGCGAGACGATGGCGGGGAGTGGGTTTGAGAGGGATCTGTATGTTTTCTAGTTTGATTGCGATGGAGATTCATTTTCTAACTGTTGCTGCTAGATTCCACAGCGTCAGCCAGGTCTATCGAACTGTCGCTGAAGATACTGAATTGGGCAAGGAGAAGCCTGACCAGAGAGTCCGTGGCCAGACGGTCGAAGATGTTGTCGAACTCATCAGTCGTGGTCTGCAGGCTAAAAAGGCGAGAGGAAGGCTGATGTAGGAGTAGGAGTATAGTCTGGCGATATAGTCTGTATGACTGCATGGTGTACTGTCTGCAATGGACAATTAATCTTTTCGTTCGTCATTTTTATGTCTTCAGATTCACTCAGATCTATCCAGCAGGAAAAAAATAAAACAATTAGAAAATAAAAAAAATGAAATCGTAATATCTTCCAATCACGAGATTACATACTGCCACAAAGCAGCTGATAAATGCACAGCGATGAATAAATAGTTTTCTTTCAGCCCACTACAACTATAACCAGAATATAAAGTAGAAATAGAAATACTCAAAACAAGACAGCTATCCACCCAACACCCGTATCTAATTAACTATCTTGACTCCTCTCAATATGCACTCCCGCCGCATCGGCCTTACTCGAAACGCTCTCCTGGCGTGGTAGACTGATCTCTCCATCCGTTCTCTCCTGCGGAATGCCCGCATTGGGATCCTGCTCGTCCCATTTCTGGTTGAGGCTCTTGACCGGCATGCTGGCGAGGACTGCGACGAGGAGGGCGATGACCTGTGTATCGTCAGAATGAAGAAATCCCTGCAATCAATTTGAGGGTGGATTCATACAATTGCGACTAATATCATCTGCGTCCGGGCATAGTCCGGCGTCCCATCTGGCAGCGGGAATCACTCGCCCAGGGCCGTCTCGACCGTTGGCGCGATGGACGAGATAGCGTTTCCAATGTTGTACGCTACCCCCGTAAAAGCAGCGCGCATGCCTGGATGCGGACACAGCTGCTGGAGCAGATTGCCCAGGTTGCCAATGGCCGCGCCATAGAAGAACTGCAGGAAGAAGGCGCCCAGGGCGAGCAGATTCCAGCGCGTGGGCAGCACCCACAGCGGCAGCCAGGGGGCGCACAGCAGCGCGGCGGCTGCAGCAACCCAGTTGGCATAAAATCCCACCCGGTGGGATAGGAATCCCCCGGTGATGCCGCCCAGGATGCCGCCGATCTGCAGGATGCACGTAACCCAGGTCTCGTGGCGGATGTCCAGCTTGCGCTGCGTGACCAGGAACGTCGGATATAGGTCCATGGTGCCGTGGCCCATGGTGTTGAAGCACGCCGTCAGGCAGCAGGCGTAGACGAACGCCTTGGGATGGTAGCGCACGACGTAGCGCAGCTTGTGTAGAAACGGTAGATTGCCGCCCACTGCGGCCCTGGCGTCGGCCTGGCCGTTCTCGACTGCCTGGCTGGTGACCGAGTAGGAGGGCGTGACGGTGCGGAGGAGGAGCACCGGCACGGTGAGCCCGGCACACAGCCAGTACAGCGATCTCCAGCCGTATGTATCTGAGGGTTAGCTGTTAGCAAGAGTTCTGCAAACAAGGCAGGATGTGACACACTCATCGCGAGATGCAGACCCGACGCGAACAGATATCCTGCCGAAAAGCCCTGCTGCGTGAACCCGGCCACGACGCCTCGAGTGCGGCGAGGAACGGCCTCGAGGACCATGGCCATGACGAGGCCGTAGGTGCCGCCGTAGGCGATGCCTGTGATCACATCAGCTATACCTCTTCAAACGAAGCACGTCTAGACTAACCGAATAGAAACCGACAGCCAACCAGCTGGCCGTAGTCGCGCACAAACCCCGTGCACAGCGTAAACACGCCCAGAAGCAGCAGATCGACCAGCAGGGGTAGTTTCCGGCCATACTGGTCGGCCAGGACGCCGAAGATGACGGCGCCCAGCGAGCGCGACAGCATGGCGGTGGTGTTGGCCTCGGAGATCTTGGTCTGGGCGACTTTGAGCGCGGTGGCGGCGTTGCTGAGCGTGAAGGGCAGCGCGTAGTACTGCATGGAGCCCAGGGTCCAGCAGGCCCAGCACGAGAGCCAGATGAGGGCCTGCAGGGGGGTCATCCTGACCTCGGGGGGGATTGTTTTGAGGGCCATGGTGAAGTGTGCACTGAATTGAAGGATTCAGGTGTCAGTCCATGTTTTTATTGTACACAGCTGTCTTAAGCTGTCTTATATGGTGCTAATTGTATAGCTTGTCGACAGTAGGTTTGTACCATACTCTATCAGCACTAGATGCCCGCGGACCACGAAGTTGCGGGGTCACAGGAGCATTCTTTCATCGAGTCATGACAGTTTGTGGCGTTCATCTAGGTATGTCCATGTCTGTACCTGGTGGCAATTTCAGACGTCGATGGGTATCAGACTACGCTGTGAATTATTCATCGTTATTCCTTCCAATTCCTCCTGAAGTACGGAGTACTTGTGGGCAATTCATAATACATATAACTATTATCAAGAATGGGCTTTGGAATTTAGCAATTGCCAGTTCAACTGCTCTAATACATATCTGCACGCACCCCTTACTAAACGGACGAAGAAAAACGGTGGACACTGGACCGTTGGGATTTCTTGTGGGGTAAGGCGGAGTGCTCCAGCCCGTGCGTCCGGGGTAGCTAAAATCCGGGGTAGAATCCGGGGTAAGAAAGATCGACGCGGAGCATCACCCGCCGAGCGTCGGACAGAGGAGTCCGTCAGGCTTCAGCAGAGCAGGGTTGCATTGGACTGAACATGGTCTGGGGGATAGCAAGGGTCTACAGAATGGAGTCTTGTTATAAATACATGGATTGACCATGACAGAACTGTCACCAAACCAAAAAAATCATTTACAGCAATCAATCTGACTTCTTCTGACTGCTGACTACGACTGCATCATGGCTGAGCTCGTCCCCCCCGGCGCGTGGGACACGCACATCCACGTCTTCGACCCCGACAAATTCCCCTATGCCGTCCCCCGGTCGTACACGCCCAAGGCCGCGCCGCTGGCCGACTATCCGGCCTCGATAACCGGGTGCAAGAACATTGTCGTCGTGCACGCGTCCATGCAAGGGTCGTCGCCCGCGCCGCTGCTCGACACGCTCAGCAAGAAGACGGCCATCGACAGCTCGGGCAACAGCTGCCTGCGCGGCCTGGCCACCATCGACGTCGACAGCATCACCGACGAGGAGCTGGACAAGCTGCACGCCGCCGGCGTCCGCGGCGCGCGCCTACACGAGATGTCCTGGGGCCACGGCACGCAGAGCGAAGGCAGCGACATCATCGCCAAAGTCAGCAAGCTGGCCACGCGCCTGGCGCGGCTGGGCTGGGCGATTGGCATCTTCTGCCCTTTGCGGGCCTGGGCCGCCATGGCAGACTTCATCCGCACGAAGCTGGACCCGCGCATCCAGCTGGTCGCCGACCACTTTGGGGGCACATTTCCCGGTGAAGAAAACTCAGCTGACTTCGCGACCTTCCTCGACCTGATCCGCGAGAAGCGTCTCTGGGTGAAGATCTCTGGCTTCGAGCGGCTCTACCACGGCCATCCCGAGGGCATCGAGGCGCTGACGCCCATCGCCAAAGCCATCATTGCCGCGGGGCCAGACCGCATCGTCTTCGGCACTGACTGGCCGCATACGCAGTTGGGGGTCTCCCGCAAGGGGAAGACGGATGAGCAGCGCCTGAATGATGTCGAGGACTTCCGAGACGTCGACGATGCGGCGCATATCAGAAAGGTGCGCGAGTGGATTCCGGATGACGAGACGTGGCAGAAGCTGTGGGTGACGAATCCGCAGAGGTTGTTTGGGTAGAATCACGTTGATGTAGTGGATACGTTCATGACTAGAAGTTACATATTTGATATCGAGTGGATATGTTGATAGTTGTAGACCCTAGTCTTACATGAATCAGAAGGCTGCTTTGTGAATGAGTTTTCAACAAGATGATCGAATTCTTCAGTCGAACGAAAGTATAAACAGTAAACATCATGTTGCTCTAATACTATCTACTCATTCAGTCGAACGCAAGTATAAGTAGTAATATATCACGTATGCTCTATACTATATCTGCTCTGCTCTACTTGCTATTCTGTCACCCGACAAATAATCTTCCCCGCATGCGCATTGGACTCGAGCCTCTTATGCGCCTCAGAGACATCCCTCCAGTCATAGACCTTATCAACAACAGTCCTCATCTCCCCCTTACTCAGATGCGGGAGGATCCTCTCAGCAAAGAAATCGCGCACTCGGGCCTGATACGCCGCATCGCGCGTCCGCAGCGTCGTCGCCTGCACCCACAGCCGCTTGTTCAGTAGCGCGCGCAGGTCAAAATCGGCGATCTTGCTCCCGCTCAGCGCGGCGACGAGCACGATGCGTCCGTCCATCGCTGCGCATGCAGTGTTGCGGTGCCAGTAGTTCTGCCCGACCAGGTCGACGATCAGGTCGACGCCCCGGCCCTTGGTTGCCGTGCGCACCACCTCCGCGAAGTCCTCTGTGCGGTAGTTCACCGCGATGTCTGCCCCCAGTGTCCGGCACAGCTGGCATTTCTCGTCGCTGCCGGCTGTTGTGATGATTGTCGAGGCGCCCCCGAACTTGGCCACTTGGATCGCTGACTGCCCGACGCCCGACGCCCCGGCGTGGATGAGCACGGTCTGCCCGGGCTGCAGGTTGCCGACGAGGTGGATGGCTTGGATGGCGGTGAAGAAGGTCTGAAGTCGATCAGCTGGTCGTTCGTGTAGATGTGTCATGACAGTCTGACTTACCTCAGGTGCACCGGCAGCCTCTTCGAACGAGAGACTCGGAGGAAGAGGAAGCAGCATCTTCTCCGAGACGACGATCTTCTGGGCGTACTTTGAGCTATCAGTCAGCATTCCCACTACCCCCCAGAAAATAGTATGTACAGTACATAGAGGAGGTGACACTCACAGCCCCGCCATACGCAAGCCCAAAGACACGATCTCCGATCTGAAAACTATCCGAACACTCGGGCCCCTTCTCCTCCACGACACCACTAAACTCCACACCCAGAATGTTGCCCGACTCTGGCAGCAGCGGGTACGGGTATCGGTCCTCCCGCTGCATGATGTCCATCTTGTTCAGACCAAAGGCGCGGATGCGCACGAGGATGCGGTTTCCTGTTGGTGGTGGGGGTCGGGGACGTTGTCGTCGACGAAGAGGGCGTCGGCGGGGCCTTTGCCGTTTTTGATGCTGACTGCTTTCATTGTATTCTCTAGAGCTGTTAATTGATTGATTGATTGAATTGGATGAGTTGATTGAGTTGAATTGAGTGGAGGATATTAGACAGTTGCAGTGCTCAGTCGGAGTAGATATGGCAGAAGCGTCCTAGATTAGTTACTAATAAAGTACTGTACTTAGTACTTACGCAGGTAGCTTCACTCCGATAGATGTAGATCACGGTAGACAAGATATGACGTGTATGCACAGACGTGCATGTCTGGTAACCAACGAATACAGCACTGTCCTCGGATCGCATCCTCCGTGGACTTTACTTTGTATTCAGTACGTACCCGCGGAGCATCATCCTCCGACGCGGGGAAGAAATGTGGGGTATAACACGAGGCTAAGTCGGAGATCTATGCTCCGTCAGTCCCGATGGAATGGAATGAATGCTCCGGGGAAGTGGGGATGTCATCAGATAGATAGATAGATGGATGGATGCGAAGATAGATAGAAACAGCTTCTAGAAGGCAACCTTCACTAGGAATCAGACATAAAATCAGACATTTGGATTCAGTACTGTTTTCTTACATACTCTGACTGCGATATCATCATGTCCACTACAACGACCACCACGACCACCGCTACCGAAACCGTCAGGGTTGAAACTGTTCAACCCAGCAGCAAACCTGAAGATGAGATCAAAAAGACCGACGACAAGGCCGACAAGGCCGATGAAAAGAAAGACGACAAGGCCGCCTTCTACGAAGACGTCCACTTCCTCGGCGACAAAGAAGGCCGTGTCGTCATCCGCTCGCCCCCGACCTTCGCCAACAAGCTCGACGAGCGCAGATACCAGCTGCAGCATCTGGCCGCCGCCTTCCGCGTGTTCGCCAAGCAGGGCTTTGACGAAGGCGTTGCCGGACACATCTCTCTCCGGGACCCGATCAATCCTCGTGAGCAACTAGCTGGAAATGCGTGCCTGTATCGTCTAGTCTCGCTGACTCTGCTGACTTGCAGACCACTTCTGGATCAACCCCCTCAGTATGCATTTCTCCATGATCCGCGTCTCCGACCTCGTTCTCGTCAACGAGCGTGGCGAAGTCCAGCCCGGCGGCGCCCAACATCCCATCAACGGGCCGGCCTTCGCCATCCACAGCGAGATCCACAAGGCCCGCCCGGACCTCAACGCCGCCTGCCACGCGCACTCGGTCTACGGCAAGGCCTTCTCCTGCTTCGGCCGCCCCATCGAGATGCTCTACCAGGACGCGCTGCGCTTCTACAACGACCTGGCCGTCTACCCGCGCTACGGCGGCACCGTCCTTTCCTCCGAGGAGGGCGCCCGCATCGCCCAGGCCCTCGGCCCCAAGTGCCGCAGCATCATCCTGCAGAACCACGGCCTCATCACCTGC